ACCCGCTAACAATCATGAGGACAAATACGACCACGAACACAACGATGATGACAATAATGGGACCATCACAATCACAAACCCGACGACGAGCATGAGCATGGCCATGGCCATGGCCATGGCGGTCATGGGAAAGAACCTGGCTTCGAAGGCAACCCATGGAAGTGAAGACGGCGAGTGATTAATAAATGGAAGCTTCCAGCTTTAATATGCTGCTCCTAGTACTTACTCCTGTGTGTTATATATGGAATGTGTGTGAGTGATAGATAAATGGAAGCTTCCAGCTGTATGTGTCAACGAAGATGATATTCCCACTAGCTCACCTGAGCAAGTGAGCATATAAAGCTCCAGCTTCATATGTCAATTGAAGTGTCTTATGTACTTGCTGTATCTATTTCCCAATAGGCAAGCTAGCTTACCATTTTAGGAGGACTTTACTTAATGGCTGGTCGAGATTTCGGTTTTCTTCTTCTTCTTCTTCTTTTTGTTTATTCTCGAAAGATGAGCGTGGATCGAAGCTTAATTTAGTCCATACTGGTATGAGATCCATAAGTATTTATTCCCTTCTATCACAAGCCCTTGTTAACAAGCTTGGCAGGAGAGTTTTTTAGGTATATTTGAAGTACGATGTAAACGGTCCAACATGTTCATAAGTGGTACCCCAATTTATCAAAGTTAAATGGACACACGAATTGAAAATCACCCTATTTTGAGTTTAAAGGGTCAACTTCACATAATATATGATTTCCTATTGAAATTTCTTTGCAACAGCTCCTCTCCCCCTCGCGCACCCCCCCTTAATTCCTTTATGAATAAACTCTCAGAAAAGGAGACAAACAGTTTGGTTTATCTTTCGATAAAAGACCAAAAGCTATGGAGTATTTCAACCGTATGGGTATGATCCATAGACGTTAAAGGCCATTAAAATTCGTTCTTTTGTATATTTTTTCTACAGTTGCATATGATGGTCGCCAAAGACCGTGGAGACAGAGAATCATATTTGTCAAATTTTAGAACATTATCGCCTTTCATCGTCTGTCGTGTTTCCTAAGCAAGCAACGAAGCAACATATCTTGACAGAATTTGTTCACACGAAATCAAACCCCTCTAAATCAATCATATGATCGAAATTCTAATGCTATATCAGATCCCATTAATGCACCCAGCTAGTTATTCTCAATTTCATTCAGAAGTTCCAGCAATAGAAGTTAGGGTTTAGCGAGGTATATCAAGTTATCAACTGCTCCTTATACTTTAAAATGTAAACTCCAAGTTAATAGAGAGAGAGAGAGAGAGAGAGAGAGAGAGAGAGAGAGAGAGAGAGAGAGAGAGAGAGAGGTGTTTGAACTGAACTTTACTTTTTTTTAATTATGCAGCTCTCGTATATTAATTTTTTTTCTTTTTAACTCGAAGCGTTCACAATAACTTTTCGTGATTTCAAAATTTAAACAATAATTTATATTTTGACGAAAGTAGCACTAATTAATAATGTTCGTCGGCCAAAATATGGTTTGCTGCTCACTTAGTTAGAGCTGTCACTACATGTTCGAATCCTTTAGGAAAAAGAAAAGTTTCACGTCTGCCTTCGCATGTTGCTTCCAAATAATACTTTGCCATTTTAGATCACCGTTAATTACCTAATTCTCGAAATAACTAAGAAACAAACGTGACTTTATCGATCGTAGCCATACTCCATATGCGAGTTACAATGGGAAAAGTGCCAAAAAAGTCTTAAACCTTTTGCATTAGTGCTAATTTAGTCATAAACCTTTTTTTGTGCCAATTAAGTCCTAAACCTTTTGGTGCCAATTTAGTCCTTCCGATCAATTTTGATCGGAATTTGCCGACGTGGACGCTTGCCGGCCGGTGGCCGGTCACCGGCGCCGACGTGGACAACTTTAATAATATTTTAATATTTTTTTGAATTTTCATTTTTTTTTCCACTTTTTTTTGGTCCCCCACTCCTTCCTCTGGCCGGTCGTCGGTCCGGCGACCGACCAGAGGCCAGAGGCCGGCGAGCTTGACCTCGCCGGCCACTAACGAGGGCGGCGGCCTCGCCCGGCTCGGACGAGCCTCGCCTTGGTCGGGCGAGGCTCGACCTCGCCAAATCCGGCGAGGTCGGGCCTCACCCGACCATGGCGAGGCTCGCCCTCGCGCGCCCCGGCGAGGTCGGGCCTCGCCCGACCATGGCGAGGCTCGCCCTCGCCGCGGCCTCCGGCGACGGCTCGAGCCTCGCCATGGTCGGGCGAGGCCCGACCTCGCCGGATCCGCGAGGTCGAGCCTCGCTCGACCAAGGCGAGGCTAGACCTCGCCGGGCGAGGCCGCCGCCCTCCCCAGTGGCCGGCAAGGTCGAGCTCGCCGGCCTCTGGACTCTGGCCGGTCGCCGGACCGGCGACCGGCCAGAGGAAGGAGGGGGGGACCAAAAAAAAAAGGAAAAAAAATAAAAATTCAAAAAATATTAAAATATTATTAAAGTTATCCACGTCAGTGCCACGTCGGCACCGGTGACCGGCCGCCGGCCGGCAGGTGTCCACGTCGGTAAATTCTGGTCAAAATTGACCGGAAGGACTAAATTGGCACAAAAACAAAAGGTTTAGGACTGAATTGGCACCAATTTAAAAGGTTTAGGACTTAATTGGCACCAAAAAAAGGTTTAGGACTAAATTGGCACCAATGCAAAAGGTTTAGGACTGAATTGGCACCAAAAAAAGGTTTAGGACTAAATTGGCACCAATGCAAAAGGTTTAGGACTGAATTGGCACATTTCCCGAGTTACAATAGATAAACGGACTTGTCTCATACTGATCCAAATAAAGTGGCAAAAGAGTTGAAGAGAAAAAGGCTTTGCTCTTTCACTGGTTAAGAGAGACGGGTTTCAAAACACAATTGTGCTTAGATGGAGAGAAAGAGACGGAGGAAAATGATTAGGAGGGATTATGATAGATTAGGAGGAATACTACCTTTCCACATATACAATTTCATTGGATCGTGTAGTTTTACCAATAATTTGTTTTCATTACATAATGATTCAATTATTTAGATATAAAACAATTTTGCTTAATCTTTCAACTTCCGATTTCTTGCGCACACACAATGCGTGTGCATGTTTGTCGGTCGTCTGAAAAGATAAGCGTTACCGTGCCCTTAATAGTACCAAAAAGACAATACTTGTAACAATGCAGGTATGCATGTCTGAAATTGATTAACAGTAATCTGCTATCACCGTGAGATTGATAACAAAATAATGTTCAGAACCCTTAAACAAGTTCAAGCAATGAAAATTTGATTCTTAATCCATGAACGTAAAATAAAGAAGTTTACGTGCGTGTTCATATGTGTGCGCCTACACAATTCCTTGCACAAAGGTGGTAAACCGTGGAGCGATAGATGACCTAAACTTTAAACCGAGTTCACCACATCCCTCGAGGCTCAAATTTCCCACTGAAGCTTACTTAAATGATTCGAGTCGATCTCATTCTCGATGCTGAAATAAGAAAATTTCGGGACCAAACGTCGAGCTTCTTTTTCGTCTTAATGTGTCAATGTCAAGATCCTCGAATGCATCCTAATAGCCTTGGAAACATTATTATCCACGACTTTATATATGACTGTACGAAACTATCTCACCAGAAATTTTTTGCAGTCTAAGGCAATCACTTGCTAAGTTGTTAGGTAAATCCAAATTATGTTTAATGCAAAAGACGATCCTCTTATTAAAAAGGTAGATCTTACAAAAATGTATCGGGTTAATAGGCTACGCTAAGCTCCATTTCTCTACGCTTCTGAGGCTATAAATATAAGGTGACCTTTACCATGCAAGTTCAATTATCATATTCATCATCACTTGAAGCAAACTCGAGTTCTTTGGTTCACTGCCTTCAGGTACACTGAGGAATGGCTTCCTCTAGGGTTTTTCTGCTCTGCGGCCTCGTCTTCGCCGTGCTTCTTCTCATCTCCTCTTACAAGGCTGCAGCTGGCGAGCTTGTCGAGGCGACTAATTCATCTCGTAAGTTTCACTCCACTTCATCCATCTTCTCTGTATATAGGTACTTCGTATATACAATGTGTTGAACTTCTTGTGCATGTATGTAAGAGAGCATGAAGGAATATGGACATGGGAAAGGCCCTGGCACCCTTGGGAAGGGGTACCGCGGCAGCGCCCATGTCCATCATGACAACGATGATGACGATGACCACCATGATCATGGCCATGACCACGGGCACGGTGGCCATGGCAGCCCCGACGATCATGGGAAGGAGCACTGTCACGACAGCCACCCAAAAGAAGAAATTGAAAAAGCCGGAAATAACTAGAAAATTACTGAAGTGCAATATGTGCGCTTCTCCTAGCTAGTACAGTGTGTAACAGAGAGTGCGTGTGACTAATTAAGCTCCGAGCACTCTATACGTCAACAAGGATGATATTGCCAATGGGCAGGTCTGAAGCTAAGCAATAAGCCAGTAACCCACTGTTTAGTTTTCATGGATACTTTCATGTTCTGTTGCATATATTCTATGGAAAAAAAGCATATTATTTGAAACATCTTGTGGAATCACAGTACTTCCTACGATGCAAACATGTAATCGCGTAAAAGAATTCAGAAGAAAAGAAAATAATTAAAGTCCGACTTGGGACGAAATTACTATATAGAAATATACATCTATACTTGGTTCAAAGCCGCTTATAATTATCATTATCCCTGTAAGCCGTGAATATAGACTAAGGGGATGAACAAATAGTATTAATTAGCTAATATGGAAGATGTGCTTGAAAGGCATGCGAGCAAACGGAGAATCGTCTCTATAATCCCTCCAAGTAGATTGGACGTTCAACTTCCGTCCTCCTTGACTCAGCGAGCGTGAGCATCTCCATCGGCTCATCCAACCCTCTCGCCCGAGAAGTAATACCACTTGACAGGTCTTCCAATGAACGCAAAGACTGTGACGCATAAATGCGCGATACGGCTAAAATCGACGTTGTTCCGTCACTGGCGGAGTCGCCGGCACTGATTGGAAGCCGACCACTGCTGCACGTTCATGGCCAAGCCACCCCTCCGTGGCTCGCAGTCGTTGCCGTCGATGGCCAAGCCACCCACTTTGTTGCAGCTCGTCCATTTGCTGCACCAGAGCAGAGCAAAAAGAAAAGAAAGAAAGATGTTCCCACACTGCTGCGACTGAAGAAAGATGTTGGCACTTCCCACAAACTTTTGGACTAAGACGAAAAGCCCACCTCCAAGTCTTTTTTGGGGGTTCAAGAGGAGCGCAAGTCTCAACTTAGAAGGTGTCCAAAAGAAGATCTTGATTTGCTCATTCCCACTTTTGTGGAGAAGCAATTCGACTGGTTTAGCTCCGAATCCCCAAAAAGGTTAATACCACCAAAAATTTCAAATTGGTACACCTATAACAATTTTATCAAAAACTAATTTTTTGACCATGAAAAATCTCAAACTGGTACACCGTAACAATTTTACCCCGAACTATTTTTTTGACCACCAAAAACCTTACACTGGTACACTTGTGATAATTTTACCCCGAACTAAGTTTTTGATCACCAAAAACCTCAAACTGGTGCACCTGTGATAAGTTTACCTCAAATTAATTTTTTGATCACTAAAAATTCAAATTGGTACATTTGTGACAAATTTATCCTCTGTTAGTGTCCGTCAAATTTGATTAATATCACGAAGAACTATAAATTGATAAATTTGTGACAAACAGAGGGGTAAAACTCCAAACTGGTACACTTGTAAACTACCACGTGTTATCAAACTTAGCAATTTGACAGTAAAATTTAACGAAAACTAATGGAGGGTAAATTTGTCACAGGTGTATCAGTTTGGATTTTTTGTGGTCAAAAAACTAGTTCGGGGTAAAATTGTTACAAGTATATCAGTGTAGGGTTTTTTGTGGGCCAAAAAATGATTTGAGATAAAATTGTCATAAGTATACCAGTTTAGGATTTTTTGTGGTCAAAAAAATAGTTTTTAGTAAATTTGTCACAGATGTATTAATTTGGAGTTTTTCGTGTTATTAACTCTCCGAAAAAAGGAACCATCCATTGCATTGCCAGATCTGATCAACACGAGCCATGACCGCAGTTCGTCTATCCACCGACAACAACCACGGCAAGCAACGAAGTTCAGATCTGATCTCCGTGACTTCAGATCTGGGCGACCGAATTTGATCTGCGTCAACTAAGGAGGAGGGAGGGAACTCAAGCGACCATGGACGAGGATGGCTGCAAGCGACGACGAAGCGAGTGGCTCAGCCCTGGACACCCAGCAGTGATCAGCTTTTGACGCGGTGCCGGCAATCCGCTGGTGACTGGATAGAGGAGCTGATCGCGGAGAGAGCAAAAACGAGAAGTTGATTTTTAATTTTTTTTTTATTCATTTGCCACATCATGAATGAGTGCCAATTTCTAATTGAATTTGGAACAAAAACACATGTCACGTCAACCTATGACGTGGCACTGCTGCGTAACCACTGAATACGATACTTCCTTATATGTTGCCTTTCCTTCAATAAACAAAGATCGAGGTGGGCTTAGAGAGTACTTTTGAAATCTGTTGACAACAGTGAACGTGGAAATTGGAGGACTCTAAAGAAAGGGACATATGCAGGACAATATCGGGAATAAAGTTGGGATGGAAATTTCCCCTAAAGAGTACCTCTTTTGGATCGTTGCAACTTGCGTTCTTTTTGCTATTGAGTCCTCGTTGATTTTATTTTCACAGTCCCCTAACTTATGCTGTTTGTCATTGTATCCTTCCTTTTTATTTCATTTTCCGTCGCTCCAAAGGAATGTGCATCTACCATGGAGCATATCTCTGAACCCAAATTCTAGTTCGACAAGTTATTTGACAACCTAGTTTTATGAGCTAGGCTACTATGCCACGAGGGCATCATGTCCACAAATTTCATGACCGTTTGATCATTACTCTCAACCGTTGGTGATTAATGGCTGAAATCCAATGGTGATGATCCGATGATTCTAATTATAAGGATGTGTTGCATTCGTGATATAATAGTTCGATCCGGGTTCTACATTATATGAAAGAGTTGTCATACAGTCTCCGACAAAATGGACTGAAAAGGTTGTCCGAAAACTCGCAACGGCATAAATGTAACTTAATGAAGCTTCACAGGCAAACTTTTTTTATTAGTGAGAGTCGAGTTCGCGTCGGTCAAAGAGCAAATCATTTTTCTATACGATAACAATGCTACACCACACTAACACATCATATAATCTTCCGTCATTGCATGGACCAATAGACAAAAGAAATGCATCATTGGGGAAAAAAGACGGCATTCATAATTATGATCAATAGGAAGAGGAGTATCAAAAAGAAGGTTATGATGAGCATCTATTTGGGTAAATATTGTATGGATTCATCCCATGTGGATGTGCGGATGTAGCGAAAGTCAAATATAATCAATTACATTGTGAAATATATACACACGAAAGATTGTGTTTTCTTAAAGACTAATGTCAATTTTGCCCAGTAATTAAGGATCCAATGTTTAAGCTTTGAAATTTTCTGAAATGTGATTAATCGATTTAATAGAGCTACGTTGTATACATTAGATTTGCTGCGAATGCCTCAGAACTTCGGCTTCAACCACTGCACCAAAGCCTTGCACTCTCTAATGGCCCTCACGTCCGCCCCATTCCTGATCAGCTGCGGGAAGAACAGCCACATAGCGGTCACCGCCACGAACCCCGCCGTCAGCGGCGTTGCCACCACCCTGCTCAGCCTCCACCTCTCCCCCGCCGCCCCCTTCGCCGCCACCTCCGCCACCACGCACGCCCCCTGCAGCACGAAGAAGCCCGCCACCTCCCACGTGGGCCTCGCGCGTACCATGTAGTAGTACAGCAGTTCGTGCATCAGCCCGGACACGAGGAACGCCGCCATGACCGCCGCCGCCGCCGCTGGCCACGCCGCGCCCAAGCGTGGTTCAAGGAACGACTTCAGGGGCCTGTACACGGTGTGCCGCAGGGCGTTGGTCACGGTGAGGTTCCACCTCCTGCCCCAGAAATCTTGGAGCGACGTGGACAGGTAGGGCTCGTCGGAGGGCATCTGGAGCTCGACGCCGAGGACGGCGCGCACGGCGGCGTTGCTTAGCCCCATGATCATGTCGACGAAGAGATAAAGCATGCACGAATAGAGAAGCAGAACCAGCTTCGGGTGCGCCTACAGGCACAGTTGCCCGATTTCAACACGAATGGAATGATGTCAGTAACAATTAATTCGAAAACGACAGGAATCGGTGAAATAAGCAAAACTCCCGCAACAACATGAGCAGACATCAACATCGATTCTTATTCGAATTTGACACGTGAAACCGAATCAACATGCCCGACCTGCAACAGCAACTTGTCCCGGTGGTCATGCACGAGGATGGAGACTCCGCAAAGTAGCAATTTTGAGGGGAAATTGAGGGGCACTTTGGGGGTTTGGGGAGATGGGTAGTCTTGCGCTTGCTTGATTTTGACGGGGAAGCACGCGAAGAGGATGAAGAGGAAGAGGGACTTCGATGGGTCGGGATGAGAACCGGGAACGGAGGAGAGGGGGCCTCGGTCGAAGGAGAAGAGGAAGAGCTTGAAGGAGGCGAGCCAGGTGACGAAGAAGGCGGTGACGCCGGTGGGGAGGACGGTGGAGAGCCGGAGGGGGAGGGCGGCGAAGAGGGAGAAGACGGGGAGGAGGGAGAAGAGCCTGAGCCTGCCCGGAGGGAGTTTGGAGGAGACGAAGTAGCAGTAGCACACGCAGGCGAGGACTGTGAGCCACACGTTGATGAAGTTACGTGCTTCCTCTTCCATATTCTTCTCTCTCTTCTGCTAGCGCTCTCCCGCTCTCTCCTCAGAGAGTATTGTGCGCGTCTTCTTCTTGATGATGTCTGTCTCGTCCATGGGGGATTGGTCGGCAAATCTGTCCTTGATTTGCTTCCTTACATTATGCACTGAAAGTTTGGCAAAAAAATAAAAAAACAACGTGAAACTCAAAGTGGTCTGATTGGCCCTACGTGGGAGCATGGTCCGCATGTGCGGATCCCACCTTAGAATTGGGAACAACCCGCTAAAAACCAGTTTCGAAAAATCAATCCGATTTCTGAGTGGATCCATGGAACCGGTCCCATCAAGTTTCACGCGTCACCACTGTAATATGGAACAAAGAATTACACAATGGAAAGAAATGATTCTGGATTAATTAAAATTACACCTCATCAAAGACACTCCCGGACAGAGCTAATGAACCAACAAAATGAATGTTAGGAAGTGGTTGAGCAAGAGAGCACACTCACCAAACTTGTTATGAATGGGCAAAAGTAGACGGTAATCCAACATAAAAACTAGTCAGTAACTTGTTGAACGGCCGCTAGTCAATAGTAGTAGAGCCACTGCCCCATCGAGGCAGAGTCATTACATGACAAAAGGTCTTTATATTGCCAGATAAGATTAGCGAGTTTCACATTAGGGATTTAGGATTTTTCTTTTTTTAATATATTTTTTATTTTTTTCTGCCTTCTTCCCTCTGGCCGGATGTCGGACTGGCTAGAGGCGCCACCTCGCCGGCCTTTGGCGAAACTCGCCCCCGCTGGCCACTGGCGAGGGCAAGCCTCGCCCACCACTGCAGGCCGACCTCGCCCAACCAAGACAAGGTCGACCTGCGACGACGCTGGCCGGCTTCGCCCAGCCAAGGCGAGGTTGAGCCTCGTCGTCACTAGGTTCACCTCGCCCAACGACGACGAGGTCGGCCTCGCCGTGGCTGGGCGAGGCTCGACTTCGCCGGATCTAGGTGAGGTGAAACCCAGCAACGGCGAGTTCGAGCCTCGCCCAGCCAAGGCGAGGCAGGCTAGCACCGTCGCAGGTCGGCCTCACCTTGGTTGGGCGAGGTTGGCCTGGTAGTAGAGGGCGAGGCTCGCCCTCGCCAATGGCCGGCTGGGGCGAGCTTCGCCAAAGGCCGGCGAGGTCGAACTCGCCGACTCGCGCCTCTGGTAAGAAGGCAGAAAAAAAATATTAAAAAATTATCACGTTAGCGTTGCCCGAATGAACTCAATTGGCAAGAAGTGAAAAGGTTTATGACTGAATGGACAAAAGTGCAATAAATTTAAGACTTTTTCGACAATTTTCCCCGTGTTAATGTGGTGTAGCATTGTTATTGTACAGAAAAATGATTTGCTCTTCGACCGATGCGAATTCCGACTCTCACTAATTTAAAAGAAAAAATTGCCCTTGAAGTTTGATAAAGTTACATTTCTATTGTCACGAGCTTTCGGACAAGCTTTTCAGTCCATTTTGTCGGAGATTGTATGACAACTCTTTCATATAATGTAGAACTCGGATCAGACAGTTATATCACGAAGGCAGCATATCCTTATGATTAGAATTGTCGGATCATCACCATTGGATTTCAGCCATTAATCACCAACGGTTGAGAGTAATGATCAAACGGTCATGAAATTTGTGGACACGATGCCCTTGTGGCATGGTAGCCTAGCTCATAAAACTATGTTGTCAAATAACTTGACGAACTAGAATTTGGGTTCAGAGATATGCTCCATGGGAGATGCACATTCCTTTAGAGCGACGCAAAATTAAATAAAAAGGAACGATACAATGACAAACATCATAAGTTAGAGGACTGTGAAAATAAAATCAAAGAGGACTCAATAGCAAAAAGAATGCAAGTTGCAACGATCCAAAAGAGGTACTCTTTAGAGGAAATTTCCATCCCAACTTTATTCCCGATATTGTCCTGCACATGTCCCTTACTTTAGAGTCCTCCAATTTGCATATTAATTTTTGTTAACAGATTTCAATTGGACTAAAATACCACTACTCTTTAAAAAAAAAAGGGAAAATACCACAAAAAATCCCAAACTATGCCTATTGTGACACATTTACCCTGAACTTTTTTTGTTATACTAAAAATCCCAAACTATGCCCACTGTGACACATTTACCCTAAACTTTTTTTTGTGACACCAAAAACCCTAAACTTGTACTCGTGTGACACATTTACCCTCCGTTATGTTTCTGTCAAAAATCATTGTTAAGAGTCCTACGTGGCTGCAGACTTGGATGATGGACTTTAAACGACGCTGATGTGGTGCCAACATGGATTAAGTGAGGGAAAACAATCCTATTTTTTATCTGACGTGGCTGAAATATTAGAAGACGTCGTTCTTTCCTCTTGCTCCACGCTCAAAACTCTCCATGCTCAGTTTCTCTCTATTGAAGCTCAACGCTCTGTCTCTCTCTCACTTTGTCCGCTCGAGTGCTCTCTGAATTCCATTTGTGCACACGATTTTCGCCGTTTTCCTCTCTTGCATTGGCTCCACAAAACTCGATTTGGGGCTTTAGGGTTAGTATCCTGCTCGAATCTCTCTCTCAAGGAAGCTCGATTTTGTTCAAACTTGTTTGCTGCTCGACTGGATTAAGGCGATTTGGGGCTTTAGGCTTTCGTATGTTCTTTGATTCTCTCTCTCAAGGATGCTCGACTCGGCTAAAGTTCAATTTGTTCGAAGCTCGTTTGCTCCCTGAAGGCGATTTGGGTTTTTTTAGAGGTTTCTTGTTCGTCGGCTCCATGGAGAAGGTCAGCTCAGCGATTTGGGACTTTTTCTAGTGTTTCTTGCTGGTCTCGATTCACCAACATTCTGTGAGTATTATCTTCACCATATTTACTTTTGAGGTTCTTGTTTTGGCAGTTTTGCCATTGTAGTAAAATCAAAGCTCAATTTGTTCGACGCCGTTTGCTGGTCTAAGGAGCTCGATTCAAGAAGGATGCATACGAAAAATGGTACCAATTTCCATTGCCAACATTGAATGGGAAGGACATGTGGCTAGTGTCCACTGATGAGCCAATATTACCTCCGGCATTTAGAAAGCTTCCAGGGAGACCCAATAAACAACGCAATAAGCAGGGGGAGAATCTTGAGAAAAGGACAAGAAAAAGGAAGGCCAAAGTTAATCCAAATGCTGATCCAAATAAATTGACAAAAGTTGGGGTAATCATCTCATGCTCAAACTATCACGACTCGGGACACAAAAAGAAAACATGCCCCAAGCCTCCAGCACCCACACAAATTAAACCTCCGATAAGGAAAATTGCAGATATTTTTATATGTTTGTTAGTTTAGAATATTCACGGTAACTAATGTATGTTTTTCTTTGCAGGGTAAAAAGGGGAGACCAAGAAAATATCCAAGACCAACCACAGTGGAAGGGAGATCTGCTGGACAAGGAGATACAAGAATTGCACCTCTTAGGACACAATCCAATGTTATCAAAGCTGAGAAAAGAAGGGTGAGTAGTGATTCACAAGAATGCATCCTAACTTGGCCATTGTTATAAGAATAATGTGCTTATTATTTATCCATTTACAGGTTCAACAAGGATATGGATTATATGCATCAGAATCCACCGGAAACTCATATTTTAGGATAATAACTTGTCAAAGTTTAAGTTGTTTTCATAAACTGGACCTCCATGATCACAAGTTGTCTCTTTGTAAATTTTTAGAGTCCTGGAAGTGACGTAATCCATGAAATTCATATTAACAATGCAAATGATGCTCCTAAAGCCTCTGCAAGCCAGACAGGAGCCTCTGCAAGCCAAACAGACCATGTCTCAACCCAAACTTGTGGACCATTTGGAACTCAAGAATCTGCAAGTCATGCCCCACACTGATCTGCATGTGTATGTTCTGCTAAGTCTGAATGTTTGCTTCATATTATGTTACCCGACATGAATGAATGTGCTTTAGACTAATCTTAATAGGAATTATACCTGCATTTCTGTTATTCATTGTTGGTTGATTCCTATGAGAATTTAATGTTGCATTAGAATTTATACCTGCATTCCTATGACAAGGCTTATGCTGGATGATCACTTCCCTCGCTTAGGCTATTTCAGACAAATCCATTAGTTGAATAATGTTGTTGTTATGAAGCTAATTCAGTTGTTGTTTTCTTACAAAGTACTATCTGTTGTTGGCCTTTCTATTAATGCAAGTGTAGCTAATCAGAAGACAGCTCAAAGGCTGATTTGCTCATTATCCTTGAAAAATTCCTTGTAATTATTCCACGCAAACATTTCTGTTTTTTTTTTCTATTTACTTTTTGAAAAGATTCGAACCATATGGAATGGTTCAGGATGCTATAATCAAGACCCGAGATGAATGAACTTCAAGAAAGATTCCACTCATTGCAGCCTTATATGTGACAACACTAATGTCTTAGCCGAAAAAGCCGTTTTGCTCAATTTTAGTGATCTCTGTAATTATTCGAACAATATGGAATGGTCGAGAATGCTATTGTCAATATTTTCATGTATTTCCACATTTAGTGACCATAAGCAAGAACCAGGTTTTATCCTTGTTCTCTTCTCGCACCCTTTTTACTCCATCCTAGTTACTGGGGTCACTCTTAGCCATCAAGTCAATGCACCCTTGAGACCATCTCCTTTGCGGTAACAAATCCAAATAAAAGATAGTACAAATGAAAATAAACGATAGTACAAATGATGGTAAAATAATTTGTGTAATGGTGTCAACATTCATCTTCAAGTATTCCAAATATACACTCTCCCAAGCAGCTTGGAGCTCGTTAACAGTTCAATTGCTAAATCTATTTGACGACGTATATTATGACAAAGCCGCACCAACATTTTATGTACATCTACAAGGGAACAATATAAAGAAGAACATTATTACAACTGCATTTTCCTAGAGTTTATCTTATCTCTACAAGTCCACAAGAGAAAGGAGAATGATACGGATTTATATGCCAACTAATGGACTACACAACATATCCTCTGGCAAGGCACTGGCCTACAAATTCTATCTATCTATTCTCAGGTTATTACGTCTGAGTTCAGGTTTTGCATCCATTCGGCAGGTAAATATTGCTATAGCTACTGAAGTGCAATAGAGATACGATTGAAACGTGATGAGATAAAAATATTTCCTGCAAAATCAAAATGTAGCCACTACATAAGTTCTTCCAGCATGCAACTAGCCATGAGAGAATTTAATACTACTCCCAATCAGTGGACACTGGTAATAGGACAGCAATATGGATCACAAAAGCATCAAACACTTTTTACTCCCAATTGAATGCATTGATAACTCTAGCAAAAAAAAAGGTAAAGGGAATGGCTGTTGAAATCATTCCTTCAATCTAGCTAATTGATTTGCACCTGAACGACTAAAAACAAATCACTCTTGCTTGTTCAGAATTACCGACTACGCAGCAAACTCAACATCAACAGAAAAAGAATGCGATGCACATAAGCACATAGATGAGAGAGCACTCACGCTTCAGCCATGAATCGAGCTCCTTAGACCAGCAAACATGCCTCCAACAAATCGAGCTTCGATTTTACTACAATGGCGAAACTGCCAAATCAAGAACCTCAAAAGTAAATATTGTGAAGAGAATACTCACAAAATGTTGGTGAATCGAGACCAGCAAGAAACATTAGAAAAAGCCCCAAATCGCTAAGCCGACCTTCTCCATGGAGCCGACGAACAGGAAACCTCTAAAAAAACCCAAATCGCCTTCGGGGAGCAAATGAGCTTCGAACAAATTGAACTTTAGCCGAGTCGAGCATCCTTGAGAGAGAGAATCAACGAACATACGAAAGCCTAAAGCCCCAAATTGCCTTAATCCAGTCGGCCAGCAAACGAGTTCGAACAAAATCGAGCTTCCTTGAGAGAGAGATTCGAGCAGGATACTAACCCTAAAGCCCCAAATCGAGTTTTGTGGAGCCAACGCAAGAGAGGAAAACGGCGAAAATCGTGTGCACAAATGGAATTCAGAGAGCACTCGAGCGGACAAAGTGAGAGAGAGACAGAGCGTTGAGCTTCAATAGAGAGAAACTGAGCATGGAGAGTTTTGAGCGTGGAGCAAAAGGAAAGAACGACGTCTTCTAATATTTCAACCACGTCAGATAAAAAATAGGGTTGTTTTCCCTCACTTAATCCACGTTGGCGCCACGTCAGCTTCGTTTAAAGTCCGTCGTCCAAGTCAGCAGCCACGTTGGACTCTTAACAGTGACTTTTGACAGAAACATAACGAAGGGTAAATGTGTCACACGAGTACAAGTTTAGGGTTTTTGGTGTCACAAAAAAAAGTTTAGAGTAAATGTGTCACAATGAGCATAGTTTGAGATTTTTAGTATCACAAAAAAAAAGTTTAGGATAAATATGTCACAATGGGCATAGTTTGAAGCCTTTTGTGGCATTTTTTTCTTAAAAAAATGCCAAAAGTACTTTCTAAGCCCACCTCGATCTTTGTTAATTGGAAATAGAGCAACATATGAGAAAGGGTTAGTTATCACGTACCGTTGGAGGACGACGTGACATGTATTTTTGTTACAAATTCAATTTGAAATTGACACTCATTCATGATGTGGCAAATAAATAAAAATATTAAAAATCAATTTCTCTTTTTTCTCTCTCATCTTCCTCTCTGTCTGCGGCTAGCTCCTCCATCCAGTCATTGGCAGAATCGCCAGCACTGTGTAAAAGCCGATCATCGCTGTGCATTTATGGTTGAGCCACTCCCTTCAAATTGAAGGCTTCAATGTCGCTCCTGGCCATGATATCGTTGCTCAAGTTCTCTCCCTCGTCCTTAGTTGCCGCAGATTAGATTCAATCGACCAAATCTGAAGTCACGTCAGTGCCGGCAGGTCAAAGTTGAACGAATGGACTCAATTGACAAGAAATAAAAAAGTTTAGAACTGAATTAACAAATTTAAAATGTTTAAGATTGAATTGGCAAAAGTGTAATAGGTTTAAGATTTTTTAGACAATTTTTCCTATTAACACGTAGTATAATCTTCCTGGTAGGTCTCATTGCATGACCAATAGAAAGAAGAAAAGCATTATTGGGGATAAAAGACGGCATTCATAATTCTGATCAATAGGAAGAGGAGTATCAAAAAAAAAAAGACTATGATGAGCATCTATTTGGGTAAATATCGTATTGATTCATCCCATGCGGATGTGCGGATATAGCGAAAGTTCAACATGATCAATTACATTGTGAAATATATATATATAGACACACACAAAAGATTGTGTTTTCTTAAAGACCATTGTCAACTTTTTCTTTTTTGCCCAGTAATTAAGGACCAATGTTAGCTTTGCAAATTTTTGAAATGTGATTAACCGATACGGTAGAACAACGTTGTATGCATTAAATTTAGTCCGAATGCCTCCTGACACGTCTCAGAACTTAGGCTTCAGCCACTCCACCAAAGCCTTGCACTCTCTAATGGCCCTCACGTCTGCCCCATTCCTGATCAGCTGCGGGAAGAACAGCCACATAGCGGTGGCCGCCACGAACCCCACCGTCAGCGGCATCGCCACCGCCCTGCTCAGCCTCCACCTCTCCCCCACCGCCCCCTTCGCCGCCACCTCCACCACCACACACGCCCCCTGCAGCATGAAAAACCTCGTCACCTCCCACGTGGGCCTCGCGCGTACCATGTAGTAGTACAGCAGTTCGTGCATCAGCCCGGACACAAGGAACGCCGCCATTACCGCCGCCGCCACCGGCCACGCGGCGCCCAAGCGCGGTTCGAGGAACGACTTCAGGGGCCTGTACATGGTGTGCCGCAGGGCGTTGGTCACGGTGAGGTTCCACCTCCTGCCCCAGAAATCTTGGAGCGACGTGGACAGGTAGGGCTCGTCGGAGGGCATCTGGAGCTCGACGCCGAGGACGGCGCGCGCGGCGGCGTTGCTTAGCCCCATGATCATGTCGACGAAGAGATAAAGCATGCACGAATAGAGAAGCAGAACCAGCTTCGGGTGCGCCTACAGGCACAGTTGCCCGATTTCAACACGAATGGAATGAAGTCAGTAGCAATTAATTCGAAAACGACAGGAATCGGTGAAATAAACAAAACTACCGCAACAACATGAGCAGACATCAACATCCATTCTTATTCGAATTTGACACGTGAAACCGAATCAACATGCCCGACCTGCAACAGCAACTTGTCCCGGTGGTCATGCACGAGGATGGAGACTCCGCAAAGCAGCAATTTTGAGGGGAAATTGAGGGGCAATTTGGGGGTTTGGGGAGATGGGTAGTCTTGCGCTTGCCTGATTTTGACGGGGAAGCACGCGAAGAGGATGAAGAGGAAGAGGCACTTCGATGGGTCGGGATGAGAACCGGGAACGGAGGAGAGGGGGCCTCGGTCGAAGGAGAAGAGGAGGAGCTTGAAGGAGGCGAGCCAGGTGACGAAGAAGGCGGTGACGCCGGTGGGGAGGACGGTGGAGAGCCGGAGGGGGAGGGCGGCGAAGAGGGAGAAGACGGGGAGGAGGGAGAAGAGCCTGAGCCTGCCCGGAGGGAGTTTGGAGGAGACGAAGTAGCAGTAGCACACGCAGGCGAGGACTGTGAGCCACACGTTGATGAAGTTACGTGCTTCCTCTTCCATATTGTTCTCTCTCTTCTGCTAGCGCTCTCCCTCTCTCTCCTCAGAGAGTATTGTGCGCGTCTTCTTCTTGATGATGTCTGTCTATGGGGGATTGGTCGGCAAATCTGCCCTTGATTGCTTCCTTACATTACGAACTGAAAGTTTGGCAAAAAAAAAACCCAACGTGAAACTCAAAGTGGTCTGGTTGGCCCTACGTGGGAGCATGGTCCGCATGTGCGGATCCCACCCTAGAATTGATGACAGCCCACTAAAAACTGGTTCTGAAAAATAGGTCCGGTTTCCGGATGGGTCCATGAAACCGGTCTCACCAAGTTTCACGCGTCGTCACTATAATATGCAACAAAGAATTATACAACGGAAAAAAATGATTCTAGATTAATTAAAATTACACCTCATCAAAGACACTCCCGGACAAAGCTAATGAACCAACAAAATGAATTTTTAGGAAGTGGTTGAGCAAGGGAGCACACTCACCAAACTTGTTATAAATGGGCAAAAGCATACAGTAATCCAACATAAAAACTAGTCAGTAACCTGTTGAACGGCCGCTAGTCAACAGTCGTAGAGCCACTACCCCATCGAGAGCCACTGCCCCATTGAGAGCCACTGCCCCATCGAGCCAAAGTCATTACATGACAAAAGGTCTTTATATTGCCAGATAAGATTAGCGAGTTTCACATTAGGGATTTAGGATTTTTCTTTTTTTAATATTTTTTTCTTTTTTTTCTGCCTTCTTCCCTCTAGCCGGTCGTCGGACCGGCCAGAGGCGCAACCTCGTCGGCCTCTTGCGAAACTCACCCCCGCTGGCCACTAGCAAGGGCGAGCCTCGCCCACTACTGCCAGGCCAACCTCGCCTAGCCAAGGCGAGGTTGACCTGTGACGGCGCTAGCCGGCCTCGCTTGGGCTGGGCGAGGCCGACCTTACCCAAATCCGACGAGGTTGTGCCTCGTTGTCGCTGGGTTCACCTTACCCAGCGATGGCGAGGTCAGCCTCACCGTCGCTGGGCGAGGCTCCACCTCGCCGGATCTGGGTGAGGTGAAACCCAGCAATGGCGAGGTCGAGCCTCGCCCAGCCAAGGCGAGGCCGGCCAGCACCGTCGCAGGTCGACCTCGCTTTGGCTGGGCCAAGTCGGCCTGGCAGTGGCGGACGAGGCTCGCCCTCGCCAGTGGCCGGCAGGGGCGAGGTCGACCTCGCCGGCTCGCGCTTTTGGCCGGTCCAGCGACCGGCCAGAGGGAAGAAGGCAGAAAAAAAAATATTAAAAAATTGTCAAGTCAGTGTTGCCCGAACGAACTCAATTGGCAAGAAGTGAAAAGGTTTAAAACTGAATGGCAAAAGTGCAATAAATTTAGGACTTTTTCGATAATTTTCCCCGTGTTAATGTGGTGTAGCATTGTTATCGTACAAAAAAATGATTTGCTCTTCGACTGATGCGAATTCCGACTCTCACTAATTTAAAAGAAAAAAATTGCCCTTGAAGCTTGACAAAGTTACATTTCTATTGTCACGAGCTTTCGGACAAGCTTTTCAATCCATTTTGTCGAAGATTGTATGACAACTCTTTCATTTTGTCGAAGATTGTCGAAGAATGTAGAACTCGGATCGGACTGTTATATCACGAAGGCAGCATATCCTTATGATTAGAATCGTCGGATCATCACCATTGGATTTCAGCCATTAATCACCAACGGTTGAGAGTAATGATCAAACGGTCATGAAATTTGTGGACACGATGCCCTTGTGGCATGGTAGCCTAGCTCATAAAACTATGTTGTCAAATAACTTGACGAACTAGAATTTGGGTTCAGAGATATGCTCCATGGGAGATGCACATTCCTTTAGAGCGACGCAAAATTAAATAAAAAGGAACGATACAATGACAAATAGCATAAGTTAGAGGACTGTGAAAATAAAATTAAAGAGGACTCAATAGCAAAAAGAATGCAAGTTGCAACGATCCAAAAGAGGTACTCTTTAGAGTAAATTTCCATCCCAACTTTATTCCCGGTATTGTCCTGCACATGTCCCTTACTTTAGAGTCCTCCAATTTGCATATTAATTTTTGTTAACAGATTTCAATTGGACTAAAATGCCACTACTCTTTAAAAAAAGGGAAAATGCCACAAAAAACCCCAAACTATGCCCATTGTGACATATTTACCCTGAACTTTTTTTTTGTGATACTAAAAACCCCAAACTATGTCCACTGTGACACATTTACCCTAAATTTTTTTTTGTGACATCAAAAACCCTAAACTTGTACTCGTGTGACACATTTACACTCCGTTATGTTTCTGTCAAAAATCACTGTTAAGAGTCCTACATGGCTGCTGACTTGGACGACGGATTTTAAACGACGCTGACGTGCCGCCAACGTGGATTAAGTGAGGGAAAACAACCCTATTTTTTATCTGACGTGGCTGAAATATTAGAAGACGTCGTTCTTTCCTCTTGCTCCACGCTCAAAACTCTCCATGCTCAGTTTCTCTCTATTGAAGCTCAACGCTCTGTCTCTCTCTCACTTTGTCCGCTCGAGTGCTCTCTGAATTCCATTTGTGCACACGATTTTCGCCGTTTTCCTCTCTTGCATTGGCTCCACAAAACTCGATTTGGGGCTTTAGGGTTAGTATCCCGCTCGAATCTCTCTATCAAGGAAGCTCGATTTTGTTCGAACTCGTTTGCTGGCCGACTGGATTAAGGCGATTTGGGGCTTTAGGCTTTCGTATGTTCATTGATTCTCTCTCTCAAGGATGCTCGACTCGGCTAAAGTTCAATTTGTTCGAAGCTCATTTGCTCCCCAAAGGCGATTTGGGTTTTTTTAGAGGTTTCCTATTCGTTGGCTCCATGGAGAAGGTCGGCTCAGCGATTTGGGGCTTTTTCTAGTGTTTCCTGCTGGTCTCGATTCACCAACATTCTGCGAGTATTCTCTTCACCATATTTACTTTTGAGGTTCTTGTTTTGGCAGTTTCACCATTGTAGTAAAATCAAAGCTCGATTTGTTCGACGTCGTTTGCTGGTCTAAGGAGCTCGATTCAAGAAGGATGCATACGAAAAATGCTACCAATTTCCATTGCCAACATTGAATGGGAAGGACATGTGGCCAATGTCCACTGATGAGCCAATATTACCTCCACCATTTAGAAAGCTTCCAGAGAGACCCAAGAAACAACTCAATAAGCAGGGGGAGAATCTTGAGAAAAGGACAAGAAAAAAGGAAGGCCAATGTTAATCCAAATGCTGATCCAAATAAATTGACAAAAGTTGGGGTAATCTTCTCATGCTCAAACTGTCATGACTCGGGACACAAAAAGAAAACATGCCGCAAGCCTCCAGCACCCATACAAATTAAGCCTCCAGTAAGGAAAATTGCAGATATTTTTATATGTTTGTTAGTTCAGAATATTCACGGTAACTAATGTATGTTTTTCTTTGCAGGGTAAAAAGAGGAGACCAAGAAAATATCTGTCACGCCCCATACCCCACAAAGCGCTAACATCCCACGCAAAGGTCGATTTGATTGTGTGCGACGTCCTAGGAAGCGTCGCCGACCCAACGCCCAAACAGAGAGTAAAGCACAAGCGGAAGTAATAAATAACAAACCCTGACAGTATATACATGAGCCAAGGATAACCAAACAAGCAACCAACAATGATGAAAACATACTTGCTCTTTACATTGCTATTGAAAACTTCTTTACAAACATCCATACACAACTATAAAAAGGTACAAGTCCACACCTACACAGTCAACAGCCACAGGGTCAAAAAAGGAAGTGGCTAGGGAGGTCAGACTAACTCAAAGAGAGGGCTACAGCCAAAAAGTTACCAGCCCTCACTACTAGCTATGGCTTAAGATAAACCTAGGGTTTCCACTCAGGGTCGGAAGACTCAGTAGTGTCGTCCGACAGCTCCTCTGAAGGATTCTCTGAAGACTCGGACGGTTCAGAATCCATATCTTCGGCTTGGGCTCGCTCATCTTCAGAGTCCTCTCCAACTCTGGATCTAGGTAGAGACCTAACTCGTCGGCTACTCCCAGCTCTTCGTCAGATCCTACCTCAGCGACTTCTCCGTCCTCGCTTGAGTCTTGATCCATCGGCTCTGGTTCCGGCTCCTCTTCCATCGGTTCGGGGTCCTCATACCACATCACGGGTATCGGATTTACATCGACCGGCTCGTCTATGATCTGGGGATCCACAATCTCACCATCAGCCATTTGTGGGATCATCAATCCATCTTGACCAACCGGCACGTCAAAAGTTCTAAGGGGTTGCCCGAGGTTTCCATCTGCATCTCTCAAGCACCAAGCTACATATTCCTGAGTCTAATGAAAATACTCTCCCACGTTTACAAACACCATGGATCAGTATCTCACATAAGATTCCCCATTTCCTGCGGGGTATGTACTTGTATACTGATGTATCTGTATAGGTATTCCAAAAAGCGGTGGATTCGGCATCTTTACGGCTGGGGGTCTGAAAATGTGGGTTTTTACAACCATGAGACGAATCTCAGCGAGTACAACCCCTAAACCTAGGCTAGGCTAACATGCATTCTCCTGACAGGCAAAACAACATAGTACGCAACCAATGACTTGGCCCTCGGCCCAAATAGAACATAAAAATTACCCTGCAGGTTAGGCAGTTCATTAAAATTCTCAAGGCACATGTGCGAATACAATGGTCCCACGTGCACCACACGCATGCTCATGCTCACAATATTCATCTCACATGCCGGGTCATGCACTCTGTGCATGCAATGTCAATGTCATGCCATGCTTCCATTTCGGTTCACGCTACACACCGTCTCAATTATTAATAATTATTACGACTCGAGTCAACACAATTCTCGGCCCGGTGCGTCTAGCCTGCTTCAAAGTGCATGAGGCGCAACACCGATCTAGCCCAGTGTCTCTTGCCTGCTTCAAAGTGCATGAGGCGCAACACTGACCTCCTCACGAACCAGAGTCCGCGTAAAACGCATCAAGATGGTCGTCTTCCGGACGAACCGGGCATCGTCCTGCTTCAAAGTGCATGAGGACGGCACACCCCGCGTAACACGCATCAGGGCGAATTGTGATCACACATACACACTGCCAGTTATCATCTGAACCCCGCGTTAAACGCATCAGAGTATATTAGGTGATCACATGCTCATGGCAGGCACGCATTCTCGCACAATTTCAATTCATGTCTCATACTCGACATACGCAATGCGTGTCCATGTAATGCCACACCATGCACCATGAGCATCAAACCATAACACAAACACCCAATTATTTCAATGCCACAAACACGTGCTCAATTGGCCCATTTAATACCATACGGCCCAGTACACAAATCTCAATTCAGCATTCAACTCAAGCTACAATTGGCCAATCACATACTGCACAATTCCGTCACACGAGCACATAACAAGGCATTTCACAATTAAACACAATTAATCACCAATCAATCAACAGCCAATCACTCTGGGTAATCACGCCCATTCAGCTAGCAATTCTTACTGTCCGTTATAATCCGGTACATTTCCCCAAAGTACGGACAGCCACTATTCCATCAATCCGAGCCTAATAATCATCTATAATAATTCCACTAATTCCTCGGATTTTATTTCCACCAATCGGTCCTTAGTCCTGTCCTAATATACACCGATAATACCTAAACCAGTCCAGAAAATGCACTATCAGTCCTAATCCGGCTTAGGAGGTATACTCACTTAATCAAATTTCACGACGACGAGGAATGGCGGCCGATCACCGGTGAACGGTGAAACCGGCGGCGGCGTTCCCGGCGGCGACGTACGAACGCGGCGTACGGACACCGTACGGACGGCAACGTACGGGCGGCTGGAGGGTCACGGCGGCGGCAGCTCGGCTGATCAAGCTCCGGCGCGGCGGCGGCTTGCTCCGGCGTTCCTTTGGCCGGACGAAAAATGAGAGAGAGAGAGAGAGAGAAAACGGGGACAAGGGAGAGAGAAAACAGACGGGATGAGGGTGGGGGTGGTGAGGCGAGGTCAGGCGGAGCAGCAGCACCGGCGGACGGCGGCGGCACGGCGGCGGTCCGGCGAGCTCCGGCGTACGGACGGCAGCCGAGGAGGAAGAAGAGGAAAGCGTGGAGGAGGGGGAGCTGATCGATGGGGCTGGCCGAATGAGGGGGGGAGGAGAGAGAGACTGGTCAAACCGGTCAAATGGTGGGGCTTAGTGGGCGCCACGTGTCGCCGATCCGGGAGTTTTGACCAAAATGCCCTTGATCCAACGGTTTAGAATCATCCCTATCCAATAATTGATGGGCAAAAGGGTCATTGAGTCCAATATTGAGCTGATAATTAATTTTAATTATCCCAAATATTTTTCCAAAAATTCGGACCAAAAATAGGCCAGGGGCAAAATGGTCATTTTTCCGGTCCCGGGTCGAAATTCCAATTTTTGGCTATACCCACCCCAAATGGGTGTGGCCAACATAATATGGCGTCGGAATCGTGAAAATAGCCTCTTAAGCTCTCGAAAATCGACTGCAAAGTCCTGGGAAATAAAATAATATTATTTTTCACTTCCGAGCCAAAATTCCAATTTTTAACCGAAACAACTCTGAATGCGCGTGGCCACCCTAAAATGTCATCGGCCTCGAAAAATAGTCTCATATGGGTTCAAAATCAACGTCGGTGTCCAAAGGGGCAAAATCGTAATTTTTGACTTCCGGGTCGAAATTCCATTTTTCGACCGTACTAACCCCAAACGTGTGTGGCCAGCATAATATGACGTCAGAATCGTGAAAATAGCTTCTCAAGCCCTCGAAGATCGACACCGAAGTCCGGGTCCAATTTCATGATCAAAGCTCGCTAAATTTCCAATTTCAGTGTCTCTCACTAACGGGCAGTTGTTTAGAGGTTACGTGTATCGACCTAGGGTTATCCGAACCATGACGGTCTCGATCATTGAGAAAATGAGAAATTATCACTAGTCCCAAAGGTCGCGATCATTCGGTTCCAGTTCAGGACTGGTTGGCCACGTGCACTTTCGATCGTGCAGAATCACCTGCGATCCGATTGTACATCGTTGGCCTTGGCCAAATCAAATCCGTTACTATTCCTAAGATCGGCCCACATCAGTCCAAAATATTCCCTCATCATTTCTTGTGATCGGTGCCCGATTCACGATCGGGTCCCTAGTCCACGTACCGATTTCCTAGTTAGCTATACCCTATTGGTTAGTATCCCTAGAGTGATCAACTCTGGGCGAGACTCACTAAAATGAAATACGAAATAATGTCGATTTTATTGATCTCGAAATTATATCGAAATTCGAGCTGCTACAATATCCAAGACCAACCACAATGGAAGGGAGATCTGCTGGACAAGGAGATACAAGAATTGCACCTCTTAGGACACAATCCAATGTTATCAAAGCTGAGAAAAGAAGGGTGAGTAGTGATTCACAAGAAGGCATCCTAACTTGGCCATTGTTATAAGAATAATGTTCTTATTATTTATCCATTCACAGGTTCAAAAAGGATATGGATTATATGCATCAGAATCCACTGGAAACTCATATTTTAGGGTAACAACTTATCAAAGTTTAAGTTGTTTGCATAAACTGGACCTCCATGATCACAAGTTGTCTCTTTGTAAATTTTTAGAGTCCTGGAAGTGACGTAATCCATGAAATTCATATTAACAATGCAAATGATGCTCCTGAAGCCTCTGCAAGCCAGACAGGAGCCTCTGCAAGCCAGACAGACCATGTCTCAACCCAAACTTGTGGACCATTTGGAACTCAAGAATCTGCAAGTCATGCCCCACACTAATCTGCATGTGTATGTTCTGCTAAGTCTGAATGTTTGCTGCATATTATGTTACCCGATATGAATGAATGTGCTTTAGACTAATCTTAATAGGAATTATACCTGCATTTCTGTTATTCAATGTTGGTTGATTCCTATGAGAATTTAATGTTGCTTTAGAATTTATACCTGCATTCCTATGACAAGGCTTATGCTGGATGATCACTTCCCTAAGTTAGGCTATTTCAGACAATCCATTAGTTGAATAATGTTGTTGTTATGAAGCTAATTCAGTTGTTGTTTTCTTACAGAGTAGTATCTGCTGTTGGCCTTTCTATTAATGCAAGTGTAGCTAATCAGAAGACAGTCCAAAGGCTGATTTGTTCATTATCCTTGAAAAATTCCTTGTAATTATTCCACGCAAACATTTCTGTTTTTTTTTTTCTATTTACTTTTTGAAAAGATTCGAACCATATGGAATGGTTCAGGATGCTATGGTCAAGACCCGAGATAAATGAACTTCAAGAAAGATTCCACTCGGTGCAGGCCTTATATGTGACAACACTAATGTCTTCGCTGAAAAGGCCGTTTTGGTCAATTTTAGTGATCTCTGTAATTATTCGAACAATATGGAATGGTCGAGAATGTTATTGTCAATATTTTCATGTATTTCCGCATTTTAGTGACCATAAGCAAGACCCAGGTTTTATCATTGCTTTCTTCTCGCACCCTCTTTACTCCATCCTAGTTACTGGGGTCACTCTTAGCCATCAAGTCAATGCACCCTTGAGACCATCTCCTTTGCGGTAACAAATCCAAATAAATGATAGTACAAATGAAAATAAACAATAGTACAAATGACGGTGAAATAATTTGTGTAATGGTGTCAAAATTCATCTTCAAGTATTCCAAAATAATGGGTCAATACACTCTCCCAAGCAGCTTGGAGCTCGTTAACAGTTCAATTGCTAAATCTATTTGACGACGTATATTATGACAAAGCCGCACCAACATTTTATGTACATCTACAAGGGAACAATATAAAGAAGAACATTATTACAACTGCATTTTCCTAGAGTTTATCTTATCTCTACAAGTCCACAAGAGAAAGGAGAATGATACGGATTTATATGCCAACTAATGGACTACACAACATATCCTCTGGCAAGGCACTGGCCTACAAATTCTATCTATCTATTCTCAGGTTATTACGTCTGAGTTCAGGTTTTGCATCCATTCGGCAGGTAAATATTGCTATAGCTACTAAAGTGCAATAGAGATACGATTGAAACGTGATGAGATAAAAATATTTCCTGCAAAATCAAAATGTAGCCACTACATAAGTTCTTCCAGCATGCAACTAGCCATGAGAGAATTTAATACTACTCCCAATCAGTGGACACTGGTAATAGGACAGCAATATGGATCACAAAAGCATCAAACACTTTTTACTCCCAATTGAATGCATTGATAACTCTAGCAAAAAAAAAGGTAAAGGGAATGGCTGTTGAAATCATTCCTTCAATCTAGCTAATTGATTTGCACGTGAACGACTAAAAACAAATCACTCTTGCTTGTTCAGAATTACCGACTACGCAGCAAACTCAACATCAACAGGAAAAGAATGCGATGCACATAAGCACACAGATGAGAGAGCACTCAGGCTTCAGCCATGAATCGAGCTCCTTAGACCAGCAAATAGGCCTTTAATAAATCTAGCTTCGATTTTACTACAATGGCGAAACTGCCAAAACAAGAACCTCAAAAGTAAATATGGTGAAGAGAATACTCATAGAATGTTGGTGAATCGAGACCAGCAAGAAACACTAGAAAAAGCCCCAAATTGCTGAGCCGACCTTCTCCATGGAGCCGACGAACAGGAAACCTCTAAAAAAACCCAAATCGCCTTCGGGGAGCAAATGAGCTTCGAACAAATTGAACTTTAGCCCAGTCGAGCATCCTTGAGAGAGAGAATCAACGAACATACGAAAGCCTAAAGCCCCAAATCGCCTTAATCCAGTCGGCCAACAAACGAGTTCGAACAAAATCGAGCTTCCTTAAGAGAGAGATTCGAGCAGGATACTAACCCTAAAGCCCTAAATCGAGTTCTGTGGAGCCAACGCAAGAGAGGAAAACGGCGAAAATCGTGTGCACAAATGTAATTCAAAGAGCACTCGAGCGGACAAAGTGAGAGAGAGACAGAGCGTTGAGCTTCAACAGAGAGAAACTGAGCATGGAGAGTTTTGAGCGTGGAGCAAGAGGAAAGAACGACGTCTTCTAATATTTCAGCCACGTCAGATAAAAAATAGGGTTGTTTTCCCTCACTTAATCCACGCTGGCGCCACGTCAGCGCCATTTAAAGTCCGTCGTCCAAGTCAGTAGCCACGTAGGACTCTTAACAGTGATTTTTGACAAAAACATAACGAAGGGTAAATATGTCACACGAGTACAAGTTTAGGATTTTTGGTGTCACAAAAAAAAGTTTAGGATAAATGTATCACATTGGGCATAGTTTGGGATTTTTAGTGTCACAAAAAAAGATTTAGGGTAAATGTGTCACAATAGGTATAGTTTGAGGTCTTTTGTGACATTTTCCCTTAAAAAAATGCCAAACGTACTTTCTAAGCCCACCTCGATCTTTGTTAATTGGAAAAAGAGCAACAGATGAGAAAGGGTTAGTTATCACGTACCGTTGGAGGACGACGTGACAGGTATTTTTGTTACAAATTCAATTTGAAATTGACACTCATTCATGACGTGGCAAATAAATAAAAATATTCAAAATCAATTTCTCTTTTTTCTCTCTCATCTTCCTCTCTATCTGCGGCCAGCTCCTCCATCCAGTCATTGGCGGAATCGCCAGCACTGTGTAAAAGCCGATCATCGTTGTGCATTTATGGTTGAGCCACTCCCTTCAAATTGAAGGCTTCAATGTCGCTCCTGGCCATGCTATCGTTGCTCGAGTTCCCTCCCTTGTCCTTAGTTGCCGTAGATCAGATCCGATCGACCAAATCTGAAGTCACGTCAGTGCCGGCTGATCAAAGTTGACCGAATGGACTCAATTGGCAAGAAGTGAAAAGGTTTAGAACTGAATTGACAAACTTAAAAGGTTTAAGATTGAATTGGCAAAAGTGTGATAGGTTTAAGGTTTTTTGGACAATTTTTCCTATTAACACGTAATATAATCTTCCAGGTAGGTCTCATTGCATGACCAATAGACAGAAGAAAAGCATTATTGGGGATAAAAGACGGCATTCATAATTCTGATCAATAGGAAGAGGAGGATAAAAAAACAAAAGAATGAGCATCTATTTGGGTAAATATCGTATTGATTCATCCCATGCGGATGTGCGGATGTAGCGAAAGTTCAACATGATCAATTACATTGTGAAATACATATAGACACACACAAAAGATTGTGTTTTCTTAAAGACCATTGTCAACTTTTTCTTTTTTGCCCAGTAATTGAGGACCAATGTTAGCTTTGCAAATTTTTGAAATGTGATTAACCGATACGGTAGAACAACGTTGTATGCATTAAATTTAGTCCGAATGCCTCCTACCGCGTCTCAGAACTTGGGCTTCAACAACTGCACCAAAGCCTTGCACTCTTTGATGGCCCGCACGTCCGCCCCATTCCTGATCAGCTGCGGGAAGAACAGCCACATAGCGGTGGCCGCCACGAACCCCACCGTCAGCGGCGTCGCCACCGCCCTGCTCAGCCTCCACCTCTCCCCCGCCGCCCACTTCGCCACCACCTCCACCACCACGCATGCCCCTTGCAGCACGAAAAACCCCGTCACCTCCCACGTGGGCCTCGCGCGTACCATGTAGTAGTACAGCAGTTCGTGCATCAGCCCGGACACGAGGAACGCCGCCATTACCGCCGCCGCCGCCGCCGGCCACGTGGCGCCCAAGCGCGGTTCGAGGAACGACTTCAGGGGCCTGTACACGGTGTGCCGCAGGGCGTTGGTCACGGTGAGGTTCCACCTCCTGCCCCAGAAATCTTGAAGCGACGTGGACAGGTAGGGCTCGTCGGAGGGCATCTGGAGCTCGACGCCGAGGACGGCGCGCGCGGCGGCGTTGCTTAGCCCCATGATCATGTCGACGAAGAGATAAAGCATGCACGAATAGAGAAGCAGAACCAACTTCGGGTGCGCCTACGGGCACAGTTGCCCGATTTCAACACGAATGGAATGAAGTCAGTAGCAATTAATTCGAAAACGACAGGAATCGGTGAAATAAACAAAGCTCCCGCAACAACATGAACAGACACCAACATCGATTCTTATTCGAATTTGACACGTGAAACCGAATCAACATGCCCGACCTGCAACAGCAACTTGTCCCGGTGGTCATGCACGAGGATGGAGGTTCCGAAAAGGAGCAATTTTGAGGGGAAATTGAGGGGCAATTTGGGGGTCTGGGGAGATGGGTAGTCTTGCGCTTGCCTGATTTTGACGGGGAAGCACGCGAAGAGGATGAAGAGGAAGAGGGACTTCGATGGGTCGGGATGAGAACCGGGAACGGAGGAGAGGGGGCCTCGGTCGAAGGAGAAGAGGAGGAGCTTGAAGGAGGCGAGCCAGGTGACGAAGAAGGCGGTGACGCCGGTGGGGAGGACGGTGGAGAGCCGGAGGGGGAGGGCGGCGAAGAGGGAGAAGACGGGGAGGAGGGAGAAGAGCCTGAGCCTGCCCGGAGGGAGTTTGGAGGAGACGAAGTAGCAGTAGCCCACGCAGGCGAGGACTGTGAGCCACACGTTGATGAAGTTCCGTGCTTCCTCTTCCATCTTCTCCCTCTGCTGCTAGCGCTCTCCCCCTCTCTTCTCCGAGAGTCCGAGGGTATTGTGCGCGTTTCCTTCTTGATGATGTCTGTCTATGGGGGATTGGTCGGCAAATCTGTCCTTGATTTGCTTCCTTACATTACGCACTGAAAGTTTGGTCAAAAAAACAAAAACAACGTGAAACTCAAAGTGGTCTGGTTGCCCCTACGTGTGAGCAAGGTCCGCATGGGCGGCTCCCACCCTAGAATTGGGAACCGCCCACTAAGAATTAGTTCTGAAAAATCGGTCCGATTCCCTGGTGAGTCCATGAAATCGGTCCCACCAAGTTTCACGCGTCGCCACTGTAATATACAACAAAGAATTACACGACGGAAAGAAATGATTTTGGATTAGTTAAAGTTACACCTCATCAAAGACACTCCTAGACAGAGCTAATGAACCAACAAAATGAATGTTAGGAAGTGGGTGAGCGAGAGAGCACACTCACCAAACTTGTTATGAATGGGCAAAAGCAAACAGTGATCCAACATAAAAACTAGTCAGTAGCCTGTTGAACGGCCGCTAGTCAACAGTCATAGAGCTACTGCCCCATTGAGCCAGAGTCATCACATGACAAAAGGTCTTTATATTGCCATATAAGATTAGCAAGTTTCACATTAGGGATTTAGGATTTTTCATTTTTTAAAAAAATTAAAAATTAAATAAATAGAATATATGTATTACCGGTCCGATTTGGATGGGTGGATGGGCGGCTCCATACCTAGAACCGGGAACTGGACCGGTACCCACTGATTCTAATTATTGGAACCAGGAACCGGACCAGTTCCATTAGGAACCACCAGTTCAAGGCTGGTCCAGGCAGTTTCTGGTTCCTTTGCACACCCCTGGTTGGGCCTAACAGGATAACAACTTGTATTGGCATTCAATAATCGAAAGTTGTTCGCATAATTTCGGTTGCATGTATCACACAATTGAATTACGATGAAAACTTGTTATTTAGATTAATACGTATCAACACGTGAAATTAGTGTATCGTGTTGTATGGCATTCGGATTTTTCTCTCTGCAATTCGTGTTTTGTCTCACGTCGTTCAAATGGATCGTGTTCGACATTCCACTCTAAGAGGATGTTTGCTGGAACGGAATCCTTCCGATATGAAATATTCATTTCGAGAGTAATTTACATTTCCTCTATTGTTTCTTCTAAAAGCTGCGGAGTGCTTATTCATAATAGTAGTTCTCGAAAAATCATAGAGTAATTAACTCTGAAACCTGAGTTGTTACTATCGTGAAATAAGATTAAAGTTTATTTGCAACTCAACCCAAATGAAGGAAAGAGGAAGGATAATCGAGCGCTAAGACAAGGAACAGGATGGTAGAAAACGTGTCAATACTCAAGGACATGTTGGACTTTTTTGTACACAAGGAAAGGAGTCAGCAAATTCTTTTTACCTTATTCCGTCATAACAAACAAATACAAGAATTATAATGCCTCTTCCCTTCCATTTCTTCCCTTCCTTCGTTCCAATTTTCGTCGCTTAGATTCCATCATACCAAACATGGTATAATATTCATTAGGTCTTGGTATAAATCAATCCCACGATTATGTGTGGGTATACATTATGTGAGTCAGCCAATCAAATCAAAAAGTGATAGTGGCGGAGCTAAGCTGCTCGTTGTACAATATTGAACTACTCAGTCGCCACCAATTCCTCCTTGGCCAATTCGAAGAAGCCATCTTTATTGACAAAAGAAACTTAAAAAAATACTTCTCCAGATTGACTAACAACAGCACGCCAATTCTGAAAAGTGCGCATGGCCGAATTCATCACATTTTCTTTGTTTTATAACTGGTTGTGACAGAGCACGTTGTCGGAAAGATACACTGTAGTATTTTTTTTCTAGTCGGCGAATTGGCGTGATTGACATTTGTTCTTGATCCATCCAACCATCAACGTACAAAAAAAAATCAATAAATTAATCTAGTATATTCAGCACATATAACTCTTGCCGTCTCAGCTAATGAAATTATATCAGAGAATGCCAAAGCCAAAACAAAACAAAAAAAAACCAAGGGTCTGATTGAGGACTAGTTGATCCATTTGCTTTCATAAGCAATTCCGTCTTAGGTATGCAGCGAAACAGCCTCCACAATGTTCAAGTTTGAATAAACTTACGAGGATGATATAATTCTTTACAGTTTCCTGTAACTGGCGAATCGATTCAATGGACAATCTTTTCTTATGTCAATTTATGTTAATTTCATGTGTGTGTTGGTTTCATGGGATTCACGATGAAACAGGCGACGGCATGGTTCGTGGAGCGTGAGTCGCGAGGGAGAGAGAGAGAGCAAAGCGTGAGTGGAAAGGTCACACGAAGTAGAGAGAGGAGAGAGAGTCTTGCTTTTTTCGTTTGAAAATTTTCTCTTGTTCGACGCGGTATTCGGATTTTGCCATGCCGACATCACAGCTCTACCCAATATTTTCTCGCACTCGGCACTCCTCATTATCAATTAACAGAACCGTCCCACCACGTTAGCGTGATCCTGGACCGCTTAATGATCGACACGGGTCCCCGATGGCCCCACTTCTCATATTCTTCCTCTTCTTCTCCATTAGCCCCCTCTGTCTTCCGTCACTCTTTTCTTCTTCTTCCTTACGAACCACACCATGAAGGGAGCTGTCCAGCTTTGACACAAAATTCAGTTCCAAATCTGAAGCCGCTTCATATCTAGCCAGTCCATGGCCGCGACCGCAGATGTCTAGATCCTGACAGCCACAAACAGGACGCCGTGACGGGCAATAACTAGCTCAAAAATCAAACAGAAAAACAAAGGAACCAGATTGAGCCCACCGCAACCCTCATCCTCTTCCTACCGCCCTGCCGTGGCCACCGTGCCCACCGGCGATGTCTGCCGATGCCGTTGTGGAGCTCGTCGCCAGTGGCAAAGCTCGATACAGCATCAAGCTCCATGTTGGCCGGCGACGACAAGTATGGTGTAAGTGTTGGTGAGAGCATGAACACATTGAAATCTCTCCTGTAAGTGACCCTCTGGCGGGGAGGGAGCTTCCCTTCAAAGAAGAATATGGACTTGATGAGAGCATCTCCGTAGTTGTGGCTGGCTAAACGAGGATGGCCTGGGTGGTGGTGCTTCAATGGGAAATCGGCATTGCAAAGAAGCAAGAAAGATGAAAAATCTTAAAAGTAAGACCCATCGGACACACGTGTTGACCGCTGAATGGTCCGGAACCACGCTGACATAGTGGGGCAGGACTACCGAACGTAAAAGTCCAAAACTATATTTAAATCTCACTCGGACGAAATAAAATGATAGAAACTCGATCACATAAAAACGATTGAATTGAATTGGAAGTTTCAATTCGATGCATTAGGTGTAGGGTCGTACAATCTTTTCAACGTGCAGGAAGGTCGAAACCAGAAGAGCTCCGATCCAGAAGCATGCTGTGGAGGAAGCAAAATGGCTCTTTCCATCTCGGAGGGGAAAGCCAAACTGATCGGCAACGGACATATAAATTGCACCATGTGACTAAACCACTTCTTCGTAATAATCATGAAGAGGATGGCTTGATGCATATTCAGACCATATCAGAAAAAGGAAAGGAACAAAGGAACTCCAACAACAAAATTGACAAGCCGAAATATACACCTTTTGGGCGGTTCAAGGAATGTACATCATTCGTTTGCTTCATCAGTTTTTCCTGACTGCCTCTTTTGCGGTTTGTATTTCTTCTGCATTCTCTTCTCTGACTGAGGAAATGATGTCCGAGAGGGATGTTGGTTGTGATTCATGTTTGAAGCCGAAAGGAAAGACGGGGACTTCTCCCTGAGTGACCGGCGTAAATATTCACGATCCTATATCCTACCTGTACTCATCGGTCATTCACACGCAGGAGTCTCCTCATTGTCAAGTTGGGAGGAGACTGTCGTCGTATCGGAGACATCATCGTCAATGGTCAGGTTTGAAACATCACCACTCAAGGAGGAGCTCTCGTCTTCCTCATTTATGGATGGTGCTGGGGAGGCATCGGGAGTAGCGACAGTGATGGTTGACTCGGCAGGGCTGGGACATGACTCCACGTCCTCCACGGGCTGTTGCAGACTCCAGTACATGATGCTGGCTGCTAGAGTGAGCATCATCTTCTGGTTTACCTGCCCCACCCATAAAATGTATTAATTGGATTCACAAAGGAGCACAATAGAAGACTTCTAAATTTGCACCTGATGTAAGCTAAAAGATCGAGAAGTTAATTCTTTTGCCCATGCAGTTAACCTAATAATCAAAAATGTCAATGCCAGCTTATCAAAGTGTTATCTCTTTCCTTAAGGCTCAAAACAGATTCTCCTAGAAAACAGAGAAAGTAAACAGTCGATGACTTTCAAATCTTACCTCCATGATGTCCTCAGGTAGCAAGAAGATGGAACAGCCAAGCTTTCTTGCAACACTGATTATGTACGTTGCATTCAACTTCTTTTCTTCCGCTGTAAATTCACCGAGCGCAAGTACACATGACATTCTAAATCAGTATCTTCACAGGATTTTAAATGCAAGAACTATACTTGAGCATGCCCACGAGCTGTCAAAGAAAATAAGCTACAGCCATCATCACAGCATCAAAATCTTACCACTTTCGCCTTTTGTTACAACATTCCAATTGACCACCCTTGGTTCCACTGAACTCAAAAGCTCCAGGAAGAATATTCCATTAGATAAACTCTTATCCTAAATGAAAGTTTTTGCATACCATCAGCAGATATAAATGAGAATTTCGATAATCAAAGGCTGAAAAGTTCTGCCTCAAGAATGACCTTGAAGCTCTCTATCTGAGAAGTTCTTCCCGTGCTCTTGACTTTCTTATTCGCCCAAATCAGGATATCGGCATCTGTGATCTCCTTTCCATGGGAATGGAATCTCAAGTTCTTTAAAAGTTGAAGCACGTTAAATCTCATTAACTGCCACAGGAAAGCTGAAAAAGATGCATACAAACTTGAGCTTCCTGTACAAGGACTACCACTTCGTAACCCCATCATAAGTATCATCAAAAGCAATTACTGACATCAAATATCGCATCCAGTCTTACCAAACCACAAATAGATCAACCGCTGGACAATTATTTCCCATTCCACTGATTAAATTCAGGGAAAGAGTACTAGCAAAAGAGCATGACATCCTAGGATCGTAACAACATTATCTGAACTTTGAGGCCATAATCAACCTGAAATCAAAATAGACTTACTTGAAAATGTCACTAAGGTGAATTTCCAGTTAACCAATTAATGTTGATTTCTTAATAATCTGAAAACCAAAAAACTGAATATGATCTCAATGGTTAATTTTTGAACCCACAAGAAACTAGCAGGTTGACTTACATGAAAACCAAAATTGAATTGTTCAAAGCAATTACAACCATGGTTGAATTATTTCGTCTCATTATATTTGAATAAGGGAAAAAACGAACATGAGGACCAAATGATGATACTGTATCCGAAAATTCTTGAATTTAACTAACAAAGATTCTCAGAAATCAGAAGATTACCGAGTATAAGCTTCTTATTTCCCTGAACAACGTCATTTCCAGCTACATTCACCAGAGAAAACTTCAACTGCTTTCCAATCCTTATTACTTGATTGCAGTTTTCTACTTTTCTGAAAGGCATCTTGATTGGAGGTTTTGATGCCTGCTTCCAGTTAACTGACCCAGGAAACACCTTGTCAAGCACTTCCAGAAGTACCCATCTGCATATATGGAAATTCCAGTCATGCCAATTTGGAAGAGGTACTTGTTCTTCCTTTCTTACCTTGAGTCCAGGAGACATGACTGCATACAAAAAGTTCAGACTTGCTTTTGAGAAAAAAAAGATCTTGAGAAAGAAAAGATCTAGAAAATTTCAGGAACGACTCAACCAATGGTAGGGTAAATATCATATCATTAAACTGAAAACTAGCATCAGGACAATTAGAAAAACAAACGATGATAGATAGGATGAAGGTGACACATGAACGAATATTTACCCATTTCTGACATCCTCGAAGACATTGTTGACATAGCTAGCAATACCCAGACTATTAATCCAAAGGCGGAAGCATCTTTCTTCTCTAGATGTCTGAATATCATCAGTCATCATCTCTGCATATGTAACACTTTTGCTGTCTGTAGATAGGCCATTTCTACAAAAATAATCACGTTAAATTCTCCTAGTCGACACACGAGATTTACATGCAGTAAATGAGAACAAAAAGGCAACAATTAAAAGTAACCTTACCTTGCTAAGGCAAGCAAAGACAGGGTACAAGTAAATTGATTTTTTCAAGTGCAAAGGGAAGAAGAGCCATATTAACAACATGCAGAGCCTAATGCCTCAAATCAATTCTCGTGCACGTTAGGAACGTTCTTAATCCACCACGTGCCAATCCATAATGCCATATCAACACATCATATTAGGTGGATATGCACAACGCATCGTAATTCCGGTCCTAGATTATAAGCTTATACCTTCAGCAAATTTTATGTCGTTTCTGCAACCATAGTATGTTCACCGAAATAACAGTAGGCTATTCCTATATGACATGAAGAAGAATCTCCATTATCAATCAGAGGAACCAGAAAATTGATCTTCTTGTGAAGTGAAGAGAAGGCACGTTGTCAATTTCAAGTTCTACCCTGTCTACAATGACAGATTAAAAATCCCACTTCTCACTTTCGATAAAGCACAGGAATAAGAATATGGCTGTACAATACTCAGAGAGATGGAAACTTCACTCGAAGATATTATCTTCATCCCGAAGGTCTCTCACACAAGCTTAACATCAATTTTTTTAGAAATGACACGTAATAAAGACAGCAACAAGTAGTACTCAAAACAAGATGGCCAAAACAAATACTCAGCACAACATACAGCTCTTCAATTTTGTACCTTTGATGAAATATTTGTGCAACAAACGCGAGATTTAAATTTGCTGAGCCGTCGACAATATCTTTCGGGGTTAAGTATCTTTTGCAGTCCATTCTCTCAGCGTGATCAAGTATCAGTTTTGCCCTCTCATTTGGATCTTTTGCATCTAGTGTGGCTGGACTGCAGTGTTCTGGAGCAAGAACATTCAGTAGATATGCATATGCCTCTCCATCCTGCATTTAAATGGCACACCAAGTTCAAGCTCGAAATAGTATATATAAAACGCCAGAAAGTATAATGGAGCTGCCAGCAAATGCGGATAACTTCTGTGCGAGATAAGTTATGCTGCAATAGTTCCCTATAGGGGGAAAAGAAATGGCAGCATAAATTAATCTCTAAACAAAAATACAGGGGACAGAAACTGTTAATATCCCTATATCTCCAGTAAATTACTTCCATCTTGCAAAAGGGAATAAACATGTGCAACATTCTTGAGAGAGGCTTAGTCATACTAAATATTACTAGAAGACAACTTCTTGAATTGGCACTAAACTAGCAACCGGTCCTTTCTGTCATTCATCAAATTCATTAAAATGGATATCTCACTAACTCCAGCACGTGAAATCAAGTAAAAGTATAATCCTTCTTGAGATTACCTTTACATCAGAAGTGAAATTCGAAACAGTTTTCTTATAGCCTGCTTTCTTGAGATGAAAGTTCATCCATTTCAATAAAACCTTCTCAGGGGCTAAACCCATGAGCTCCTCAACATCCTGCAGCACAACAAAAAAACATTTGATGGATTGGACTTTGATTTTTCACTTTAAATATTGAAAGCAAGGAGAAAAGAAAGAACAAAAAAAGGATAAACGGACAAGAAAAGATGACCTCAATATCAGCACTAGATATAACCCATCATACCTTGCTATCATCTACCAATTCCACGAGCTGAGGTGTCTTCTTGAGGTTGAGATCGGCTAACAATTGTATCTAAAATTGCCAGATTAATATAATATCAGGACAAGTAACATTAAAGAGCTAGCCAATGTGCAACATTCTGTACTGAGATGAGGTCATGATGGAAGTGCTGAACTCAAAATATCCAATTGTTTAAGAGTTCAGAAAAATCCACATGTGCAAGAAGCTATAGATTATACCTTTATAATCTGAGAAATCAATCCAAGCACCAGATGCGACTGCACAAATTTTGGAAGGGTTTAATTAAGACTACAGAAACATAAATAATGGACACTGAAGAACAAACAAAAAGAAGATGACATATTCTTACTCTTCCTTCGACTAAGTCTTGCGTGCCTATATTGACCACAGTACAACCAATTGCCTTTGCTGAGTTGAGACACAGAGTATGATTCTCATTCCTCTCCCATGGATTGAGCACTCGCTTGGTATTGATAGCTCGCTCATCAATTGTCCCAGGCACAGCAACATTGATGAGCTTGCTGGATCAGGCCAAAATGCATATCAAAACTTGAGCTAAGGTACCAGCACAAAATGACACGGAAGCAAATAAAATGACAACACCGGCTTACCACAGAAGAACTCCATCTCTTGCAAGATTAAACAGATCATTTGTCCCTGGATCTATTGGTAGGAATTGCCTCAGAAATGGGTCATCTCGGAGATAGCTGTTTATGTGAGCAACATAAGATGCCTTTTCTGATTCACTAATCGTGTGGAGGAGGGTGGTCGTGGTAGCCTTGAGAAATGAAGAAGAGTTCTTTGAACTGCCATTATTAGATGCATCTCGAGCATGCAAACTCACATAGGTCTGCAGAATTCGTGCAATTAATAGCTTGTCTCCTCTAGATGGAATTGTAGCACTTAAACAAAATCAACTCTGTATGCAAGGGCATAAATCATGAAAAGGCTCCATCATTTTTACTCTGGAGATAACCACTTCAGATGTATGACCTCTTCAATAGATTTCTTAGTTTCTCCCAGAACATCGAATTTTGAGTCTCTCCCAGAACATTTCATAAAATATAAATCTTTGTTTCTATACTTCAAATTGGAGAAGAATAGAGCACAAGGACGGGCAAAGAGAAGAATGTCAAAGAAGATGAACATTGACTTACCCTAAGGAATTCTTCAAAATCAATCTCATTGCTCATGCCCAAATTCAACTCGGCCAATATTACCCCAATCTCCTCCTCAGAGAAGGTTTCACTAAAAGCTTTCAACTTCACTAATAAAGGTGGCAAATCTCCAACAGTGACTGTACCTTTTTGGTTCTTTATTGAGGTGAACTACAAAGGGGAATCCATGATTAGCTTCATTGCGATCCGTCAAATCTTAGCAGAAGAATCGCAGTGATACACAATAAGCCATGAAAACTTACTTTCGATTTTAGGCTGCGGAGCTCAACCTGAGTGAATTGGCTCTGTAGCCATGGATCGGACACAAGAACACCAACAAAGCTTGACATTTCCACACGTGGAGAAGTCTATATAACTTCGTAATTTCAGAGTCACCAGACACTACAAGGAGAAGGCCAAACCGGAGTTTCGGAGTAGAATAGGCGACCAAAAACCTGTGGATGAAGTTCCGAAGATCCAGATTAAAATGTCGTATAAACTTGTGATTCATGCATGCGGGGCATTTGACTCGAATGAATTCTAAACAATCTGAATGAATGGAGTATCCAACGTTTCCACTAAAACAAAAGCAAAACCAATCGAAACATGCTCTGCCAGCAGAAATACATGGAAAAACAACTCCGTTTTCACCTGATGATCGAGGAAGCTCGCGTCATCAACTCGTGCTAAAACAAGCAAATCTCCTGGAACTGTTTTTATATTTCTTTCTCAAACAATCAACCGTATGAATATATACGTTCCAGCATACAATCTATATGAATCACACGGAGCTGAAGTAACTGAAGATCATAGCTGTAGCATTGCGACAAAAGTGAAATTCAGGAACTCAAAAAGGCAGTCGAACACTGTTGAATCACCCAAGCTCGCGGTCGTTCATTGGAGAACCGAACGCATCCACAGGCAAAGCTCGAACGACTGGAACAACCGATGCAGGATCAAATTACGAGCGAAAAACACAAAAAATCGGAACTTCAATATAGCACCAACGCGGATCACGGAGCAAACGGAAGCTCGCGGCAATGAGAATCGGGCGCCGCGGCGTCGGACAAGGGAGTACCGAAAGACTGCACACGCATGCATCGATGGCGAGCAAGAGATCAAAAGTGAACGCAGTAAAGACCAGATTCAAATCGCACCTCCGAGAACCGGACGCTCCCGTTGTAGTCTCTCGATGGCGCGATGTCAACGAGTTTCCTTCTGCACGAAGTCTTGACTCCCAAGTCACGCACAAAAACACAGGGATTGATAGAGAGAGAGAGAGAGAGAGAGAGAGAGAGAGAGATGGAAGAGTGTTCGATGTTGCCTTCGAGAGAGAGCAAAGTGACGGGAGATATGGAGAGAGAGAGGGAGAGGAGGAAGACGGACAGGGGCAGAGAGACGCGCTTAAGGACCGGGAGGCCAGCGAGGAGCGTACTGGTCGCTCAACAACCAACGAGAGAGGCGGTTGGCGTCACTCGCGAGTGTGGACATGGACTGTACTCGCGAGGTCGGCGAAACAACTCGTCGGATCTACGTTTGCCACCTTTACAAGTCGACAGGCTGCTTCTGTTCCTGTCTCGTTTACGGATCGGTGAGCTCATTCATGGCGCTCGGACTGAACGAGCCATGGATCGGACCGAAGGAGAATATATTATTATTTCGGTTATCGATCGGGATTTGTACGACTAAGGTGGCATATCGAGGACATTATTCATGAACTAATCCGGTATCCCTGCCCGGGACCGATGGCTGCACCTGAGTCCATCGAGGTCGAGCCCGAAGCTTTGACATCGGGGTTCGAGCCCATAAAGGCCGAGAGCGTGATCCCGATACCCAAGCTCGGATACCCAGCACTCGGCCCGTGTTCACAAAACCTGTGACCGAATCCACAAAGATCGTGCACGGATCCTCGGCACTCTGACTCTGATCCCTGGTTCCTAAGCTAGGGTCTATCGAGGTTGAGCCCTGAGACCTGGTGGCCCCTCTGTCGAGGCCCAACCTAATACCTCCACGCTCGTGCCTCAATCCATCAAGGCTGGGCTGAGACCCAAGTGCTAGTGACCGATCCTTAGCGCCCGAGATGGGATCCAACGAAACCAGACCCAAGACTCTGGTGTCCATACCCAATTTTACGATTGCTCGTACTCAATTATTAGCCCCCGAATATTGTATGTATATCTATTAAAATCAAATCAGATTTTCATATCAAGCGATTGAAATTTTTTTCAATTCGTCTTCGGATTTCAGCCAAATACCAGAAATTATTATCATTCCTGAAAAATGAGTTACTGAAAAATACTTTTCGAAAAGGTCACATTTCACGCTTCTCCTTCTTCATTTATTCCCTCATGTGACGTGGTTTTTGCTAAAGAATCGAAATCGGCATAAATGTACCCCCATGTAAACTCCGATGCTCTCGTGTCGGAACCGTAAGTCGATGATCGCGTGATTCCTTGACTTCGGTGCCACATCGATTTCAGATCGTGGGTCTCGTTGCCATGCGCTCTGTTGAGAGCATCACGAAACGAAGAGGAGGCCCTCGCTAGGGGACACCGGCATAACCGACCATCCCGCCGTCCTTGTCACGTCATTCCATTTCTCGTCATGTCATGTGCGCACGATGCCCTGAGGAAGCCGAGTCTCCCGCTGGAGCGAGTCACGATCACGCGCACGTCTCCAGTGATGGCGAACCGAACAAAAGATTTTCTCCCTTTTCTTATTCTCGTGAAAATAAAGCTTAGTTTAGCAGGATGATTTCGAGATCATATAAATATCTCATCGACTTCAAGGATCAAATTCGATGAATTTCGAGACTTTCCAAACTGGCATTTTGTCCATCGGTCAGTATTTACTATCTATCATATACGTTCGGTTTGTCCATTTTTCCGTATGAATTTTTTTAACGAGGGCACTGGTTAAGCAACCAGTCGACAAAATTTATGATTTTCTATATACTCATTACCCTCATGTTATGCACAACCAATGTTTTGAAAATAAGATTGTATCATATGATGTATACTCAATTAGTGCTCGAAGGCGGTCTCTCCTCAACAAATAAGTGCTTGGGCCAATAAAATCCTCCCTTGTGGAGTGATAGTTGGAGAGGTGACAAAGTCCTATACTTCATTACAAAACCAATAAAATGGAAAATACGATTTTTATGAGGTTCCTCCTCCGAATAAAATTCAATAAGATCCAGAGAAACCATGTCTTCATCCATAGGATCCCAAGTACTTTGATCAAGCAAAACTTTGATGCGTCATATACAACATAATCCACTAATTAATCTATTTCATCCAAATACTTTATATAATATAACTGTATTACGTAAATATGATAAACAAAGCAAATTAAGGACTTTCTCGAGCTCAAGATTTTTATTTATCCACTTGATGTTTTGAAAATAGGTTGGTTGAACTTGAGAGTTTGGGATGGATTGGTGTGGTTCTTCTACGCCAAGGACATTAGAATATCCAACCATGAATGAAGAAATGCATGAGAGAAAAGCATATTGACTTATGATTGTGAGGCCCCAATTTTTGACCAAAGGGGAATGGTATCTCCAATTATAGCCCATCTATCTCTTCTCACCATCCCCACAGTGTATGAGACAATAATTACTAACCCATATGGGCACCCTAATATTCTTGTAGAATCTATGGCCGGACAATTAAAGAATAGGGTTTCATTTCACAAAGTAATAAAAAGGGCTATTGAGTTAGACGAATAGGCAAGTCGGACAAGTGGGTAATGTTGAGGTGAACAAGAAAAAGTTGGGTAGAGCCAGAATTAAATGTTGGCTAGGTAAGCAATCCTGTAGTAAGAGGAGTGGTTATGAACCAGTAGGCCATTCCCCACCATCAACATCACCCATCACATATGTTCATTCGTTTTATTGTAGCCATGGGTTTTATTAAATTTGTGTGGTTCATGGGAATCCATAGGAAGTTATAACTCTTACAAATTCTAATGTTCGAACTGATCGAATCAAGTTATTATCTTTTAGAATCTAATCTTATGTGCTCTACATCCTCGAAAAATCAAAATTCAAATGCTCCAACTATAAGGCAACTAACTGCAAATAATAGTTTTTCTACAAAGAAATAAGTTAATTTACAAAGATAGAGATTGCTATACATATTAGTTTTCCTTATTTACAGAACAAATTTGCTCGACCAAGATGAAAAAAGAGAAAAGAAGAAGAAGAAGAATGACGTGTAGAGCCAACAACAAGCAAGTAAAAAAAATAAAAAAGTGAAATATCAAGCAAAATAGGAAGTTTAATTACAAATGGAAGGGGAGTGATGAGCCATGACTGATAAGCTAATCGCGGATACGGAGTTATATGCTTGCCTTTTTGGGATATCGAGCTCTTTGAACTTTGACCCAATACATAATAAAGTCCCTGAATTTTTTTTAAACTTTTAATGTAATTCCTGATTTAAATTAATTGATTGATTACATTGAACTATATCAAAATTTCAGGGAGGATATTAAATAAATTAAAATTTCAGGGACTATATTGCATGTAAGATTAAATTTTAGGAATCACATTAAATAAATTAAAAATTTATGGATAATATTTCACATTGAGCAAAGTTTAAGGAACTATTTGTGTCATTTTTTTTTTATTCTATTTGTGTCAGTTGCGCTGGCGGATGGCCCGTCCACGAGGGAGACACACGTGGCGATCCATAATTGGACCTTAACCTCCCTCGCGTCCACCGGGCGGTCACTTGAGCGGCTTTTCCGAGGGGCCGTTCTCGTCATTTCAAAAGACACAGAGGAGAGAGAGAGAGAGAGAGAGAGAGACAGAGATACAGAAGGTCGAGAGACAGAGAGAGAGAGGGAGAGAGAGGAAGAGAGAGAGAGAGAGAGAGAGAGAGGGGAATTTTTTGAATGCTTAAAAATTGATGGTCGGAGGGGCAGAGTGATGGCCACAGACCAAGAGATATCGCAGGCTCTCCAGTCCCTCATCAGAGACTCCTCCACCCCCAACAAGCCCAACGCCCCCGCCCTCACCTCCTTCAACGACGTCGTCCACCAGCTCCAGTCCAAGCTCGGCGTCGACCTCTCCCACCGCCTCGACTTCATCCGCGCCCAGATCCGCCTCCTCCTCTATCCCTCGCCGCCGCCGCAGCACGTGGCGCCTCCTCCCCCCCCGCCGACCACCGCCCTCGCCCCCCCGAAGGACCACTTCGTCCTCCACCCCCACCACCACCACCCGCAGCAACCCCCCAATTTCCACCCCTCCCCCTCCGCCTTCCACTCCTTCCCCCCGGTCAGGCCCGATCTCCATGCCCAGCACCATCCCCACGTCCACCAGGTCCAGCCCGTCTCGCTGCCGGCCAAGGAAAGGTGCGATCTTTGCGTCGATTTCTGGTTGATTTTGAGGCTTTTGGGTGTTCGGTTTTGTGGCTTGTTGATGCCTTAGAGGGAACGAAAGGTGCGATTTTTATGCGAAATTGTTTTTGTTAGTGCGCTCTTTAGTGAGTTATTAACGGGTCTGTGCTTGTGAGGTGGAGAGGAAGAGGAAAGCAGGCTCAAGTTTTGTTCTTTACGGGGTATGTTAGTGTAAGGGCAAATGGGTCTGTGTGGGGTTTGTTTGTGGGTGGTGGCTGACAAGATTGGGGATCGGAAAGAGTGTTCGGTACTTTGATTTTTGGAGATGGAAAAGGAAAAAATAGGCTCGAGGATGGTTGATTAAGGTTATTATGTGTGTGATAGAACGAAATTTCAGGTTCATGTTGTGGAGATTGGTTATACTGTTAGCGAGATGGTGCTTGGCATTACACTTCAAGTCGAACTAGATATGAACAGTCAGAAATGTCCGTTGAACTCAAAGTTTGTTTTGATGAGAGGAATCGGTTCTGGGACAAATATTTTGCTAGATGGCGGCTGAATTGCTGCATAAGATCGCACAGTGTACTTTGTAGCTGTTGAAGCAGTGGGTGATTGTTTCCATTGGCCATCAATACCTGGCCTAAAATTATGCAGCATTTTATAAGATTTTTCTGGAAGAGTACCGTCTCCGGTTATTCTTTTTACTGATTCGAGAAGGACCAGCCTGTGCTATTTTCATATAACTGCTGGGGTTGAGGAGTTAGAAGTTAGTTCCTCCAACTCATCTCCATCTGTGTTGAGTTTATCTGTCCGCTTGCTTCAGCAACGTTTCTCTTTGTCGACATCGCTAAAATGCTATATTGAATGAGTTGATATAGCTAAATGCTTCAATGATGACATTTGGCTTTTATAATTGCAGCGCTCCGGCTAAAGGCAAAAGAAGAGGTGGCCCTGGGGGGTTAAACAAACTCTGCAATGTTTCTCCAGAACTTCAGGCCGTTGTCGGTCAGCCGGCAATGCCTCGAACTGAGGTCCCAATTCCCAAGTCCTATTATGGCTTTACATCAGAATTGTCTGGATTCTAAGTATTCCCTTACTTACCGAGGAAAAATCTCTTTAACTCTTGTATGTAGATCGTGAAGCAACTTTGGGCTTATATAAGGAAGAACAATCTCCAAGATCCAAATAACAAGAGAAAGATAATTTGCAATGATGAGCTGCGTTTGGTGTTCGAAACAGATTGCACTGACATGTTCAAGATGAACAAATTACTAGCTAAGCACATCAGCCCCATGGAACCCACAAGTATGTATAGTGTCCAAGCAACCTCTTTTTGCAAATGAAAACGTGTTAAACTTGACTTTGTGGTGAATGATTTTTTGCTACGTTTTCTATAGAAGCTTCAGAGTCAAAGAAGCTCAAGGTAGATCCAGATTCTGGAGTCAGGAGTAGCACTGATTCTGGTCCATCGGTCAAAATATCTGAAGAACTGGCAAACTTTTTTGGGGTTAGCGAGCCAGTGATGCTTCAGTCAGAAATCACCAGACGGATTTGGGAGTATATAAATGTCAACCAGCTGCAGGTAGTAGCTGCGACTGAGTTATCGGAAGCATTGCTTATATTTACTACTTCTTTCATATCAAGGATTCTGAAGGATGGTTTGGGAGATTGATACACGACTGTTTCAATTTCTTGAATTTCAATGATTTTGTGCTAAGATAGTGACCCTTCACTATCTTTATCATGAATTGCTTTACGAAGTTGATTGCCACATTGGTTAAAAGCTGTCTGCATAAGTGTACCATGATCAATCTGATAGAAAGTTATTGATGCCTCCTAGAGGTCTAGTAGGAGGGCCATGTTCCGAGACAAGTTATAATCTCTTTTTACCCGAAGTTGAAGACTTGATGCAACAGAACTAAGTCATTTAAAAATTTTGGGGCGGCAAGTTAAATTTCACTCTATTAGTTTGAAGCTGAAATTTATTTCTTATTTATATAAGCGGAGTGTGAATCCATTATGTCTGCGCATCGATTGAGGCAAGGTATTACCATTATTCCTTTTTTTAAAGGAACCATATCAAGGCACGAGAGGTCTTGAGTTCATTGGCCCAGCTTCCCTCGTCCTCGAGCACTTGCCGTTTATAAACATTATGCTCTATGAAATGCTTTCTGTTTGGCCACATTGTTTTTGCCAAACTAGTGAAGAGTCCGAGTGGAAAAGCCACGGCAAAGTAATAATATTGACTTTTTTTTGTCTTCATATACATTTTAGGATCCTCGAAATTCGATGACGATTCTCTGTGATGCAAAGCTTCAAGAGATTTTTGGATGTGAAAGCATTCAAGCCCTTGGAATACCTGAAGTTTTGGCAGAGCGACACTTGATCAGAAGATCGTAGCTGAATCTGTTGGCTGGTTAGTTTTCTAATATAGGTTTCTGTAATTTCTTTTGTGAATGAATTATATATAGTGCTTTCTTCCATGTAATCTTGCTGTATTGCTGTAGCACGTGTTGCTGGCTGTAGGTTACAGGTCTCTGTATTTGCAATATTCTTGAAAAAAGAAATGCAAGATTGTATGAGTTTGTTTTTGAGGAATCTTTTTAAGTCATACTGTTCTATTTTGTCTAAAACAGCATATTTGATTCCTCTAGGGTGTATGATCTGAAGGAGCTTTCATGATAATGTTCTACTTCCTACCTGGTTTCTTCAAGTTCCTTTGTTGAATGTGGTTTCTACTGAATCTTTTGAAATTGATCTGTTTTCCAATTTACAGTTTTGTATGCTTTTCCAGATGTCCTAGTTTAGTGCCCATATAATTACAGCAACTCCAGTCCCATTAAGCCGGTACTGTCATAGCTTCTCTCATGTTAGCTCTAGGGATCATTGGGTCTTCTGAGTTGCCACATTGATCGTTGTGTTTCTCTTTTCTTCTCCTTTTCGGTGTGAGGTTGACATAAAAAAGAAACACTTATGTAGCCTCGTCTCTTGATTTGCATAGTGCTAAACTCGGTTTCTCCATGTGTGCTGATATGTCTTACCTTGGTTAAAACCCGCCTTGCATTTGACTGTATTTTTGTATGTTGTGTTGCTTGCAGGGGTGCTTCTGGTTGCTGTTCGTGCCGAAGTAGCTTTTATGGAGTTCTGCAATTAGTTTGTTTAGGGAAACAATATCAGTTCGGTAGTCTCTCTACCTACCTATGTACAGGATGAAAATCTTTTGTCTGAAACGGCACAAAAATCGTAGTCTCTGCTTTCCTGACATGGCATTTTAGGTTAGACCTATCCTTGGGAAATTCTAACCCCTGTAAAGTGCAGCCGGAAGAACATGAACGTGTAAAACTATGACATTTTCATTTGCCAGTATGAAGTGTTGTTTTCTGTGCAACTGTAAGTCGATCCATCTTATGCGCTGTCTAGCTGAAGTTGTGAGCTGCTCCAGGTCTCAGTCTAAGCTGTTCAAAAGGTCCACTTGAGAGGCTTTCTGCGACGTAGGGCGGAGAGTTTTGGAAGCCTCGTTTGACCGCTGATCGGACATGCCTAGTCTCCAATCCCTCTGCCATGGATGTTTACATAGTCGTCGAGGATGAATTTGCACAACTGGGAAATTTTTTGTGCTTTTTGCTAATTACACGATCCTTTGTTCAACCTGTTGCGAGATTCTTGCACCATCCATCTTGCATTATGATTTCATGCACAGCGTGCAATTTTGACCTTCAACCTGTAAATGTTGCTTATTTACACGATTGGTAACTGATGGCAACCACAAAAAAAAAAAAAAAAAAAAAAAACCAGACCGATGCACGTCCGACAAGTTTGGCAAAAAAGAAGGAACATTCGTTCGTCAAAAACATGTTCCTCATAGGTGTTCACCGAAAGAAAGAGAGGAATATGAGATTCTTTAGTCGTGCATCTCCGGCTACCAGCTGTTTTCCAGACACCTAGAAGGCTAGAAGCGACCTAGAACAGTCGAAATGCGTACACTTCGACGTATGCATTACTTGTGCATAACCCGTGGACTAAAAGTCGTACTGCCCCCGTCAGTGCTCAAACATCCAAAACCGGTATAGTTAGCCGGTCCTCTTCAGTAACTAACACGCAGAGTTGTTGTGGCATGGCCCGCCAAATATAGGTCTCATGTAAGCATCATCAAACTTCCTCCAGTAGGAATGTACGGTGTGCACTGGCCTCTCTATCAACATGGACAAACTGTCCTTTGCACGAAGGAGGTTGGTGGCAGCGGACTCTTCAAAGGATAGCAATGGCACGGTCATATCCTCTTTCTGCATTTTTGCTTCTCGAGGTTGCTGACCGTTGGCTGTGCTATGTGGTAGCAGACAATGAATCAGTGGCTTTGTCAGAAACCCAAACACCTGCACTCACCATCAGTTCAATCGGAGTCTGCTCATTAAAATTCATAGAATGCCACCCCGAAAGGGTAAAAGAGGAGTGCGGCTGGAGCTCAAAACTATGGGAATTGATTCCAGGTAAAGGCCAATGGCAGAGTTGCATCCATACCAGGGTACTAAAGAGGACGACGGCTATCGTGTTAGTAATCATCGTGGCATTGACAGGATCAGTTGTGACTCCAGAAAATGTGAACTTGGAATGCAAACAAAGAGAAGTGGCTCATTAGACTATGATTATCCAAGCAAGTGAATATCAGTGACTTGCATGTTGTCACCTTGGACTATCAAAACTTTCTAGCTGAATGTGCAACGCACCTGTTTAAAAGCCAGAGCAATGGAAACTGCCCCTCTCATCAGTCCGGCCCACCAAATTACTACCTAGTAAAGATAGCAGGTTAACTGATGGGGAAAACATGAGATGACCTGCTTCATAGCACATTAAATGGAACTAAAAACCAGGAAAACGTTTAACCTGATGCTTGAGCGTAATTGTTGATGTCCTCTCAGCACGTCTATTCATGTAGTTGGAAAAAGCTGAGAGAGGGAACACAAATGCAGCACGCCCAACCAATATAAGCATAAGTAAGGTACTGTAGATGCCTAGTGAAGTCCCAAAACTGCAACAGAGAAAAAGTTGGAAGGGACAAAGATTTGCTAAAAAATGACACTGTAACTACTTGTCTCCCTTGTAACTTGAATAAAATCTAGATGGCTAGACCATTGCAACTAATCGTGCATTTCTAGAGCCACTGACGAGATTATACAATCAAGACAATATCTGACACAGAAATAGCTTAGCTAAGGCATAACCTCCTTAACGAAAATGAACCCTCATGCTTTGCTATGTCTGAGTGGCTCCTGAAGGAGCCGCTGGCATATCGCTTGGCCTAGTCCCATTGGGACCAGTAACAGCAGACCAAAGATAGCAGGCAACCACTAAAAACAAAAGATCCTTCCAAATCGTGGCTTCTCTTCAACTTTCTCTAGATAATATCATTACTTTGGGGAAAAATCACACGTTCAAAGGGTGTGCTATTTTTGGCTGACACGGCAGCTAGAAGGAAGGTTAAGACAAGATTGTCAGATTGGCAATAGAAACCGATGATCTCACCCATAGAGTACTTAGCCATCTTCTTAAGATTAAGATCTGCACCATATATTATGAGAAACAAATCGTGTTGAATTTTGCATTTTCAAATGATGTTCCAACTCATACAGTGATGAAAGGGATTAAGGATAAAAGAAAACAAAGCAAGTATCCAGACAGTTCACAAGCAATGACCACCAGTTCAAGTCTGGCTTAAGATTCTCTATAGCTCTGCAGGCTCAAAGGTAGTACCTCAGCTTTGTCATCTTCCACTTCTCGATGTCAAGAGCATCCATTCCCACATAGAGGAATATAAATGTTTCAGCAACAAAGGACATCATTGCAAACACATGCCTACAGAAAGTTTATTTGAAGCATCTTAGTGTCGGTCATATCCAAAGTTAACACTGAAGAATGATCTTAACATCACCACTCTACATGCCTGGTTGTAATTCTTGAGCTCTCGGTCACATTATGCCATGCATAGTGTGACATGAGAATGCCACAAAAGAAAACCGTCAGAATCCCACTTAACTCCAAAAGCTGTACAGAGCAAGAATCAGCTCAGATGTTTAGCTAGTAATACTCATTTGTGGCTAAATTTGAGGATGATGTCTTCCCCTATACATACCTCAGCTAACATGTAAGAAAGATATGCCATTAGAACCATTAATGCAATCTCCCTCACACTCGAATGTCTGTAGATAAATACAAAGAAAAGAAAAAAAAAGGCTTAGAAATTAGTATTTTACTCATGCCGAAGTCTCTAGACTCATCGGCCAATAGTCCAAAAGATTTACCACTGACACCATCCTTGAGGTGTCCTGTGCAGCAAACAAATATCTTTGCAGTTTAGAAGAGCTTACCTTCCGAAGTATAACGCTTTGAGGCAAAATGACGTCAGAAGTCCAGCCTGCATAAAATGTAAGCAGTGGTATCATACAAAAAGACAAGTCAAAAGAGATTTGTGGAGGAAATTTTACTCTGAGGCACCACATCAGTGTCGGTTTCCCATGATCACATAAAAAGAGGGTCGATGTCAACATAAACAAGGAGATCCGAAATGATCTTTTACATATAAAGGAATCTGTCACTTGAGGTTCTTTGGAAGCATCCAACTGGAGGCTCCCCAAAATTGCAGTATTACATCACTCACTATCAGCTCATAGATCAGTCTGATCTCGTTATTTAATACATGCGCGGGATTTGTATTAAAGTCACACCATGAAGCAGCACAATCTTGCATGGTGTATCTATTAGATCTATACCACTCATTACTTGTCTTCAGGAACATCCAAGGTTTTACTTCTTCTTATGGTTTAGTGCAATTCACACTGTACAGAATCGAATCAACCCCAGTGCCTCATTACATATCAAGCAATCATGAAACACATGCACTCTAAGCCACAAATCAGTTCAGCTCTAATTTAACATAATGCTTGCAACTTATCTTATACTTACAATAACCCCTAAACCAGTACTGGTGGAAAATAAGTAAAGAAAGTCTCCAACTATATGAAGGGCATTCTTGCTGTCAAGTCCGGCGACATTGAGCTTCTGCACTGCATTAAAGAGAACCACTGATGTTGCATCATTCACCACTCCTTCTCCAAAGACTAGGCTATACAGCAGAGGAGTTTCATCCTGATGGAGAACCTACACATTCGCATAATACTTTAGGGAGTCTACAGATACTGAAGGTAGAGAAACATGACAAACCAACCTGGAGTGTGCACACTGTATCAGTTGACGAAAATATTGTCCCAATCGCTAATGTCACCAGAGGCATTGCAGCAAGCTGTTAGAAATCTGATGAAACGGATCTTATTTTCCGTGAAAGAAAAAGAAGACAAAGACCTCACCAAGGTAGTCCCGAGCTGTCAGACCAATGAAATTTAACCTTGGGAAAAGCCACCAGCTGCCTAAGCCAATAGTAGAGAAGATCAGAACTTAGACTGATATCAGAATATGAGACTTTCAACAAAGAAGATGACTGTACTGTAAGTAAACAGTTCAAAGAATTGTCAAGGAATTGCTAAGTGATATACCAGCTGTTATTACGAAGGTTGAAATAAATACGCCAACCACCCCAAAGAGCATTATGGTCAAGAAATTTTGGAAGAACTGTTTCTTCTTGACCTGAAATCTGAATGTAAGCAAATCTAGTCAGCCACTTGTCTCACAGATGACAAATCCATCGCAGATGTTTCAAAATATTTCATGAGAAAGCTGTCCTCACCCAGCATTGAATATTATAGGTGGAAGGAGATATATGAAGAACAATTCTTCATTGAACCTCAGAATGTGAGAACTTTTTCCCTTGCTCAGGACCAAGATAATAGTTCCGCTAAGACAGCCCTGTGCAAAAGTGATATGGCAGATTAAAACAAGTCCGGATGTCTGCGCAACCCAAAGAGATTCAATACGTAGCTCTACTGCTTCATCTTTTGATACTTTCAGAATGCCAAGTCAAATAGTAATTATCGAAATGAAGTATATCCCATTACATCAGCTATCAGTTGGCTGCGAAAGCGCAGGAGCAATAAACACATGCTATACACAAATCCTATAAATTACTATGCTGTTTTCCAGATGAGGATTCTTTACTCTTCTCAGAAGGCAAATAAAATTGTACTCGGTGAATTCGCACTTCCGCATTATTGTAATGATATCTGATATAATAAATCCAACAAAAAAAAACACAAAATTGAACTAAAAATGATTTCCAGTTTTCCTAGTGATTTTCCACTCGAAATCATCGATGGCATTAATGTACATCAGCCTCCTTAGCTCCACGAAATTATTACTTCGAACCACATGGAATGGCATTCATCTAACATGATTTTCTAACAGTCGGCCAGCAAGAAACAAACTACTCTTGGCCTGTTCTCCGAAGGAAATAATCATAATAATCTCGTAACTCAAAAACTAGCAGAACTGTGACCAACTGCTTCACGTTTCAGCCACTGTCAGAAACAGCAACAGCTACAACTATGATCGACACAGGCCACTATTGTCTTCAAGGAGCGATAGCCTAACTTTCACACTTTCAGCTCAGATTTCACAAAACGGCACAAGGACCTTCAAAAGCTGCAATCAGAAAAGCCAGACGACGGTAACAACGAGCCAGCTCCACTAAACTACCACATGGAACAGTCGATCTCGACCGCACGCCGACCGGTTCAGGAATTCACAATCAGAGAGCGAGAGAGCGAGAGCGAGAGAGAGAGAGGCGTTACGATCAAAATGGCGGTGATGGACTCGTTCACCCATCGGTTCTCCTCGAGCAGGTGGCCGACGACCATGCAGAGGCACAGGACGGCGACGAACACCGTGATCGGCACCACCTGCGCGTGCTCGCTCCCGAGGTTGCGAGCAAGCTCTCGCCACGTCATCGTCATCGTCATCGTCATCGTCTTCTTGCTTTCGCTCACCGAACGCGAGGCATGAGAGAGAGAAACTGTGGATGTTAGTTTGCCGGGAAAAGTGAGTTCAGTGGAGTGTTTGCAGGTGGGCTTGACACGTGAGTACGACGTTGCCGCGAAATCACACGTGTCGGACACCATAGTCTCAAACAAAAGTGCTCTTCTATTAAATGATTTAAGCTATTTTATTTGAACACATGTTATCTTCACATCGAAATTACAAAAATCCACTGTAACGAGTCGATCCGAGTTAAATGTTTTTCTTTTCTGCCACGAAGCATAATAATTTGCTGCCACGACTGATTTATTTGTGGTTATCTTCGAGCACTTTTTCCACGAATTTCGTGGCAAATAATAAGGATAATTAGTTCCCGATTCGATCCGATCTCATTTAGAAACTAGAAATCGATTTCTAATTTCTGAAATCGGGAATCAGACCACCGAGTCTTAAGATCTGATCGGTCCAGTTCGGTCCGATTTTCGAGCGGTCAATGGAACTAATGAATTCACATATGTTAGTCGAAAGTTTTTTATTAATTGAATTGCCAATTCATATCGGAAGAAAAATTAGAATTTCGTCTCAGATTTGCAAAGAAAAATTAGAATTTCGTCTAAGATTTGCAAAGATGGAGAGATGATGGGGCCGTGATTATAGGGGCACGCTCAAAAAAAGGAGGAGGATTTTGTGGATTCTTTTTCATAAACGACGGACTCACAAATTTAAGGAAGGTGCGAATAATCAAGGGAGGTAAAATCGGTGAATCTTTGCAGGAAAGAAAGAAAGTAAAATAAAGAAAGAAGCAAGAGACAAAAGGAGCAAGTTGGGATGAATCGGTGCAGCAATATGAAAGAAACAAAGATTTGCTTCATCATCTGGAATAAGCGAAGGGTGAGAGGAGATGACTCGAAGAAGCGAGAGGGAAAGGAAAGACCTAAACTTTAGATTATCTTCTTTAAGAAATTTTAAAAACTTATATATATACAATCGATTCGGTCCGGTCGGTCCGGTTCCTACTCCGAAATTGGAAACAGGACTGAAAATCATTGGTTCCATTTATGGAACCAAAACCGAACTGGAGCCCTCTAAAATCACTTAGAATCGACCGGTCCGATTTAGTCCGAATAGTTTCCGGTTCGGGCGATCCTCTATGCTCACCCTAGGAAATAGCTGCTTTTTGGAAGAAAGTATTAGGTGGTCCGGGACCTCCACATCGACGTGGTCTCTCTCATGTCAGAAAAAAAACATTTCCTCTCTCCAGCAAAGCAAAGGCTTTCAAATTATTTTGAAACCATGATTTCGCTCTCGTCGTCGTTACTGGTTAATTTGATTTTGCTTTCAAATTAATAAAATTCAGTAACATGTACCTCACCTCATATTTAATTCTTTTCCGATTTCATAGCATCTAGCAAGTCTATATATTTTGAGTGTAATTCAGTCATCTTTATTTGTTGAGATTATATAAAAATTAGCTTGGTCACTATTAAATTTGCTATTGCTTTTTCAGAGTTATTATCTCTGTTTATATTTTCCAGTTACAGCACAAGGAACTAACAGCTTACATTGCGCCAATCTGGGTGAAGGTACAGCTGCTCATCCAAATCCCAACTAGGGCCGGCAAAATGGGTCACGTACCCATTTTATAACTCATTTTTAGGAAGCCCATATCTATTTGGGTAACTCACTTTTCTAAAAAATGAGCTCAAATGGGTTAGAGAATATATAATGCCCAAAAAATGGGTTAAAATATGGGTCACCAGCTGACCCATATTGTAACCCATATTTTCTAAACCCACCACCCGAATTACCTGTTCAGTGCTCAGGCGCCCATCCACGAACGACGCTTCGCTCCCAACCTACGCTTCTTGTTGGCCGCTCGCCGCGCTTCCTTCACCGCTCGTCGCTCGCCACCTTGGCCGCTTGCCGCGCTTCGCCGCCACTTGCCGCGCTTCGCCGCCACTCGCCGCGCTTTGCCGCTCGTCGTTCGTCGCCTTGGCCGCTCGTCGCTCGCCGTGCTTCGCCGCTCGTCGCTCGCCGCGCTTCGCCGCTCGTCGCTCGTCGCCCTTCACCGCTCGTCAGTGTTCCTGTTATTTCCAAGTACCCAAATCTCCCTTTCGACGAACAAGACGACCCACCGGGCGAAGACTGGGAAGGCGCCAGCGTCTCGGGGAGTCGAGAACGACCCGCGTCAAAAGCCCCAGCTTTGGACGAGGACGGCCCGTCATCGTCGCCTGATCACCAGCAATTGGCCCGATCGTTTCAGTCTCAAGGCGACAAGCTCGCTGAGGTGAATGGCAGTTCTTTTGCTCTTTTTGTTTTCTTGAAAATTCTGATGCTGTTCTGTTGAAGACGAATTTAAGTGGCATGTAAAATGGCTCACTGCTTACCCACGATTGTTTTAGCCTGTCCAATCTGTCTGATTTGAGAGGTTGCTTACTGGGATTGTGCCGTTTTCGATGCGGGAGCTTGGAAAAAGATAATTGAAAAGCTAACCTCCATTCATTTGCAGGGGAAGTTTCTTCAAGGTCCTTGTTTTTTCGTTCTTTGGAACTTTGCTTTCCAAAGAAAGTGAATTGTCTTAATAATTTTTCAAATATGTTTTTGGTCCCTCTTTTCTTTGAGGTCCACTATGTTATTGGTGGTGGTGGCGATGGTAGGAATGGAATGAAATGTCCAATGCATAGTTATTTGCAGAATTGTGTTTCCAGCAGTGGAGTGGGCTGGGGTTGATGTGCTGAAGAGGGAATGGAATGAAATGATTGGGGATATGGAATTACATGAAACGATATGGTTATCATTTACTTGATTAATGTTGATTTGCTGAATATTAAGGTTTTTTTTTTCGCAATGGGGTAGACATAATAGTAAAAGCCCATAGTCCCATTTTGGTAATCTGAGCCTGAAGATCTTGGTCAATTTGTGCAACTTGTTTGGGTGTTGTGATGCTCCTAATTGTGGACTCGGCAGCCTTCGAATTGGCTTTAAGAGTTTCCAACTTTACTGTTGGCTGCTCCTGGCTATCATACTGTAACATTGTTTGGGGAACTCGTGTCATCATCACATAATCAGATTATGACGTTAATAGGACTGCCTATATCTCTTGGTGGCAAGTGATTTTTTTGGCTCATTGGCAAGAGGAACTCTTGTAACATCCTGTTAATATCTACAACTGAAAATTTTGAATGGCTTGTCTGCTGCTGGGTGTTTTCTCATCATTGTTGAGATTGTGATCATTCCTTAGTTTGTAGCCGTAATGAAGGGTTTTGATGTAGTTTACTTGTGCATTTTGTCACAAAGGGAAGCTGAACGAACTCTTCGATGCATGCTCTTCTTCCAAATCTCTTCATTCTTTATGTTTGTATGTCACATAGCAATAGAGAGGTCCTTCCTTTCTGACCCATTCTCCTACACATAATGTGTGGATTTCAAACTACAATTGCAAATTTTTAAATTGCTCAGAAACTACAGAGGTCACACTTTTGGAAGAAAAGCAGCGATCAGGACTATGATTAGAGTAGAATTGGCACATTATTCTAATAACATATACATGTGAAGAGGTTAAAGTGAATTAAATGGATGGATATGAGTTTTCCTAAATTATTAATATGTTCTAGTAATATGGGTCGGGTCGGGTACGGGTCGGGTATGGGTCGGGTCGGGTATGGGTCACTATATTTGCATTGCATGAAAATGGGTCAAAACGGGTTAAATGGGTCGAATATGGGTCGACCCATATTCGACCCGACCCAAACCTGACCCGACCCACCCGTTTGACGGGTCTAATCCCAACTCCCCATCCAACCCTATAAAAAGGGATGGAAATCCAATCCACTTCAAGGCCCAGAACCCAGCATCACCAGTTGGCGAAGCCTGCGACTCAGGCAAAACTGACCCAGAGACAATAGCACAGCATGCCCAAGTTCTTTCCCTGGTTTGCTACGGGCAACATTTGAGCTGGTTCAAAGACAAAAGCAAAATATAATCAGATGGCCAACATGCTAATCTATGGGATCAGATAAAAGCAGGTAGATGCCAAGGGATTCGACATTTAATTGAAGACCTGCATTAGGATTTTTACCAAGACTAACACTAATTACGTGCGGGTTATCTACAGCCGAGGATAGAAATTACCTCAGTCGATGCTAAGCTTTGGCAAATCGAACAATCTTAGCAAGGCACAGTTCTAAGAGTTCTTATACCAGCTCCACTGCTCCACATTTTGAGCTCACCATCATCTGAAGTGAAAACAAGGAGAAATAATCACTTCTCAGTTGGAAAGACATCACTGACAAATTCTATTCTAAGTCACATGGTACTTCATGCCACAGGTTGAGCGATGGACTTGTCTGAGCTCAGAGTCTGCATAATTTATAAAGCACCAAAAGACTGCATAATTTATAAAGCACCAAAAGACATTAAGTTTCACAGGATATACCTGGCTTAAAAGCCAAAGCTGATGATATTTTTGCATCAATAACCTCTTCAATTTGCATCGCACGGCATGCCACATCAACTGGAAACACCAGATCTGTCTTGGTTCGAACGATCTGATATTTAGTTCGAGACCTACAAACAAACGAGAATTCTCCTTAACCTCCAGTATGTGCATAACAGTCCTCAAATCTGTCTTGGTTAAAACAATCTGACATTTAGCTTCATGTTTAAGCTACTGTCAGAAGCAGCAATAGCTACCTTCATCTCTCTCTCTCTCTCTCTCTCTCTCTCTCTCTCTCTCTCTCTCTCTCTCTCTCTCTCTCTCTATACATATGTGTGTGTGTGTGTGTATTGTGCACTCACATGCTCTTATTATGATCAACAGCAATAGTCTTCAAGCAGCGATAGCCTAAATTTTATACTATCAGTTCAGATTTTTTAAAACGGCTCAAGACCAGAAGACCGGAAGACGGTAACAAGAGCCAGCTCCACTGACTACCACATCGAACGTCGAATCGAAAGGCACGGAGTGTGTCGATTTCAAGCATACACTGACTGATTAAGTTCATAATCATAGAGGGAGAGAGGAGTAGGGTCAGGATCAAAATGGCGGTGATGGCCTCGTTCACCCGTCGGTCCTCCTCGAGCAAGCGGCCAATGACCCGAGCAGAGGGCATAGGACCGCGACGAACGCCGTGATCGGCACCATCTGCGCGCGGTCGTCCGCGGGGTTACAAGCAAGCTCTCGCAACATCATCATCATCATCTTTTCGCTTCCACTCCAACGACCAAACAGAGGGAGAGAGAGAGGAGGAATGCATGTGGGAGTTTTTGGACAATTTTCCCTAATGCTTTATGTGACGAAAGATTTGACCTTTTGTCACGAAAAATATTTTCGTGGCAATAGTTGGTACTTCTAGCCACTAACAATATTTTCGTGATGAATTATGAGACATACCGACAAGGAGAACGTATTGGCCGTGCGTAATATTTCGTAGCCAAAAGTCAGATCACATACCACGAAATTACTATCTCGCCGCGAAACATGAGAACTCGTGGCTAAAAGTCAAATATATTGCCATGATTAATTTATTCGTGTTAATAGGTCTAATCCTCTACCACAAGCTCTGGCAACCCTGCCGGCCGTGCTATGTAGGATGATTGGTGTCCACATCAGCGATTTCCGATCAAAATTGGTTGGATAGATTCAATTGGCAAAACGTAAAAAAATTTAAAACTAAATTAGCACAATATAAATGTTAATTCACAAGTGCAATAAATTTAAAGACTTTTTTGGGTAATTACCTTATCTACGATAAGGAAATTCACTAATGGGTAAGTTTGATTTCGTTTACGAGAAGATAATGTCTCCTTAAGACTCCGTTTGTTTTGTAGAAAATATTTTCCTCGTTTTCTGATGTTTGAATCACTTAGGAAAATGAGTCAATGGAAAACTTATGCTTAAATTCATAAAAATGATTTTCTCCTTAAAAAATCGAAAATCATTTTTTAAAATATAACTAGATAATAGCCTTTGGACTAGAAACTCTACATTTGGACACGGGAACCCAACACTAGTTCCCAGGCCCTTGGTAGGAAAACCAAGTCTAGAGGCCGAGGCCAGGTGCACAAAGGCCAAGCCCAGCTCCAAACAGGTCAGGCTCAAAACCTCAGTGCCCGTGTCTTGCCTCGGGCGCTCGTGGCCAAGTCTACAGAGGCCGAACCTAGGACCTCAATACCCTTGCCTGGCTCCTTGGCACCCTAGGCTGGGCTCGACACCCCAGTGCTTGTGCCGGGCTCCCCAGCGCCCAAGCTCAGGTCCATTGAGGCCGGGCTTAAATTCACATAGGTTGGGCCTAAGACCCATGTGCACATACCACCTATACATCAAGGCCGGGCCTCGGTCTATCGAGGCCGAGCCTGAGTCCACAGAGACTAGGCTCAGGACCCCAAAGCCCATGCTTGGGTCTGAGTCCGTCAAGCCAGAGCTCGAGACCCTAGTGCCAGTGCCTAGGTCCCGGGTGCCCAGGCTCAAAACCCATTGTCTGTGTTTGGGTCCATGAAGCCGAAGCCTGGGACTCTGGCACCCATACCTGGGTCTCTAGTGCTCGGGAGCCAACCCTTGGTGCCTGGACCTGGGTTCATTGAGGCTAGGCACCATTGATCTAGGCACTGGGGCCGAGGTGCCAAGCCTAACCTCAATGGACCCGAGTGCGAGCATTGGGTTCCCGAGGTCCTGTGCTCGGCCTTTGTCGACTCGAGCCCGAGTGCCAAGGATTTGGGCACGAGCACCAAGTCCTTGGGCCCTGCTTTTGTGGACTCTAATCGAGACACCAGGGAGCTGGGCATGGGCACTGGGTTCTTGGGCCTCGCTTTCGTGGACCTGAGATTGGTGCCCATACTTGGGTCCCCAACACCTAGGTCGGGGGCCATCAAGGCCAGACCTGGGACCCTCCTACCCATGCCCAGTTCTGCGGTTGCGCATGCACAAGTTATTAATGCCCGAATAATATATGTCTATTTAGGAAATCAAATTAGATTTTCTTTAGCAAACGGCGGAAAATATTTTCCGGTTCACTTTTAGGTTTTTCGGTCAAACACTGGAGTATATTCTCATTTTCTTGGAAAAAAATTCCTAGAAAATATTTTCTAAAAATGTCCCATTTTTCGCAAAACAAATGGAACTTAAGATGCCAAAAATCTACTTTGATTAGGAAAATAGATTGACTGTTTTGTTATGACAAATATGTTTGTTTCAAGCACCCGTTATATATGAACAAAAAAAAAGCACCCGTTACAACATTTTCATGCGATTACTTTGCATCAGTAGCGATGTAAATCAGTATATGCATGCGAGATTTTGAAGCTATGTCATCTCCGTTTCCACAATACATTAGTTACAGGCCACTTTAGGTAGACAGTTGGATTTCTCTATGTTCCTCAGTTTGAGAAGTACAAAATAAGGAGAACCTAATCCAGACATCATGTTGCTGCTTGTTGGAGACGTGAGATATGCTGGAGATTCTCCATTTTCCTTTTGTGCCTCCGTCATAATTTGTTGTACGATCATGTTACCTTACTAGTCATCTTATAAAGCCTATAAAAACCTCATGTACTTTTTATTATGAAATACACAGAAATTATACAATTCTCTTCCCCGTATTCATATCTCTACTATTGCTCATGAGTTCGAGATTGACCTTTCCAACCATGGGCTTGCTAATGCTCATGCTTATGTCGGCACTCGCTATGAATCAAGCACAAGCACAACATGTCTTCAATATCAAAGATTTTGGAGCAGTTGGTGATGGAAGGACTGACACTAGCAAAGTAATTCAACACCATTTACATTTCATTTGTCACTGCATGTCCTTTTGCTTCCACATAATGTAAGATTCTGAGCTTATGATTTTTGTAGGCTTTATCTGATGCGTGGAGTGGAGCTTGTCACTCCAAAGGGACCAGTGTCGTCTTAATCCCAAGAAGGACTTACCTGTTGGGTCCAGTGCTGCTCGCGGGTCCCTGCAATGGCGCGATAGAATTTCAGATCAAAGGGGGTCTGAGGGCTTTTAGTAGCCCTCAACTCGGTATCGACCATTGGATTTCATTCCAGTACATTGACAAGCTGACGATTACCGGAGGAGGATTGCTTGATGGCCAAGGAGCTGCTTCTTGGCCGTATAATGACTGCAGCAAAAACCCCAATTGCAAGGCACTCCCAGTGGTATGTTTCTGTTCTTTCTTTTCCGTCCTTTACTTTTTACAGCTTCCCTTAAGTTGAGAAAGCCCATTTCACAGATTTAGAAGCCAAGTTAAAAGCACTAACGTTGTGCGTGAATTTCTTCCACCGTGCGTCTATTTTCACCAGACAATGAGATTTAGTTTCGTAACGAAGGCGTGGATTCACAATGTGATATCTCTCAACAGCAAGAATTTCCATTTCAATCTTTTCTCCTGCAAAGACATGACCTTTGAGCATGTTACCATAATAGCTCCAAAGGACAGCCCAAATACTGATGGAATCCACATGGCTCTCTCTAGCTACATTTTCATCCGAGACTCGGGCATAGGCACTGGAGATGACTGCATATCTCTCGGGCCTGGAAGCGAAAACATAAACATGACAGGTATCACTTGCGGGCCCGGGCACGGTGTAAGTGTCGGGAGCCTCGGGGCTATGGCAAATGAACCGCGTGTAAATTCAGTGTTCTTAGGGAGCAGCACCTTCACGGACACTATGAATGGCGTGCGAATCAAAACGAAGGCTACCTCATACCCAGGCGCTGTTTCAGACATCACCTTTCAAAACATCATTGTCAACAAAGTCAACAACCCAATAATCATTGATCAGCAATACTGCCCGTCAAAACAATGTCGGCTCCAGGTATCCGTTCTCTTTGGCAACGTGCACGACATTTTGCACCTACTACAAAATCACCTTCATGCAATAGACCAAACAGCAGAATAGAAGGAAAAGATTCATGTAAGTACTCACGTGAAAATCACGGCCATGGTCACACACACGGACTCTACATGTTATCACGTCCGGCATCATTTTACTTTACCCATTTAAAAGGGGAAGAAGAACATCTGGCGATTACCATAACTGCTAGAATGGTGTGAATATGAAGTTGCTATAAGTTCTCAACACGGGAAAAAGCATACGTTCTCTCTGCTAATCTGCTAATAGAGCAGTTCCAATTAATTTATTATATGACACTGTCGTTTATCACACTTACGGATACATGACAACACGAGACACTGACCATGTTCATTCTTGTCGTCCTTCCTGGAGTCCTCACGAGTTAAGATCAGCGACGTTAGGTTCAGAAACATCAGAGGCACTTCAAGTTCGTTAGTTGCAGTTAATATTAATTGCAGCCCAGCTGTTCCATGCACGGGCATCGAACTTAGAGACATCGACTTGGAGTATGGTGGAAGAGAACGAAAAGCATCATCAGTTTGTGCAAATGCGAAGGGTGCCTCTTATGGCAAACAAAATCCTCCCTCGTGCTTGAAAAGTTCTCTTCACAACATCCGCTTAATCTAGCTCATCCCTGGATCGGCACAGAATCCACCATCTGTTACAGTCCTCTGACCAACATCACAACATCAGCCAAAGAGTAGGAATTCAGAAAATATGCAGGTCCCTTTTAAAGTTCCAGAATAGCCTTTGGACCATATACAGAGTCATATAATTTGCCGAATGTACTGAAGTTACCTGCCTTGTAATTTCCCTCTTTTTTGTAATTCTGATATCTAATTCTGAGGGAAAGAAATAAGACTCCGCATTGAAGATTCAGATTCTTTGTAATCCAAACTTCCGAAGCACATCGACTATGCACTGCTCTCGCACATCATTAAATAAAAAGTGGCCAACATTGTGGTTGTATTAAAACTGGACACAGCATGATTTTCGGGCTCAAATATTCACAAGCAACTGATATGGAAAGCGAATTTAAGAGATGGATGAACCTTGTGTACACCACGCATACTTGTCTCCTTGTGCAAAAGTTTTAAAACCTAACAGATAAACGATTGAGCACATTGATCCTCATAATCCGTAAATTGCCCAACAACAAAATGCTGCAGCTCAGTTGGTTAGGGCTGCAGCTCAGTTGGTTGGGGCGTACTTGGGATTGTGTGATTAGGCCCACTGGTCCCAGGTTCGATTCCCCATCTGAGCACTTGTGATTTAAGTGGGGGGTCATGGCGGTGGGTTGCTGTGCTAGTCTCCCCCGAGGAATAGTCGAGGTGCGCGCATGCTGGCCCGAACACCTCGATTACCAAAAAAAAAAAAAAAACAAAATGCTGCAATATTGCTAAATATCAAGAAGAAGACGATCTTTGCCATATTCTGTTCATATAAAGTAGTGATGAGAAGCTTTATAATGCAGTACACTAAATATTGTAATATTAGCAGCTATTTGGATTGTATAAATATAGGAATTCACCATCATGACTTTGATATAAACTGAATCGTGCCTTTTACATTACTACTGCTCACAAAAATTGCAGCTTCTGCAAGTTTCTATAAACTACAAAGGTTAACAACTATGAATTCCTGGGTGAAGATTTTCTTGTCATCAATTGAAAACTAAAACAGAAATGGACTTCCCGAAAAACCCGAAGAAATCACTCCTGGTACTGATTCCTGCAGTACTCGCAGACGGCGAAGATGATTCGGCTGCCAAATACAGCCTCACTTAACTTGCAAGTAAGGGAGCTCTGTCCCTTTTGCAATCTTCAAATAGGTCAGATGCTCCAGCAGAGGAGGCCAAGCCCTCTTGCTACCATTACGCCAATCTGGCTGAAGATATATCTGTTGATCCAAATCCCAATTTAAGGCCCACAACCCAGCATCAATCGTTGGTGAAGCCTGTGACATAGATGAAAATTGACTAAAGTCACTATCACACAGCACTACCCCTGTCCCTGGTTTGCCACAGGCATCAATTGAGCTGATTCAAAGACAAAAGCAAAACATAATCAGATCGCCAACATGCTAATCAATGGACTCAGATTAAAGTAGCTAGATACCAAGGTATTCAAAATTTAATTGGAAGATCAAGACTTTACTAATATAACTATACCAAAAACCATGATAGACTCTTACTACTAAGACTAATACTAACCACGTGCAGGTTATTTACAGCCATCCAAGGATAGAAGTTACCTCAGTCAATACTATGCTTTGGCAAATCGAGCAATCTTGGAAAGTACAGTTCTTAGAGTTCTCATACCAGCTCCAGATTTTGAGCTCACCATCATCTGAAGTGAAACCAAGTAGAGACAATCACTTCTCAGTCGAAATGACATCACTGACAAATTATATTCCCAATCACATGGTATTTCATACCACAGGTTGAATGATGGACTTGTTTGAGCTCAGACTCTGCGTAATTTAGAAGCATTAAAAGACATTAGGTTTTACAGGATATATCTGGGGTAAAGTAAAAGCTGATGAAAATTAGTACATCAATAACCTCTTCAATTTGCATCGCACGGCGTGCCACATCAATTGGAAACACCAGATCTGTCTTGGTTAGAACAATCTGATATTTAGTTTGAGATCTACAAACAAACAAGAATTCTCCTTAACCTCAGCAAGTGCATAATATTCCTCACCACCAACTGATTCTCTATGTATGAGGTGGACATTAAAAATCAGTTTAGATGCAGGTAACGCGGCAACTCAGGCAGTGTATGTATTAGTCAACTCACAGTAGTGTCCTGCCACAGTTATAAGAGACTTCACTGTTCAATGAAGTTATATAGCACAAGAAACCCATGCGCACTAGAGATTTTATCCCCGTGAAGACGCCACAATAAATGTAACAACAAGTGAGAATAGTAAAAGATCGGAACATGTCACTATAGTAAAACCACACTGGGCAATGTAAAAAACCAGATGACGTCCAAAAACAATTAACAGAGGATGCGTACATGCCTTTCCATCAAATCAACGAGTTCATGATCCCTCGGTTTCATACCCCATTTTGTATCAATGAGTAAACAAACTCGCTTCAAGCCGATTCTTGTGGAGACATACTCCTTTACCTAGAAATTGCGACAAAGCGACCATAATAACCACATAAAATATTAAAACCATTTTGCAGATTAATGACAACAATTTAGCATGAACTTGCATAAGAACAAATTCAAATTTCTAAAACATCAAATAAGGACATATTGAAATTGACACTAAATGGATAATTTTTCTCAGTATAAATCAGATGAAAACTATACTGGCCCTTATCCTACATATCCCTTCCACAGTTCCTCTTGAAACAATGGCAGATGTGATGATCAACTTCAATAAGAAATCTTCTTCTACGAACAAGCACAGCCCTTAGATCAATTATGTTTTAATGAACTGCTTTTACACTAACCAGATGGAGAATATCCAGTACCAAGAATTTATATTTCAACCAATGAAACAGATGGAGGTGAACCAGAACTTCTCAGATATTTAAAATTAGTGCACTTCGAAACAGATATTAACTAAAGGGGAGATCAAATGATGAATCAGTCAGATAATAATTTCAAACTTGTCTCACATACCCAATTTCTCTAGTTTTGAGGATTTCGTATTTGCTCGAGATCTTAAAGTATCACATCAAAGCTCAACCTAGCTGATTCATTCAGTTTTGGCTAACTGACAGTTAATTTGGTGTAAAAGCCCCATTTACTACGTCATGCTTCATGCAAACAACAGTATACTACTCATATACACCAGAACAACCTATCAACACTTAAAAAGTACGATAGCATGCTGCTCCTATCATTAGTTTAATAATGGACAAATAAAGGTAAATAGTTTGAAGCTATATATGGCTGAGGCCAAAAGTCAAATTGCATTACTTACAAGCTCCTCCCAAGCATCTTTGACTTCTTCTTTTGCATAAGCAAAGCCATATCCAGGCAAATCAACCAAGCAGAGCTTGGATCCTAGGTTGAAGAAATTAATTGTCTGCAAAGGAATCAAGATTGTCAACAAAGGAAGTATCACAACTAATCAAGTTGCAAGTTCAGAGAAAATGATGGAACCTGAGTAAGTCCAGGCTTATCTGACGTCCTAACAACACCCCATTGTCTGGTGAGTGCATTTAATAGTGATGATTTTCCAACATTTGACCTTCCTATAAGAAGGAAGCAACACATTTCAAAAGGACTAATTGGCCGACATTATTGGAGTAGAAGGAAATAAATTCATTATTTCTAAACATCTAATGACTCTCAACCTACTGTGGAAAACAAATCATCATGTTAACACTCCAAACAATATAAGAGCAACGCAGAACTTACGAAGAGTGCAAACTGTCTACAACCATGCGAGACAAGGTTCAATAGATTAATTAAAGAAATACATGGTGAGCTTTAAAAAGACCATCATTATATGAGAAAGTTTTGTACCTAGATGTCTAACTTATCCAGATTCCAAAAAATGCATATACCGAATGAAAACAACCGGTCCAATGGGAAAGTTGCCTATACAACATGTTATGACACAATCACATCCAAGCAAACTCACAACTCATAGTGTTGGATCTGAATGTAGTAACATGCAAAAAAACAAAAAATTTTGGGATACAACATTCCAATATAATTGTGCCAGAGTTTCATAAGACAGCCTAATGCAGTGAGGAAACCAATGTACACCTCAAAGGGCGGTGTTTAATCAAGAACACTGAGAGGATGAGAGCCAACATCTTTACCTGCAAATGCAATCTCCGGAAGGTCCGGGCTTGGAAATGATGATGAAACATTTGCAGCAGCAAAAAAGCTTAATTTGTTCCTGAACACCTGTAATAATGGTCAGCAAGGCTATGAACCTTTAATGCAGCACATGAAGCTTCAGGCGCCATTATGAAAACATTTAGCGCAATTTTGGAGACTGACATATAGTTATATATAACTACCTATGCAAACTTACATTTTCTTCAATCCTCTCTCTTTCAGAACTCGTAGATAAGGGCATATTGTCCAAAGGGGCAGAAAGATCCACGTTGTAGCCGGCCCTCCGAAGCTCAATCATTCGTCTACGCCCAAGCAGCTGTTAACAGGGTACGCAAAGTTGGTCCATGCATCAGGAAAGAAATATTCAAGTGCAGAATTGCATATGAAAAGGAGAGGAGTTTTGCTATAATCAAGTACATTATCCTCAACAAAGGAAAGGATAGAGGGGCAAGGCTGTATTGCACGGAACCGAGCATTACTCGACATCTCAACATTCTTTTCAGGTTCTTTGTTCTCCTTAGCATTTTCTGAAAAGCACAGAAAGGAATGGTAAAAATGAAATTATGGGTTTTTACAGGTAAATGTTTTAAAAAGGGTGAAACACAGCCAAAGCAACAGCTTAACAATATAACACAGGCATCAGAACTGATCTCTTACTTTTAATTTCAAAAATAAAATAAAAAATAGTCTTCTCAATATCCATTAACTACCAAGCAACCCTAAATGCAGCAAACATAATCCCTTTGCAGAGATTTAATAATCAAAAGACAAGCAATAATGGTAGCTTCACGTTGCCTTTCATAATAAGCATTGCATTATTCAGTGTTTCGCATGTATAAATGATGAGATATGTCTCAAATAGATCCAAATCCTAAGGCTGAGAACCTTCAGATACAATTCATTCTTCGTCAGAAAAAACAAAATGAGTGCAATGTGATTCTATTGGCTTTAGCTAAAGAGATAGCCAAAGAAAAGGGTGGGTGAAGCTGAATTAATGAGACAAGAATCCTAGAGAAATTTCTTTTGAGCAATCGATGCTTATGTTAAACTACAAACATCCGACTTCCATGGTACATTGACAATGCATGAAATCTCTATACACTTGGACGATCCTATCAGCCTATACAAATAGTAAATTTCACACTTTATACTAGAAAGATAAGACTTTGCAAATATGGCTTAGTATCTCATGAAGCCCAGACTCCGCCCTCAAACAGATAAGTGCATTCACATGGACAAGCAGCACTTTTTTACCATTCATCCGAGAAAATAAAATATTTAAGAAGAAAAAAGAAAAACACAGACGATATGCTTACCCTCGATGAGTATGCTGTCATCTAGCCGCTTATTTGAAATATCATATGGATCTATGCGTATACGCTTCCTCTTCTTAGGCTGGTCATCTTTTACATCACGATTATCATCAGTGCCTATTTTCCTCGATGCCTTTTTCGTGACGAGTTTTGGAGGAGAAGTGTCCATACGCTTGTTTTGAAGCTGACTCAAATGCTTGCCTGCCTCCAATTTGCCTTTCATGTGCTTCCTCGACAAATCAGTTGCGCCAGCATCGTTCTTCTTCCCTGCCTCCATCGTCTTGGTTTTCAGATTTGAGCTGGAAACTTCGACTTTTTGCCCTTTCCTCTTGAACTTCAAGGAAGAATCCTGAACCTTGGTCATAGCATCATTCACTCTGCCAGAAGCCCACATGGTGCGATGTGATACTTTACTGCCTTTTACTAAAACAGAGTTGAGTTCCAACTGCTTCTGTCCTTTTCTGATTGAAGACTTCATCTCCGCTGGCTCTCTATAATCCTGGGACATTTCCTCTCCATCCTTGTCCCTTCCAGCATAAATCCGCTTCTTTCTCCTATCAGAAGTTGCGAGTTTAATTGTACTTACCACGCTCGAATCTGATTTCTGCTCACTCCTCAGTCCCTTCTCTTTCTTGAAAACTTTATTGCCCTTGCGAGAAGATTGATTCGCAGGAACAGCATTTCCTTCTCCAAGCTTCTTAGAATTCCGAATGGCAGGTTTAAGTTTCTTCTTTAGCTTCACCCTTAATTTCGCCTCGGCAGACATTTCCTAGAACAACTTCAACAGACACGACACCAATGAGAAAGCTAACTGGATCCTCGCCGACAGACGGAAAAACCAACAGACCCAAATAAGAAAAACTACCAAAAACTAAACTCATGCCCACCGCCGGCCAGAAGAGCTGGTTAACCTGTGAAGTACGAGGAACATAACCCTCTGATCGCACCCAACAAAGTCACGTACGTACTAAATACCAAGTTCAACTGCTCCTACATTGACACGTACATCGAGAACACTCGCGTGCGCATCGCAAATGACGACACCTTCAAGCTCCGGTAAAAGAGAGCACAAAAAATGAGAGAACTGCGAGAATTCAGAGGAACAACCGCAAAAGCGGGTGGGTTCACACTTCAACCCGACACTCAGCAAGCATCGTCTCCTATGCAACAGTCACTCGCATGTTCTGGCCAACGACAACAACTCTCCGGTACGATGATAACTTAAACTCGCAAATGCAGGCGTTGTTAGTGTTGCTCACCGTTAGAGGCCAATCCGCTCGACTTCTACCTCCCGACGAGTCCCCCAATTCGCCAATCGTGCAATGGTTCGACCCGCGAGGAGGTTCAAACCAAGACTTCGAGCTTCGCTGTTGCGTCCCTGGCCTCGGAACCTCGTCGCTAAGCTGCCTTCTTCCTGCTCTGGCTGAGTAGGGTTTTAGCGACTGCAAAACCTCGTGAACGACAAGCTGAAGGAGGAGGGAGAAGAGGAAGATGACGCGGGCACCGAGAAGAAAATCCGAGAGGACGGAAGATGGATTCCTTTTTGGGCCCAAGGCCTGGCCGTCTGCACAGTTGGGCCTGGACGCTCACTCAAGGCCCACCTGCAGTTGACATCGTGTAGTCTCCGTTTTGGGGAGAACGTCTTCTTCAAGGCTGCGTTTGATTGTCCGGATTTTTAAACAGGATAGGACTAGATAGGATAAAATAAGAAATCCTGGAATTTCTTCATATCCTATCTACTGTTTGATGGACTACGGATTTAAAGTCGGATAGGATATATATATATTTTTTGCTATTCACGGGTCCGGAGGAGTCGATGAAGGAAAAAAAGCCGAGAAATTTTTTTGGTGAAAGCGCACAAGGTGTGGGGATGAAGATGACGGCGAGTGGAGCGTAGGGTTTCTGGAAAAATAGGCATTAGAAATTCTATCCAGGTCTATCCCACCCTCCTCGGATTTTTTTTATTCGGGCTATATCCGGTCTATATCCGACCTTATCCTATCCTGGACCACCACCAAACATAGAATAGGATAAAACATATCCTATCCTAGCTTTTATCCGGTCGACCAAACGCAGCCCAAGAGTTTTATCACTTGGGAATTGATATGGTGAAGCCGCATCTCCATTGCGACTCCAAAGGGGCATCGCACTTTTGAGTTTTGACGAGGTGTGTTGATACATGCTTGGCTATTGAAGTGCCTGAGTTCCGGGTACCGGGACGTATGGCAGGAGTTGCAACACGCTGCGACACAACAATTTCGCAATAAGGTGGCGTGACTGTCTTGAACAAGGGGGAAATTCTTGCTTAGATCCGGGCCCAATGCACTGGGCACATCAAAACCATTTATTAGGTGAGGTATACATGGACTAGACCTGTTAAAATGAGTTATAAATTCATTTTTTAACCCATATTTGATGGATCGAGTCATGAAAGAGGATAGTTATAGAAAATGGGTTTATTGGCAAAATCCGAAAAAATATGGATGATAAAAGGGTTCGTAGTTTACCCAAATCTAACCTAACTCTGTAGCTTTCGCTTCATTCTCTCTGGGAAAATAATGAACTTCTCGAATTGTTTCAAATTCAATAAAGTCTTGGTGGGCCCGCAAGATGGGCCCAATTTCACCCTTATTGGAAATATCAATATGGCTTCTTTTCTGCCCCCCATTATTTTTTATATTTTTATAAATTTTGTAAGTTTCGTCCGTTAGCTGTTGAAGTACATCTTTCTTTGGTTGCATCTGGCATTGTTATCTTAACATAATATTCTTATCTTAGTTCTTGTCATTGTAATCCAGTCAGCATAAATCATCTTATTCAATATCTTATATTTCAATTGATTGAAATTTCAATTCATTCACGTTATTTGCTACTGTGATTTTATAAATTCACTACTAAGTACTACTAAGTACTAACTTTCTCTTCTTTTTATTGTGAATCAATAAAAAAGCTGAAAATTCTATGCAATGTCGAAAGCCAATGCTTTATCATCTCAGAGTCAAAACATCGATTTTATCCTAATAAAATATATACATAAGGAGTTTAAAGTGGGTTAATTACGTGGATACGTGTTTTCATAGGTTGGATTACATATGGATGTGTTTTATCCCAATAATATATACACGAGAAGAACTTAAAAGTGGGTTAATTAGGTGGATACAAGTTTTTATAGATTAGATTAAATATGGATGTGTTTTAGTAATATATGTTCGGTAGAGTATAGGTCGAGCCTGGTCGGGTCCGGGCTATTAAATTTGTATTTCATATAAATTGGTCAATTTTAGTTAGATCAAACCCAACCCACCCACCCATTTGACGGAACGTCGACCACCAAATCAACGACAATCTGGGAAAAGTGCAAAAAAAGTCTTAAACCTATTGCATTGATACAAATTCAGTTCTAAACCTTTCAATTGGACCAATTTAGTCCTAAAGCTTTTCATATTGGTACCAATTCAGTCCATCTGGCCAATTAGGTTGGAAATCACTGACGTGGATGCCAGCATTCCTACGTGGCACCACCGGCGCTGACGTGGACAAATTTTATAATTTTTTAATAATTTTTTCAGATTTTTTAATGCCTTTTTTCTTTTTTTTTTTCTTTCCCATAACTAGTTGGCCGGCGACCACAAGTGAGGGCCGACGACCCTCGCCTGATTCGGGCGAGAGCCCGACGCCCTCGCCCACCATCACCAACCACAGGTGAGGGCCAGCGACCCTTGCCTAGTCTGGGCGAGGGCCCCCGCACCCTCGCCGGCCACGGGCGAGGGCGTCGGCCCCTCGCCCAGATCTAAGCGAGGGCCGAAACCCTCATCTATTGGCCAGTGAGGGTCGCGATGCCCTCGCCTGGTCTGGGCGAGGGCTTCGCCGCCCTCACCTAGATTTGGGCGAGGGCGCGGTGGCCCTTACCCATGGTTGATGAGGGCACGGGGGCCCTCGTTAACCAACCAGTAGAAAAAGAAAAAAAAAGAGAAAAAAAATTTAAAAAACCTGAAAAAATTATTAAAAAATTATAAAATTTGTCCACGTCAGTGCCGACGGTGCCACGTAGGACTGCCGGCGCCAAGTAGGACCGCCGGCGTCCACGTAGCAATTTCCGGCCTAAATTGGCCGGATGGACTAAATTTGTACCAATATGAAAATGTTTAGGACTAAATTGATCAAATTGAAATATTTATGACTGAATTTGTACCAATGCAATAGGTTTAAGACTTTTTTTGGTACTTTTCCCACGACAATCTTTGAGGCAACGACAACATGCTTGACCTAGATTAAATGAACGGGATGATGGTTAATCACCCTAAAATGTAAATGGGTAGTCGGCCAATGTTATAAATCATGTACCATTGTTTCAATGAAATGGGTTAATGTACTTTTAATAGGCTGTGTTTTCTTTCATCTCCAGTTGGAGAAAACTTTCTCTAGCCAGTTTTTCGATTGGTGGTTTGCTTCGCAAGCATGGGCATCATACACAAAACGTGTCAATATTTGTAATTCACCAATCAAAGCCCTAGTTTAAAAAAGCTTTCTGATGTAGCTAGCAAGGATCACCTAGAGGGGGGTGAATAGGTGATCTAAATAAATTCTTTACCAATTTAAAGCGGAACCAAAAGATCAAGAACAAAGTCTGAACAACAAGCAGATTCTGATCAGACGTTTTGTGACAAATGTTCTTGTGAGCAATATAAACAATATAATAAGATATTAGAGATGGAGAAAACTGCACACAAACAATTATAGTGGTTCGGCTTAGATCAAGCCTACGTCCACTTTCCCACGCTGACAGCCTACTGGCTGGATTCCACTAATCAAATCAATGAGAAGTTACGCAAGTTGTGCCGCTTAAACCCAAGCACTTCTCCCGAAGTTGGTGCGCTTATACCAAGCTGATAGATCACACTATCTCACACCTAAGCACACACTTATAACACTGTCTACACTTCTAAAATGATTACACGTTTAAACTCACGAAAGACAAGAGATTGAATCGGAGTATGCTCAGAATTTGGACTTGTTGATTCTTGATTTTGTTCTCTACCTTCTGCTCCTCGTTGATCTCCTTTTATACTCCTCTACTTCCAAACTAGCCGTTGGACAGTCTTCAGAGGATCATCTTCCAATCTTCATCTTGGACAGATTTGTATAAAATGGATTAAATAGCCGTTGGTTGACAAAATCTGAATCCCGCTAATTCTGGTCGCTCATACAATCATAATCTTGGTTTCCATAAGTAGAGCTTTATCCGTTGTAATACATACTTGTCATAATGTTTGATTGTCAATCAATTAGACTGAGATTGAGTCAATCAAAACCTTCCTTTTGTGAAATCCATGCCAGATCACTAGCTGTTATTTTTCGTTCTGAGTTCTGCGTCTGCGTCTGAATACTTTGAGCGTCTGCGTCTGAATAGATTCTGCGTTTGAACTTTCTCGTTCCGAGTCTGAATCTCTTTTGTTTTAAGTTCTTTCACAATCTGAACACGAACTAGATCAAGATTGACATATGCTTTTCTTCCAAAAATAACTTCCTGAATCAAAATACTTCAAAGTATTTATCAGACTTACAAAATACTCGTGGACAGTTTTGTCAACTTCAAAATCTATTGGGAATTTTCCTTAACACTTTCTTCAATCAAAGATGGAGAAAAAGGTGTCCTTTTTACTTGCTCTAAAAAGCAACTTCGGAGCTTTTAGTAATTTCCTTTTGACCTAGACCTCATGGCAATGAATGTCCGTGAACCTTCCTCGGTTGCTCGATGTCTTCTTCTTCTTCTTCTTTTTCAAAAAGAGAATTGGGTCCATGCGGCATCCCAAAACGAGCTCAATCATCTCTGCCAGCTTGCACTATATGAATTTGTATTTACTTGTGGCCTCGTGCGCTTAATTATGTATGATTGACCTGTGCATTTATCTGCCCGCGCGTTGGTGAGGAAATATAATATTCCACGTGATTCATCATGGATCACATGCAATCAACGGTCACTGAATTTGCCCGGGTGAGATTCGCATGTTCAACGGATGTGATTGATGAGTGCATGACGGACCAAATTTAGTATTTTCTTTTCTGTGGATGGAAGGTTTAGCCTAAGTATTTTCCATCAAAGTTCATAATGCCTTTGCTCGTTAGCATATGGCAACCGGGTGCACGATTGAGGATATGTTTGTCGCGAAAAAATTTACCGTCAAAAAATGTTTTTCTAATATTTCAACGTTTACATCACTTAGGAAAACGAGTCGAAGATAAATTTTTTGATAGCCAATGTAAAATCTATACCTAAATTCAGAAAAAATAATTTTCTCTTTTAAAAAATATTAATTAATTTCCAAAATACTACTTGACCCCGACGCTTACATATGAGACCCCGTCGCTTGGTTCCAAGTCTCTCGAGCCCGAGCTAGGAACCCCGATGGTCAGGCTTAAAACGGGATTCAGAGTAGCACTCGAGATTGTTTTTCTAGGGATAATGACATAAATGATCCATTAACTTTTAATCTGTTCAACATCTTTATATACTTCAGGAACTAAATTGAACATGTACAAAAAATTCGAAGACCGCATTAAACAAATGAAAAGTTCAGATACCTCGTTGCATATTGCGCTAAAATTCAGATATCATATTGAACAGATTAAAAGTTCATGAACTACATAATTACATTGGGCCAGATTTCCGGGACCGTCTCCCTTTCATCTAAGTGCTTGTTTTTGATGTTTTTGTGGACAAATGAATGGAGCCTGAGAGTGACAAGAAAATGACGCAAAGACGACGTCCTTGCGTGGAGTCCAAAGGACACCGAAAACAAACAAATGCGTGCAAATGCCAACGTTTTCCCTTGTCGTACGGAAACGTTAGAAACGGCAAATGCCATCCGCTCCGTTGTTGCCGACGACGATAGGCCTCTGGACTTTGACTCCCCCGGCGTGACGTGATGCTGACGATCCGGTGACGTGGGCGAAGCACCGGACCGGGGACTCTCCCATTCGTCATGCTGCCCTAGCGGTGACGTCACTGGAACCCCCGCGTCTCTAATTAACGTTCTCCTCCGTGGGACCTAATTGTCTTTATTAAGATAGTATTATTTGCCGTCCATCCATCCGAATCGTGTCAGTCTCATGCGTACGTGCATTACTTCTAAAATCATACCCGGCAAATTAAGTCGCGTACGCCAACAGCCATGCGACCCTGTCGATAAATGGATTAAGGAGGGTGGGGCCGAAGAATACCAAGTCCGAAATTCGATCCCCACAGGTACCGCACATACATGTATATAATAGATAAGAGTGAGACAAAAAAAAGTTTAAATTAAATCGCAAACGGGTCGAGCATCCTCTTTTGGTCTATCTTTCCAACTCCATTACGTTTCAGTCAATTCACTCGAGACCACGAGATTTATTCTCCGTCATGATCTTGAGAACATTGCATTTGGGTCATTAGATAGTACGAGTCCCCATTTAATTTTAGGGTCGCCGAGTTATATATCAACCATATATATATCGGACTTATAGGAACAAGGCGTGCAGAATAAAATCCAATTTGGTATTTAGCCAATTCGACTTGATTTTATTACTCCGTCTGATTTGATATCTCCTAAGATTTTGAAAATATCGCATGTGATGTGTTGGATTTTAAATTATACGATATGATTCCTAGTTAAGACCGTCAAGTTCCAAACGGGCTATTGAAATGAAATCAGGCCGCCCCGTCGTAATTCACGTGGAGGAGGAGGATGACATGAAGCGGACGAGGTTTCGATGTCACCCACCGAAGGCGTCTCGTCAGTTTTCTGTTTAACGTGTTCAATTTTGAATCGAATCACGTGGTCGTCGGATAAAGCGGCACTAGGAAAAAAAAAAGGGACAACTAATTCCACAAGGAATAGGAGGCTTGGGACACGTGAGGGATGATCGCGCGCGGAATACTAGGTCGCATTTGACCAAATATGGACACGATAAATAGACGAATTGAATTCCCAAGACAACATAAGAAAACTTGCACATATCATTTAGAATTGCACAGTTGGGCACTGTTTTTTTATAGAAAAAAATCATCAAAAACTCCAAATTATGCCCATCGTGATATATTTACCATCAACTTTTTTTTTCCGTGACACCAAAAATTCTCAAATTTATACGTGTGTGATACATTTACCCTCTGTCGAGATTCGGTCAATGAACATCATTAAAAATTTACCTATATGGACACCGGGAAGCAAATGGTGTTGACAGTGGCGTTCACGTGGCTTAAGTGAAATAAAAACGACTTTGTTTTGGTTGAAAATTTGTTTAACGGAACATTAATCATAAGAAAAAGTTTAGGGTAGATGTGTCAGAGTGGGTATACTTTGGGGATTTTTATGTTAAAAAAAATTTCAGATAAATATTTCGCAACGAGCATAGTTTGAGGTTTTTGGTGATGTTTTTCCTTTTTTTTATAATGAAACAATTTTGTCGCTAACAGTCTCTTGTAAAGAAAAACTGCCCCACTTGGGTCGGGGCTCCGCATCTCATGCCCATCCCTAGACACAACTTGAGGAGCCAAATTTCTACTATTTCTTTTGTTTATTTATGTACATCAATAGAAGTTTCGCTTACCTTGTTCAAAATCTATATAATAAGTTTGATCTTGCCCAACTCAACTTGTTTGTCAAAAATTGATTTAGTCTAATTTGGAGCCCAATATCTAATTGAGTTCTAGAATAGTAAGACAAAATATCGCACCAGTCTGGAGTATATAAAGAATCACCAATTATTTCTACTCGTGACTGTCTCCCTAAAATATGGAAATAGGAAGGTGATATTTTAAATTTCAAAAAATTATGAAAATTTTGGATAAGATTATGCATATCATTTTTCGTATATTGAAATAGGTTTGAGATATTTCGCAAGTCTACACTTTTGATTATAGAATTACAAAAACAAGCAGATAAGGCGTGTTTGGACTGACTCATGCTCTTTTTTCTTCCACGAGTTTAGCGGCACTCGTACTTCAGCTTTTATTTTACACGAAAAACATGAAAAGTTTTTAAAATATTCAAATGTTGAAATGCAAATCATATATAATTTTCGTCGTATTTTAGAAGTCAGCAATAATATTTTCTATTTTATTCAAAAGCTAAAAGGTCATAAGTAAAAGTTACAGGTAAAAAGAGCTACCCTAAATTGGATAGACCACACAACAATATCACAACACTGAAATTCAATAACTCGATCCAACTGGCGAGCTATCTCATTTTGTTAATTTCAAGCACAAATCTGATTAAGTGGCCGTTACTCGATCAAACCGGTGAGCTATGTCAATTTGTTAATTTCAAGTTCCAGTTTGATGAAAAGACCGTTCGGCATGACTGTAGCTGAACCTCTAACTATGCTATAAAGCGTTATGATTTTACAAATGATAGCACTTATTTTACAGGTGAAGCTGCAAATAAAGTATTAGTGGTTTGTACATCGAGCTCGAGGGATGCACAAGTGGCGTGACTAGCTTACGATAGGGAAGAGCAAGAAGAATCACTCGAACTAGACACCGCTCGGACCAGACTGGACTGGCTGGTTCTGGGTGATTTCCGGGGCACCTGTCTGGTTTCCAATCCCATAAAATGGGAACCGGTAAATTTCGGTATGGTTTCCATTTCTAGGTGTTGAACTGCTCATCCCGACCAGATCGATTTTTTTTAAAATTTTTTTTATTTCTTAAAAATCTGTAAAAAAACCTTGATGTATCTCTCGTTTTAGATTTCACTCACACAAACACGCATGAGTCGCACGACTCCCATTTCGCTCATGCAAGTAGACACCCTAATCTTTCACGCCATTTTCACAAACCCTAATCGCTCTTTCCCTCTTAACCTTGCCTGACTCTTAGGCACTCTCTCGCTCAACTCTCAGTTACGGCTCTCTCTGTCACTCTCTCGCTCAACTCTCAGACGCCACCCCCTCACTTGAATTGCGTCCCTCTCGCTCGAGCTCGCTGCCTCCCTCTCGCGATCTCATCTCGAGTCTCGACTTTCGCCTCCCACTCTTGCTTTGTTTTTGGCCGATCGTGATTGCAATCGCATCTCATCGAGGTAAATACCAAATGCTCTATTTTGTTTTTCCGTTCTTTGTACACCATTTACGATGCTGCGGCTAAATCTCGTCTTCGGACTCATCAGTGCCAAGCCCCTCGCCCCGACGACCATGTGTTGTGAACTAAATGCAAAGTTATGGGCTATCTTCCCGCTAATGTTTTTCAGCAAGTAAAGAGAAATTTTACGACAGATGCATCATCATTCAAAAATTCAGAAGGGAAAAAGTTGAAATGAACTACTCTATGGTTGAAGAAGGGCTATAAATTTGTGGGTGGATTGCATGGAATCCCGCAATGGATCATAGACCACATGCTTAAAAAAAATAGAACATACTATCGATTTCATTGGCCTCTCCAAGAATCGGATTAGGTCTGGTTCTTGAGTGGGAACCGGCGACCCGATAACCGATCACCCTTGTTTCTCAAAATGATAAACGGGAAGAAAATTAGAACGCCAGATATTTTGGTACCCAATTTCATTTTTCGAAGAAATGAAGAAGTTAATGTCACGCCGTGGCCCCTACAGCTTTTCCCCCCGCCAAAACGAACCGAAAAACGAACGTCCCACGAATACTTTCAATACATAGGATCGTGGACCCGAAAGCCACTCTCCGTACGCGACTGGCGAATCATCGCTGACGTCCAACTCCTCGATCTAATCCCGACGTGGCGCTCCGATCGACGGTCCAGATCCAGAGCCCTCGCCCCCACATCACGTCCACGATATGCTGACGCCACCCTGCACGAGATTGCAAATCCAAGTTCATACAGAAAAGTCCCTCGAGGGATCGAACTCGAGCACACGGAGCCCACTTGGCAGCCAACGCTTCCCTTTGACCTTCGCTCCTTCAGGAGGAAGAAGAACTGTCGCTATAACCATCTCCTCCCTCTCTCTTTTCAATTCCTCCCTATAAATACGCCCAAATGTCTCCAGCTTTTGCTTCACCATAAACAAATTCGATCACGAGCACGAGCACGAATACAGAACACACTTGAACCGTAGAGTCGAGCTGAATCGAGAGAAGAAGATGACAGACGCAGGAGTTTCTTGCGAGATCAGCGAGCCGCGCATGGTGGCCAGGAAGTTCTTGGCAAGGCCTCAGCACGAAGGCGTGGGAGCTGTCGTCAGGAGAAGCATTGGCCGGTAAGAGAGACGGAATCGATCTTCTCGATCTTCATTTTGTTTCATCTTTGTAACGCGGATCCGAACGGTTTGGCTAAAAGGGTGTGTGTTGGTTTCAGGTTTGAGCTGAGATATTTCGACCCTTTTCTTGTCTTGGACGAATTTTCAGGTGGGTGTCTCTGTTTTCTCTCTGCTCTTTTGTTCTTTTGCGGATACTCAATCTTTCTGGTAATCAATGCTGGACAAGAATTCCAATTTTTTTTTTTCTGATTCCTTCCTGTTGTATGGTCTGCAGTGACCGCTCCCGCTGGATTTCCAGACCATCCGCACAGAGGTTTGTGTTTCTTGGGCTTCTTGAATCATGGGTTTGTGAGTTCGCGAACGCTCGAGAAGAAAACAGAGCAATATGAGCGGATTATAAATTTAAAGCATAGACATATCACACGTGCTCTGTTTTGATTCTTCTGTTTTCTGTAAACAGGATTCGAGACCGTCACCTACATGTTACAGGTACGAAAGTTTTGTTCAATTTTGATGGCTCTTGACTCTCCTCCATTCCTGCGAGCCGTTCAAAAGACACAACGCAACCAAACTAGTCCAATAAGTCTTTTTCAGAGTCGAGAAAAAAGCAAGACGATTTCATATAAAATTAAAGAAACAGAGGATTGAATCACGTTGGTTAGACAGAAGTAAGCAAAATTAATAAAGTCTTTTATGAAGTTGTTTTAATATTGGGTTCCTGCTCATCTCATGGAGGATACAACCAATAAGAATGACCTCATCAAAACCAGGGAAAGTAATAGATGGAAATTGATTATTTATGTCTACGGGTATGGCCGGCAAGCAACCACTTTAGGTGAGCATGCAAAGGCCATGCCACACAAACGCAAGGCAAGAGCTCTTTCTGGTCTAAGGTTTGACCATACACACTTGTTGGCCCAAATGGAGCCACAAGAAGGGGGAAACGACCGAGGAAATTTCGCATTTAGTTATTTTGTCTTTCGCACAGCATGTGTTTGTACTTTGTGTTTCATGTTGGGAAATTGCATAATCTCAACCATTCATCATTTGGAGGACCTACATGGCCGTTAGTGCGGGAATTCGGATCCTTAGGTAATTAATGACAATGATGAGATGCATCATCCTTCTTCTAGTGGTTACCCAAATGGGTCCAATCAAAAAAGAAACAACCCTTTTGAAATAAGGATAACTTATTTTGACACCCGAAGGCTAATTTAGAGCATCACTTTAACTGTTATGCTTAAAAAGTGAAAATTATTGATTCGAATGACGTTTGTTGTAACAGGGATCCGTGACACACGAAGATTTCGAAGGGCACAAGGGGACGATTGGACCCGGTGATCTACAGTGGATGACGGCGGGAAGAGGGATTGTCCATTCCGAGATGCCCGCAAGTCAAGGAACTCAAAAGGGGTTACAGCTCTGGATCAACCTCTCCTCCAAACACAAAATGTGAGTTCTGTGCTCGTCAAAGCTAAATAAGAATTTTTGCTAGGTCTGCAGGAGCAATTCTTGTCAAAATAGCTAAGCTTCTCAAGCATCAAATATCACCTTCATAACTGATGTGGTTAACATAACAAGTTATCATTAACAGTAGAATGATTCTCACCTCCGGTTTTCTGTGGCAGGATCGAACCAAAGTACCAAGAGATATCAGGCAAAGACATTGCAGAAGCTACAGAAGATGGTATCAAAGTGAGGGTCATAGCAGGAGAGGCTCTAGGAGCCAAATCCCCAATCTACACAAGAACACCCACCATGTACTTGGACTTCACTCTTAAGCCAGGGGCTCACCTCCAACAGCCAATACCCACCTCGTGGAACGCCTTCGTCTACGTCCTCGAGGGCGAGGGCGTCTTTGGAATCCCGAAATCCTCGCCTGTGACGGCCCACCACCTCCTCCTCCTCGGCCACGGAGATGGGGTTGAGGTGTGGAACAGATCCAGCAAGCCCTTGAGGTTCATCTTGGTCGGAGGCGAGCCGTTGGGCGAGCCCGTGGTGCAGCTCGGGCCGTTTGTGATGAACACTCAGGAAGAGATCGATCGAACGATATATGATTTTGAGAATTGTGTCAATGGATTCGAGAAGGCAAGGCATTGGAGGAGATCGGATTTTTAGCTAGCTTATGATCGAGAAATCGAGGATTAATTGGAGCCTTTTTTTTTTTTTAGGTACAAGGAAAAAATCATGCTGCTTCTTAGAATTGTATATTGATTTGAAATTTGTGGTGATTCATTTGTGATTTGAAAAAATTGTATCCGTAACGATTTATTTTATTTTAATTTTGGAGTTGAGATGCTTCTTTGATCTTGCCTATATGAAGACTCTTTATCATCAATCTAATGAGATTTTCTAAGAATTTGTAAGTCGAATTTAGAAATTTGTCTATACAAAATAGCAAAGGTCACGCAGAGGGGTGCATTACCATTACGTTCATTCACAAAAACAAAAATTGATGATCAAAGATACTGATTATATTTTGTATAATTTATTACCTCATGTTAGACGTTTTATCATGCATAAAAATACTTTTTTCTAGTAAAAAAAATGAAAACTTAAAAATAGAAAAACAAATCTAAAATTTGGACTCAGTTTGTTTCGCAGAAAATGTGACATTTTTCCAAAAAGTTATTTTCTTGAAAAATGACAATTTTTTTTTGTGTTTAGCAGAAACCTGAAAATGCAGTGGAAAATAATTTTTGTCATGCGGTAATAAATAGATATACATTATTTGGGCACTAATGACTTGTGTATAGATAGTCAAGAAAGCGAATATGGGCACTTGGGTCTTGGGTATGTCTTCAATGGGCCCCGACCTGGGGGCTAGTAGGGGTGTGCAAAATGGACCGACCAAACCGAGAACTGCCCGGATTAGACCGAACAGGCCAAACTGGGAACTGCCCGGTTCGGTCCGGTTCCTAAGAGTGTTGATCCGGTCCCGTTTCCTAAAAGTGAAATCGGTGTTCAGGCGGTCCGGTTCTCGATTTTAAGGGAGAACCCGATCGAATCGGGCATATCGGATCGGACCGACTATATATACTTTTTATTTATTTCTTATTTCTTCAAAAAATTTAATAAAATGTGAACTATATCGTAAGCGAACTTCATTGACATAAATTCATTCACAAAAATTAATAAAATGTCAACTAAACCCTAAGTAACCGAAACCGGAAACCGATCACCCCCGAGTCCGTGGCCTCTTCGTACTCTTGGCCTCGATGGGCCCTGTGGAACCTAGCCCTGGCCGTGTCAAAGGGCCTAGGAGTAAGCATTGGGGTTTCTGTGTTCAAACGTAAATTTTCTAGTTCAAGCGTCGATATTTAGTTATATTTTGAAAAATAATTTTGATATTTTAAAGGGGAAAATTATTTTTCTGAATTGAAGTATAAATTTTTGGTTCACTCATTTTTCCCGTACGTGGGAAAATGAAAAAAATAAAATAAAAATGTTTTATGCGAAAGAGACGGAGCGATAAAAGCGGAAAGAACAAATGCAAGGAAAGGAAGGAATCGCCATTAACAAAGACTACGACCAAGTTTTCAGTCGTCAACAAGTCAACCCAACAGAATTCGCGACTCCTCTTCTTTGACACTTCGTCGCCATTTCCTCCTCCCATCAGCCTGATCGATCGAGCCATCATCATCGAATTCAGCGCAGACTCCACACGAAGAGAGAGAGAGATAGAGAGAGAAGCCGCCATGAACGGAAGAAGCTACATCCTCCTGAAAGTAGTGATCGTCCTCTTCGCCCTCAACTCCCTCTCTCTCTACCTCTACTTCCGCCCTTCTCCGAAGCCAACAATCGAAGCTTCTTCCTCGTCATCGCAGATCCACATCGACGACGATCCCGCCCTTGAACTCGCCGAGCCACGCCGCGACGGCCGCTTCGATTCCCTGAAGAGGTGGCCCATCCTCCACTCCTACCTCCCCTGGTCCCAGAACCCTAGCGTCCGCCCCCACTCCTGCGAGGCCTTCTTCGGCAACGGCTTCACCCGCCGCCTCGACCTCCTCTCCGCCGTCGAGGGCGGCGGAGGCGGCGGGGGCGGCGGCGGGGGCGGGTGGTTCCGGTGCTTCCACAGCGAGACGCTCGGGAGCTCCGTCTGCGAGGGCGGGCAGCTGAGGATGTCGCCGGAGAGGATCAGGATGGCGGTGGGAGGGGAGAGGCTGGAGGACGTGCTGAGGAGGAGCGAGGAGGAGGAGATGCCGGTGTTCGAGGACGGCGCGTTCCAGATCGCCGAGGGAGGGGGCGGCGGCGAGCTGGGGTTTAGGAGAGGGAAGAGTCTCGTGAGCGATGAGTTCTTGGATAATTATGTGGACCAGGGCAAGCGGCATCCGATTCGTAATTTGATCGGGTCGATCCGTGTCGTCAAGCCGGGAGAGCTGCAGTGCGATCAGGTTATGCTTTTGATCCATCTGTTTGTCCTCGTCTCTGTTCTAGTCGTGTCAGATAGAATCCAATTTATATTAATGTGGAACTTACTGGTGGTTATGGGAATTCGGCATTGCGCTTATATACGGTTACATGGCAGAGTAGGATGTGATGATGATCAATGGATATGGAGCTCCAAAGTTATGTCATTTGTTGGGGAGTGCAATTACAATTGCTGTGCATTTTCAGAAATTGAACGCTATTACAGTTAAGGGGATCAGTGATAATGAAACGCTGAATATGCTAACAAGTGATTAATTATCTCCTAGATTCTGGGAAAGCTGGGAACCGCATAGATTGGAAAGATCTACATTCTCGGAAAATTCGTTTCTTTTTTTTGGTGAAAACTAGGTAAATTCAGTTGGACAGTTGGTTTTTTGTGGTAGCTCTTTCCTATCATAATCGATAATGGCTGTGCAGAACCAATGGTTATTGTGAAGCTGGAAATTCTGGCTAAACTGATATTGCTAACAGCTGATTTTCCCTAGATTCTGGGAAGATGAGAACAAAAATTTTGAGGATCTAGAGTCTAGACTAATCTGGTTGGACAGGTGGTTTTTCCCTTTTAGCTGTTTATCTTTCATTTTACGTGGACTGTTTCTACTTTCTCTTCTCTGTTTTAACTGCTCTAAATTTTATTTTATCTCTCTCTAACATCATCTCCCTTGATTGCAGTGGATCGAGGAGCCAACACTTCTTATCACCCGCTTTGAATATGCAAACTTATTCCACACGGTTACTGATTGGTACAACGCATACGTTTCCTCTAAGGTCACTGAATTACCGTATCGACCTCACGTTATCTTTGTAGACGGCCATTGCACGGTATGAGAAGGATGCTTTGGTCTTCGAATTCATGTTCTTATGCTTATGATTTCTGCATGTGTAGGATAGTCTTGGGGGAGTATGAAATTCATTTGTTCTCTTGCTGTTTATGGGGTAATGGGTGCATACTACATGTTTTTAGGTGGTAGTGGTACCACAGATTTTAGATAAAGTGGAAATTGGATCTACATGTGGCATCATGCTCGGCATGACTAAACAGGGTTTGGCTGTAACAACATGGAGTGGCCTGGAACACAGAAAATCAGCTTCAGTACAAGTGGAAAGAACCTTTGTTAACTTTGTTTAGGAATTGTAGCCGGATGAGAGTAAAGGATTTTAGACTCATAACAATTAGTTTTTGATATAAGATACTGATTGAACAAAGTTGCCAAAATTATCTTCGGTCAAATATCTGTAATAGCCTTCTGAATTTAGAGAGAATAATTAGTTATCAAGGAAACTCAATCTTTCTTATCATCATTATTCTTTCATGGTAAATTTAACATTTGCATCCCCTTTTGAGGAGTACGCTTGATATGCATTTTGTGCAAGTTCTTTGATAGTTTGGACTTTTGGCAAAATGGGTGTTTAACATGGTCTAAGTGCTCCGCTCGTGATTTCATTTTGTATCCCTCTTTGTTTGGTCATTGTGCTCCTATTTTTAGCGACTGTGCGTATCCTCAGCAATGTGATTATATCCACCTACTGGATAAAGTGTAGCTGATATTGAGGGGAGTTAAGAACTATGCTTACAAAACTGTGGATACCATTCCTAACACTTAAGCTTTTGACAAAAACAATTGTGTAACATGTAATAGAGTAGAAGCAGGAACTATGTTGATTCGGTCCCATGCCTTAACAAACCTATAGGAGTCTGTGCCGTGAGGATTTAGAAACCTTTAGGTTTCCTTAGCAATAATTAACTAGAAAAGGTTTTCTGTGATAGGCTAATTTCAAGTGTTATTTCTGAAAATTGTCTTAATTCCTTGAAAATATTCTAAACATTGATAATATACCAATGGATTTCTTCACCTGCATGTGCTAGAGTATTATCTTAATCATGTAATTTTTGCTAAATGATGAGATTCTCAAATCTTTTTCCCCAGATTTTTTTTTTGCTTTCACTAATTTGCCAGAACATTTGTTTATGATCACAACAACACATTTGTGGTAATAGTAAAGGGCCTAGCTATATGGATCCTTTCTTTGCCATTACAAAGCAAGTTTATCTTGTAAACGTCCTCCAGGGCTCAGTAAATGGGCTAAGGCTCTTAATGGCAAGCTTGCATCCATCAATACTACAAAGAATAATGAGCATAACGACTTGACACGCAAATGTCAATTTGTTTTCGTTCAGGTTCCCCAGGCATTGTGTATCATTCTCCCCTTCGTTCAATCTTGCGCTGTTAATATTTCTCCTCGCCCTAATCCATCCCCAACTAGGATTTCCAATAACTAACCTTTCCTGTGAACAATATATTTCCTTTTCCCCTCCACCTGACCTGTTCTCTCGTTTCATCCTCTTCTGGTACATCTATTCCATTTCTTCTCCTTGTTTGGGCACCTATAAGAATTCTATTTCTAGAGTGGATATGTACCTCATTAGAATAATGAATCATGAATACTCTGTACTTAACACTCACTGGATAAATCTGATGCCTATTCATAATTACTGACCTGTTAACCCAACTTTGTCTCTACATAGCACTTTGATTTTAGAACTGCCCCACTGCAGTGGCATGCATTCTCAGTTACTAGTTGCAGAATGTCTTCTAGGTGTTTTCTTTTACCAAAATCAGCATCAATTTAAAGGAAAAAAATATCAAATTTCCTTTTTCGGGTTGTGTTTTGTATATTCGATGGCAGTTTTTGGTTTAAAATCGTCTGTTAAGGCCTCTTTCTAGCTTCTTCAGAGCTTCTTCATTAAGTGTAGTCACACATAGCAACGTTGTTAAGTAATTCTGGGAGCTTTGCGTCTCTGCAGCTGTGTTTCCACTGAGTTAGTTCCACATTCAGAATTACACAGTATTAACATGCTTTACTCTTTCTCACTGTATGTAACTTACTATTTCTCCCACAAATATTTTCAGTCGCCCATGGAAGAAACATGGAAGGCATTGTTTTCAAGTGTTGCATATGCTAAAAGTTTTCACGGGTCAGTTTGCTTCCGCCATGCCATTCTGTCGCCTTTGGGATATGAGAATGCAATGTTCAAGGGACTCAGTCAGCCTATAAACTGCGAGGGGACATCTGCACAAGATTTATGGCGGAATCCCAATGACCGTAAGACTGCTCGACTTTCTGAGTTTGGAGAAATGATTAGATCAGCTTTTGGTTTCTCGGTGAACAGACATCATCCTGAAAAGGCAGCCTCTGGTCAGAATGTGCTATTTGTTCGTCGTGAAAACTATTTAGCGCACCCTCGACACAGTGGCAAACCTGAGTCAAGGCTTAGCAATGAGCAAGAAGTCTTCGATTCTTTGAAGAGCTGGGCGTCCAACCATTTAAAATGCAAAGTAAATCTTGTGAATGGTTTATTTGCGCACATGCCCATGAAGGACCAAGTGCAAGCCATTCAAGACGCCTCAGTTATTATTGGAGCTCACGGTGCAGGTCTAACTCACATTGTGTCGGCAATGCCGAAAACAGTAATTCTCGAGATCATTAGCAGCCAATATAGGCGTCCTCATTTTGCACTAATCTCAAAGTGGAGGGGCTTGGAGTACCATGCTATCAATCTAGCGGGGTCACATGCCGACCCGCCTGCGGTCATTAATGAGCTTCGTAGCATATTGAAAAGCCTGGGATGCTGAAATTGAAAGGTTTTTTTGAGACTGAAAGGATATCACCTTGGAGGGGAAGAGTGCTTTCCCCATGTGCGGCTGTTGCTGCTGTTCATAGAAGAGGTAAATTGTGTTCTCATACGGAAAAAGTGGTTACAGTAATTTAACTTTCCCATCTGGTTATCTGATTCGTAATGCAAGGAGGGTGATTGAAGAAGTTACTCAAAGGCGGGCGGGGATTGCTTTGATCGATATTTTAATCTTGACTGCCACGGTTGAAGAGATGATTGCCGTCTCCCCACCCCTATATATTGATTGACTGGTATTGAGTTTAGTGGAGCATTGATTGAAAGGGAAGGGTGGATGGTTGCAGTGAAAAAGAGATGTTATTTAACTTTATTCTTTCAGATAGATAATTCTTGTGTTCCTCGGACTTGCTAACTAGGCTCTTCTTTGGAATTCCCGTACGTTCTTGAGCAGGCTACATGGACTTCTTAATCGGGATTATATAGTCAGATGAATTGTCTGACTCAAGTTCTTTCGTTTTTCATCTTTGCTCATGAGGGGTATGGTTCTGCAGTTTCAGAGTCCATATGTTGACAATACTTCTGCCAAGTTAGAAGGAATTTGATTTTGACATGAGAAACGTACAATTGCAATCGTTAACCTATATGCCCTGTCCAGTACCGACACATATAGATTTGATTCTGCGATTTTTCTCTTCGTACATCGTTCGCCAGTTGCCGAGCGTCCTCAACATTTCTGTACCTTTTTGCACCAATCCCGTAGAAGGGTTAAAACAGACATAAAGGGAAGAAGTCGACTTCCAATTTCTCATCGCAATTTAAAAATAAATCAGTAAGTATTACAGGGAGATTCAACATTGCAAATGATCTTAGGCATTACAAGAACACTCGAAATCGCAAATCATCTCAACCATCAATATACACATACACAGATTTTTAAGGACATCGCAAGATACGATTTACTAGAAAGCCTCACATCCATTACGGAAAGGAAGAAGCAAATGCTGCCACCCGCCACCGGGCAGGGGAAGCTTTGGGTTGATTCCAGGTGTATAAATCGTCGAAGTTAAAGTCACTCGAAGCAGATTTGAATCAGAAAAGCAACAGGCAAACCTGAACTCTACGGCTCACACTAGCAAAATGTGTGAAAGAAGTTGAGCAGAGTAATTATTTAGAAGCATAAGAACCAAACCACCACAGATTAGAAAAGAAATATGACTTGATCAAGACAAATACACTAATAACTGTTCCACGTCAAGGGAATAAAAAGATGACAACCTCGATTTGATGCAAACACTTAAATAAAAACTAAAACTAGGGTTCAGGGGAATAAAAAGACATAGAAGATTTGGGTCCTCTGTATTGCAGAAACAAAAATTTATGCAGCAGCTCCCTTGCCCTTCTTCCTCTGGATCTTCTTCATGTAGAATTCCAGCTCCTTACCCTCCAAGATGTATCTGCCCAGAAGAAAACTAAATGAGACCTAGCAATTTCAAGTAAAATGATCTAACCAAAGTCCTAAAAAAGATTCAATCATAAATCTAATTGTACAGCAAGGACTAGGTAATGAGATGCATTTGCTTTTGGATTAACCATCACTTCCAAGGAAGTGAAACTATGCCTCCAATCTTCATAATGAATAAAAAGAAGCCACTAAGGACACTTACCCATCAGCACGGCCACACTGACCCGGTCGGGATGAGATGCTCGCTAACAAACGGCCACTGCTAAATTGCTCCTCAATATGTTGGTCAAGCTTGCGTTCCTTCTGGCGTTTCTCAAGCTTCCTCAATACGTGGCCGCTCTTCTTCACCTCCTCAACAGGAGCTTCAGCCTCCTACAACCCCATAAATTGGGAAAAAAATTTAAAAAGGAAAATGCGCAACCAGAAGGCAATGACATCATTCAATCGCTCTATATTACATATAAAGATTCTACTATACTTCCTATGCTAAATTGACAAGATGGGCGACAAAAAGTAGTCTCTTAAGCATTCAAACACAAGTTTCCGTTTAATACTTCCATGTAATGTTTTTGGCTGTCCTAACTGTCAAATTTCAAAAATGCTATTATAGTCCACGAATGCATGGAATTCAACCCTACAACATACTCCACTCATGGTTTACAGACTAAAGGTCGTCGTGCATGCATCTTTCAAAGATTAATTTTTCAAACACCAATATTCAGTAGACACAGGAAATCCAAAACATTCAGGAAATGCTATAACAATTCATTTAGCAACTTGTTAGTGCAGACAGACTGTTTCATGGAAATCATTAAAAAACCAAATTTCAGAGTTTCTAGTCTTGAAAAAAGAACAGGCCCCTTCAATTAAAGAAAAAAAACTGAAACTGGCCAAGTCATCAAACCTTTGCAGAACAAACAGCAACCATGATAACAATTTAACAAGAAACTGTACAACAAAGAGAGAGCAAGTTAAAATTCCTCACCTCTCCTTCTTTCTTGGCAGAAGCTTGAGTTTTCTTCTTGCGGCCAATATCAACACCATAGTGCTGGAGATACCACTGCTTGAATGGTGCTGCATCAACCTGGACTATTGCACTCTTCACCAGAGTCTGGGTACGGACCAGCTCATTGTTGGATGCATTGTACACCACATCAAGAATCCTAGTCTTCCTGGTCACTGCCTCACTTCCCCATGAGTAATTTCCGGTGTCGAGCCTCAGAGCACGCCACTTCACATTGCCACCCCTAACTCTAACCCTCCTCACAGTCTTGTTGCTCGACAGCTTAGTGCTGGCAGGTTGCCTTCCAAGGTCATACCTACACGCAAAAGCCGTTTCTAAAAGTCAATTACATCTAATATTGGACCAATCTGGATTGAAGAGTATCTTTAAGTCCCAATTAAAATTTAATAAATTCGAGCAATGACACAACTTTTGAAGGGCAACGAGAGCAAATTAAAACTAAAGTCCATAATTACTCATCAACTAAACGCTGCTTAACAAGACTCGAAACAGTCGAATGAGTTCCGAACCCCTCATCATCTAAATGATCTCCACCGAACAGACTGAAATCAAAATTCTCTCATTCTCCACACAATCTCACCAAAGGATCCAAACCTGGCCATTTAATCGAAACTGTGGCTACTTCGCATATTATGGGGATCCAGAGGGATGCTTAGCTAAAAGCAGGAAAATCAAACCGACCCATCAATCACACACACCAGAGCATTTCCTAACCGGTCCCAGTAACAGATGCTACACACTGCATCAAACTACACCTTCCTAAGACCGTCCCCCACAGCAACACATTGAATTGCCATACAATCTATAAGCTTAAAAGAAACATCCTTCACATAATCTAACAATCGAAACACCCCCGAATCACCGCATAATCATCAGCATCCAAGCAAAAAACAAGCACGGAACTTCGCACATGGCAGAAAAGACAAGACGATGAAATATAAAGATCCTTACTTCCTCTTCTTCCTCCAGGCCTTCTTCTTGCCTCCGGTGGCGCGCCTCTTGTGCATCGAATCACGAGAGATACCTGCCAAGAAAACACCGAATCTCCCATCATGCACAGGAGGAGATGGCGAACCTCGCGGCGCGCGAGGATTTCGCACAGGAGGAGATCAGACTTACCCATGATTGCAGGTCGGGTCTCTGTTCTTGCACAGCCCCGAACACGCCTGCTGAGAAGCTAGGGTTTGTGTGGCGGGTGGAGGGACTAGCAGAAGAGAGAGACGACTCGGCTGAGGCGGCCTTCGCTTTTACACCCAAAACCCTAGTTCGCGAAGTTACGATAGAGCCCTCGGCCTCACCGTTCGCCCCTCCACGGGCAAAGACGTCAATTCAATCCAGGCCGGCTTCATCTTACGCCCGCGATAATGGGCCGATCTTTGTACGGGCCTGCTTAGGCCCGTATAAGCCCAACATGAGGACATGAGGCTTGATGGGCCAATGTCAAGTGAAACTTGGAGCAGAAATGAGGATTTCTACAGTGACTACGCATTCCTAAAGTTTGTTGACTGGAAGTATATATGTATCGCAAGTCAACGTGAGGGAAACGAGAAGATGGAGGATGGGAGATTGAATTAGAGAGAGAGCAAGAAGAGCCGGCAACCAAAAAGAGCAAAAAAAAAAACAAGAGAGAGAGGAAAGGGATTCGTCGCATGCGCATTTTGGAGGTCTCCATAGGTCATATTAATTTCGTTTCGTAGTGCTCGATTTTCGAATTGTTGGCTTGAGTAGATTTCGTTGTTTGGCTCTGGAATGCCAAGTGAGTGGTGCTTATCTCTTATTTGAATTTGTAAACACGTATTTCAAAAGTGATTAGATGTACGTGCACGGGATGATTTGGTTAAAAAGAAAGAAAAAATGATTGAGTGATAGTCTTTAATTTATTGTGAAAATAACAGTCAGTTATGGATCACAAGAAAATAAATAACAAATAATTATAGATTTTTTTTTTTTGATAATTAAGGTGTCCGCGCGGCCGGCGAGCTAGGGCTCAAACCAGCGGTGATGCCCGACTAGTCCTCGAGGAGGGCTAGCGCAGCATCCCACCGCCACGACCCCCCACTTAAATCACCGATGGGCGAGTTTTGAACCCAGGACCTCTCGTGAAAGGAACTGAGCGCAAACTAACGCAGCCACCGATGGGTGGGTAATAATTATAGATTGTTGTGGTCCACTTCTTCAAGAATTTTTACCTCACAACATGTTGTTATTTTCACAGTGACCCAAAAATTATTATGCTAACAAAGACTAAAAAAAATTGTGTTAATGGCATATTTCGTTGCATAAAAACTAGATCAAGTATTTACTACCCTTTTGGTTATTTGAAATGGCGAAATATCCCTTGAAATTGTTTGAGTTGATTCTTTGTGAATGGATTAGAAATGTTTTGTGAAAAGAATCGCAAAAGGTTAAAAGTACTGGTTTATGAACTTAGGCTGCGTTTGGTCGATCGGATAAAAGCCAGGATAGGATATGTTTTATCCTATCCTGTGTTTGGTGGTGGTCCAGGATAGGATAAGGTCGAATATAGACCGGATAAAAAAATCCGAGGGGGGGAGGTGGGATAGACCTGGATAGGATTTCTAATGCCTATTTTTTCAGAAACCCTACGCTCTACTCGTCGTCATCTTCATCCCCACACCTTGTGCGCTTTCACCAAAAAAATTTCTCGGCTTTTTTTCCTTCACCGACTCCTCCGAACCCGTGAATAGCAAAAAAAAAAAAATTATCCTATCCGACTTTAAATCTGTAGTTCACCAAACAGTGGATAGGATATGAAGAAATCTGAGGATTTTTTATCCTATCCTATCCAGTCCTATCCTGTTTAGAAATCCGGACAACCAAACGCAGCCTTAGTTGATGAAATGAATTATGGTTGATGAATTGAATTGCCAAAGGATATATGTTTTCTTTTGTGAAATGTATTCTGATTTATGAGATAGATTTTAGATTTGATTTGTGAGTTATCACAGGACGGAGTTAGTGGCACGATGCTCATTGTGGCTATGTTCTGAACTCATCAAAAGGTTGTCCGTATGCATTTTGTTTTTCGGGCATTCTTTCGGGTTGAGCCATTGGGTGATACACGTGGAGACTTTGCCAAGGGGAATCTTGGTGGCCACTATCAAGGGGTATTTTTTGGGTAGGAGAATGATCGTATCATTTACCATATACGTATAGTGGCTGGGGTGTGACATTTGTTATTGTCAGAACTTAGATTATGATATTTTTTGTGTGTAGATTTTAGAGGACGTTGTGAGGTTACGTGTTAGTTTATAACGAGCTAGTCTTTTGTTAGATACTAAGGTGCACATGTCATTGATATTTTTGAATTAATTCACTCGAGGTATTGTTCGCTTTGGCCCATCCTATACCAACTCTCACGATTTTGTCCTTTTCCATATAGGCAGACACTTTCCCAATAAATCACCCATTATGGTAGTGCTCTCACGTAAGGCATCTCTTGTGAGTTAGTTCCAGTTTCACATATATATACTAGGAACGCTCTTCCTTTATTCAATGAGCAATTCGGTTCATTTTTACCCCTTTCGCCATCCTGGAAGCATACTAGGAGCTACACCTAATCTATGCCCTTCGGCCTTGACAAACACTTTCCGTCCTCGTCAGACCATGTCATTATAGACCTATCAGCTTTCGCGTGGTTCGTCGCCTAACCACACACCTATTGGAGATGTCCTACTCTAATACTATATTGTGGGACCTCTAGATTAACTTAAGGTATTGTTTGCTTTGGCTCATCCCATACCGAGTCTCACGATTTTGTCCTTTAGTGTATAGGTGAGCACTTTACCAATAGGTCACTCATCTTGATATTGCTCTTACCTGAGTATGCTTAACATTGAAGTTCTGCTGCTAACCCTTCTTGTAACGTCAAAAGATGCACCTTGTGAGTTAATTCCAGCATCACATATGTATATTTCATGGATGCTCTCCCCCTCATGGTACACAATTCGATTCATTCTTGCTCTGTTTGCCATCCTAGAAACCTATTAAGAGCCGCTCCTTGTCGGGGCATTCTGGGCCTCGCGAACACTCTCGCCCTCTTTGGATCGGGTCATCGCATGTAGCATAATGGTCATGTTGTCTTCTTGAAGTCGTAGTCAAATGACAAACAAACATTCGCTTGGGCTAAGATGGAGGTTATGTCCCATATCTCGTTTCGATCTATCAGACGTTGGGAGAGTCTATAAAGGGCATCTCATCCGATAGCCATAATGAATCCAGAGTCGGCAATTGATTAATCCTAAGCGAAAACATATATTATTGGTTGAACTTTACTTAGGGATGTATCTACGTCGCGTTGGACTCAGAGATCGGTTCCAGCGAGAGATTGTGTTCATGTAGTTCACGCCTTTGCTGCCCAAAAGATCAAATTACACGGCTCACCAAAAGTGCACATAGACAGTGCCTCCTCATGAGTCATGAACCAAGAAGGGGACTCAAAATGGGCAAAGTACATGTTGGTGCTTCATTTGGGCCAATGTCCATGACAATGCTTGTTCACACTTGAAATGGGCTCGCCCCATATTCTAGAAGGAAAGGCGCAGCAGCGCCAACCCAAAAAAAGAAGCTTCTCTTGGATTTCAAGAAAAAAATCGACACTTAACTTTTTCAATTTGAACAAAAGCATCCACTTGACACATCACTGTTATAGCGACAACCTAAAACAAAGAAAAAAACAGATACTTTTCCACAGTGCATTGCATGCAGAAAGTCAAGCAAATCGCTTTAAAAAGCGTGCGAAATCACGGGCATTTTTTTTTTTTGCTAGAAATCACGGGCATTATTTGATCTTCTAGTAGGCTCTTAATGCCAAAACCCTCACTAGTCAAGCCATGTTGGCAGAGTCCAAGATGAGGCCACTCACGAGCCGTTCTTTTATCCTTAACGCAGGACCATAGTGATGCTCTCTCTTCTAGAGAACAATATCTGCAGACTAATCTAATGTCTGCTAAAATGATTTTTTTTTGCTGGCAAAGGAACCAGAATGTTCTGTAATTTATCTGTTACCATATTTTTTTAATGTCCCTGTAGTTGGAAGAATGTGGGGTTTTGTGGGTTAGATGTATGAAACGTCAAAGATGCCATTGTGGATTACTTTGTTTAAGGAGAAAAGGGTTTTTCATGCTTATGACAACTTGTCCTGTGCAACTTTTATCCCTTACCTATGTTTTCTTGAATCGATTTCAACAACAGTCAAGATTTGCTAACCCTTCTTTATAAACCCGCCCAAGAAAGGAGGAACAGCTGCACATAACCGCACCCTTGATTTTGACCAATTATTACCGGGTCGTATTAATCTTGTTATAGCCCCACGACACCATAAAAATGCGAATAGTAAACTTTGAACATAACGGGCCTCTTAATAATGTTGTCCTGTGCAACTTTTATTCCCTATCTATGTTTTCTTGAATCGATTTCAATAAGAGTCAAGATTTGCTAACCCTTCTTTGTCAACCCACTAGAGAAAGGAGGAACAGCTGCACTTAACTGCACCCCCTTGATCTTGACCAATTATTACCGGGTCGTATTGATCTTGTTATGGCCCCACGACACCTTAAAAATGCGAATAGTAAGCTTCGAACATAACGGGGCTCTCAATAATATTGTCCTGTGCAAATTTTATCCCCTATCTATGTTTTCTTGAATTGATTTCAATAAGAGTTAAGATTTGCTAACCCTTCTTTATCAATCCACCCGAGAAAGGAGGAACAGTTGCACTTAACTGCACCCTCGATCTTTACCAATTATTACCGAGTCGTATTGATCTTGTTATGGCCCCATGACACCTTAAAAGTGTGAATAGTAAGCTTTATACATAACGGGCCACTCGATAATGTTTTCTTCTTATTATTATTTTATTTTTGCTGATTAGCCCTTATAATAAATTAATGAAAATTCAGTAAACATCTCATCTCATGCGTAGTCCTCGATGCGCCAATCGCGGCAAATGTAACTCACGTTAACAAAAGCGATACCACGTTAAGGCAACGGCGTGTCTCCTCCCTCACATGATCTTTCATGTTTCTGATTTTTTTTTTCTTTCTTTCTTTTTTTTTTCCGAAAAGAAAAAGGTTGTGAGAAGGGTTAAAAGGTGGAAAGAACACGAGTCCCATCAATCCCTTTCAGATCACCAAAAAGTCAAGAAAAGAGTAACTAAACAATAAAAGAAAAAGGAAACCAAACAAGGGAAAACAGCTCCATCTTTTCTCGATCATGGGAATCCAAGCACTTTAGCCAAATGCCCCCCCTTGAGAAATGAGAAAGAGGAAGAAGAAATCAATGACCGTTTCGCTTGGAGGGGGCCTGCCACCTCCCCCCTCAAAAGTCTAAATTGGATGGATCCTGTGGTTTTTCAAAGCGCAATTAAAGAGGCCGAAAGATCGAGCCGCCCCCCTCCTCCCACATGAATTGAAATTTTGAAAGGAGCGACAAGAGGGAGGGGGGGAGTTAGGGAAGGACCCACGATTGATTAGGCATTAATTTTGCCTCCGGAATTGAAAATCTTTTCTTTAAGTTTGAATCGTTGAGCACAGCATCCTGTGGGGGAAAAGGAAATGTAAAAGGGGGAAAAAGAGGAAAAGGACAAATGAATTAGCTAGGAGAAAGCACTCATGCCCCATCGAAAAGGGCAGTGCTTTTCAATCTGCAAGTGGGGTTGTTTTGCTCACTAAAGTAAAAGGGTTTCTCATGTGTCGTGCCCAAATGGGTTCTTGATTGATCCAGCCTATGCAATTTTACTGTCCCTTTTCCTTGAAGCATGATTGTGTAGGGAGAGAGAGAGAGAGAGAGAGATAGTGCCACGAATGTGATGTTAGGAGCGCCAGAGATGTTTGTCCTTTTGGAAAACTCATGACCCACGACTGTGCTCTCATCATTCGAACCTATTGCTCCTGTTTGATTATGGTGCTGGACGATTGCAGCAATAAAGAAAGAATACCCCTGCATCGGCCATGCTATGCTCTGCAAACCGGTGGTACTGTTGCCTGATGTGAGGCCCTTCACATTTTCCTCTCTTAGGATAAAGCTGAGAGGTCTACATCCGCCCAACAGTAACCAGCGCCATAATTGATGAGCTATAGGTGCTTGGCATGTGTCAAAGTACTCTGGTACCGAACGTGATGTTAGCATTTGTCTTACGTGGGATGTAGGTTAAGTCAAGACGAGTTTCGAGCAAACTTTCATGGAGTTATGATAAGAAGAGAGATGATGTTCAGACTCCAAACCACGATTCTTGAATTCGCAAGATGATGCAGGTGGCGGTTGGACAGCAGTTCCCCTGCATTGCATTGTATTCATCAAAAGCCAGACGGAGATGTCAAAACTAGAAAGACAGCGGCTTGCTTGGGCGGGCCATGGGGGTAACGGTCAAGACGTTGGACGACGATGTCTTGAGAAGTGAAAGTCGCATTGCATGTTTCGTTTGTGTCCAAGATACAAGTGAATCGTGTACACCTAGTCACAGGATGTTGCTAGGTCACAATAATTGGCCATGTCGCGAGTTTTAAGCACCTCATCAGGAATGAGTCCAAATCTTAAAAGTCGACATGAATTTATCGTTTTGTGAGTGAGAGCCGGTACTATTCAATTTAGGGTTCTTCGCAAATCCAATGATTCATACCAATCTCATGACACAATTGTTGAATTGCGCATTGCATGTATACTTGTTGATGGTTTTCTCAATGTTATTCCATCCCGTTCGAGTTTATGTATATCGCATGCCGCCTTCAAATAAATTCACAGTTTCATAGTTATTGATTTTACTGTAAAGCGAGGCAATCAATGAAGTAGAACTTTCGATGCAAGATATTTTCTTCTCGACGAGATTCACCAATCTTTTTTTCCTTGCATAGGCATGGTAAGGTCGTATCTGGAATAGGTTTCTCGTTTTCGATTACCATCCGATCTTACATCGGTCACGTTGTTATCATTATTGAGATAAACGCATTAGAGGTCCTAAAACTTGTTACGAAAGTGTAATTGAGTTCTAAAACTTTCAAAAAGTGCAATCAATTCATAAAAACTTGTCACGAAAGTGCAATCAAGTCCTAAAACTTTCAGAAAATGCAATCGAGTCCTAAAATTTATTACAAAGGTGCAATTGAATTCTAAAACTTTTAAAAAGTGCAATCAAAAGAAGAACTTAATTGAACTAACTTGACAAGTTTTAGGATTTGATTGTATTTTTTTTAAAGTTTTAGGACTCAAGTACACTTTGTGACAAGTTTTATGGCTTAATTGCAACTTTTTGAAAGTTTTATGACTCAATTATACTTTAATGATAAATTTTAGGACTTTCAATGCACTTATTCCTTGGTATCCATAATCTCGAACTTGCAAAGTGAGTTAAGATCCGGGGCACGCCATCCACGAACGTTGAACGACCCGGCCCGAATCACGAGTCGCGGCAAATCAACGGGGCGAGTCGACCCGGGCCCGAACTCGTGTCCCCACCCAAACGACGGCACGGACAGGCACCTCCACTCATCTCTCGCCTCATTTGTCCCTCCGTATCCGACGCGTGGGACGGTGTCAATCGCCCCCCCGCCTTCCCTGCGGGGCTTCCAGATCGTACCCGTCCAAGAAATCCACTGACGATCGTTGTTTTTTACAACAGGTCAATACACAGTTTTATTAATCATCTCATGCCCGGTTTTTTCTGCCTGTTGGTATATCTATATAATAATATATGTACCGCCCTACTATCCACACATACTAGAAGCAAGCCCCCCTTCCCCGACAATCTTCAACCTTCTCCGCCTCCTGAATTCTTCCCCGGACAGCAACCGTGTCGTTCACTGCGTGCGTGCGACCTGCGGAAACAAAGGGGGTGTTCGTGTCTGAAAATATAGTTCACTGGGTTTTGGGTTCAAAGGAGGCTTGACCCCTCCCTCGATTCAAGAACTGGGTCTGGACGGATCTTTGGGATCGTTTTGGACTTTGGAGCTCGAGGCAAGTGCGAAAATGTTTTTTAGCCCATTTCGGTTCTTTCTTTGGATCTGTACCCATTTCTTTTTTTTTTGTTTTTGTTTTTTTTTTTTTTTTGCTTTTTCCATTTTCAAGTGGGTTCGTGTGGTCATGACATGATCTCGAGCAGAATTTTGGGTGGGTCTCCTTGCTGTTCCGAGACATAATCTTTGGTGTGCAGTGCTTTGATTGGCTTTCCCCTGTTTACCACTTCGGATTCCTTTGGTGGATTGTGCTTCGGTGATTGATAAAGTTGGTTGCTTTATCGGTATCTGTTCCTCTCTTGTGTACCCCTTTGGATACTTTACAGTCGGGGTCTCGGTTTTTGGGTTTGCTCTGCTCTCAATAATTGAGGGTTTTACTGCACAAATTGCGATTGTTCGTAGACTTAGGGTTTAGTGAATTCTTTAATTTCACCGATCTCAAGGACATGCCTGTGTGAACTTTTTGTCTTTTAGCTTTGTTCCGTGCTTATTTCAGCTGGCAGACTGTTTCAGTAAGTGGGTTGAACTTGATTGTGGGTTGGTGCTTGGGTTTCGAGTTTCTGGGGTTTGGGGCCAGTTACAGGATAATTCTTCATTCACTGATTTTAAGTTTGATTGGTCTGTTTGCTTCTTTTGCCAGAGGAACAGTTCTAGCTTTCGGTCTCAGTTTTTTTTCTCCAAGTCGGCGTTGAAGTATTGGTTGATCAGGTAATCTTGTGCTTGTCCCATTAGAACCCATCGCAATCTGTCTCTGGTTTCTGCTTGGTTTTCTGGACTTTTGACTTCTTTGAGTTGAGTCCACTGGTGCAAGTGGTGCGTTATTTTTGAGTTCACATTAATTTCGTGCTTGGCCAGGTTTTGGTTAATCGGTCTAGGATGGATTCGCCACAGTCGGTTGTTTCAGCATTCAAGAGCTCTGTTGTTGAGGTTGAGAAACAGCAGCAGCCGGACTTCTTTGTCCTGAACTCTGGTTGTTTCTCCAAGGGCATCGATGCCAGCAGGACGGAAGCTGTTGGTGCTGCCTTGGAGAGGGAAGCTGTTGGTGCTGCCTTGGAGAGCTTCGTTGGCTCTCTCGAGGTTTTCGTACATCGGGCAAGGGACATCCATAACATCTGCATATACCACAAGCAAGATGTCTATGCTAAGCTTTGTTTGACCAGCGATCCTGAACTTGCTGTGTCTACCAAAACCATCAATGGTGGTGGGCAAAATCCAGTTTTCAACGATAATCTTCGGCTCAATGTACGAACATTGGAGTGTTCCCTCAAGTGTGAAATTTGGATGCTGAGCAGGGTGAAGAATTATCTGGAAGATCAGTTGCTGGGTTTTGCTCTGGTGCCATTGTCCGAAGTCATCCTCAAGAATGGGAAGTTGGATAAAGACTTCTCTCTCTCTTCAACTGATCTCTTTCATTCCCCTGCAGGGTTCGTTCATTTGTCACTCTCTTACAGTGGAGCTTCACCTGAAGTGATGGCTATTTCGGCTCCACCCACTGTTTTGGCCACTGAGGCATCTGTCCAAGAATCAGAAGTAGCTGAATCGGACCCATGTGAGCTTGATAAGATCGAGTTCCCAGACCCAAATATTGTCAATGAGAATCAAATGATGGTTTCCGAGTACTTTGGCATCCAATGTGATAGCTTGGATTCTCAGAACTCTGAGAGCTTGGTTTCTTCAGATGAGAATCAGCTGAGTTCCGAAATGGGGGTTCATGCAGTCGACAGCATCTCAACAGTCACAGTTCAGTCGGTCCTGCATCCAGTCCGTGATTCGCCCCCAAGCAGCGTCTCAACTAATGGGGTATCTTCTCCTTCAGTTCCTGCGAGCTCCCAGTCCTCAGATGCTCCGGTAGCTTCAAAGTATCCAAGTCAGGAAGAAGATTCAAAGCCTTCAAATGAGCAGCATGTTTCAACCCCAAAAGATCAGAGCGTGCACAGCGATGATCGTGACAGTGCTTCCTCCGGTGGTGCATCGAGCAACTCTTTAGCAAAACCTCTAATCGCAGTAAACATCGAGCCGGAGCAGAAAGTGAAGCAGCAGGATTTTGTGGACATGTACATGAAAAGCATGCAGCAGTTTACTGAGTCCCTGGCTAAGATGAAGCTTCCTATGGACATTGAGAGCGAGGAATCCAGCCCGGCAAGTTCGACTCCTGATCAGAAACTGCAGGAATCAAAGAGCAATGGTTCCCGCGTGTTCTATGGGAGTAGAGCCTTCTTCTGAGCTATTGTTCCAGTAAGCTGAGATGGAGTGACACAGGTGACAGACTTTAGAGTGAGGACTGATGCTGATAGTGAACTGTAATAACTCATGATTTAGTGTGGCGTTTCCCTTTGTATGTCGAGGTGATTTAGGATGGAGATCATGACATGTACTTTTAGCGACTACTTTGATGTTGTCAATGATGTCCATGTATAAGAATCATTTCTCGTTAACTTTCCTGTCTACTTCTACTAGCCGATTATCACCAAATCAGTCTCCCTTTTGACTTCATCTGAACAACGGGTGTGATCAAGTGACTTTGTTGCTTCTTCATCACACTGTGTAAAAGGGGATATCGTGTTGAAGGTATCATGATATCGTGTTGAAGGCATCATGATATTGTTCGAGTCTATCATCCACGATAAGTGGGCGGTTATATCTGTGGGACGTTCATCTCTCTTGCAATCGAACTGCAGTTGGCGGAGAAATTTCAGATCACTTAGTGTTTTAATGTTCTGCTTGATAGTCTTAAGCGAAAGCCTTTAGAAGTATGAATTGCACCAATGATAGTCTTAAGCGAAAGCCTTTAGAAGTATGAATTGCACCAATGCGTTAATCGATGAAAAGTTAATTGGGTTCTATTGCATAAATTACATAGACAAAGTACAATGATCTCTTTAGAGGCCTGTGCTTCATTAAATCGGTACTTCGATTATTTCATTTGCTCTGGTGTACATATGCCTCCGGCAGACCCACGCAATCTGCCCATCATCTCTGTATCGAATCCTCCACAGTCCAAACTTCTCTGCGATATCTTTCCCAGTTGCACAGCTGCGGTCCCTCAGGAAATCCACTACCCATTGTTGTGCTGCTCGTAGATCTTGTTGCATATCCCTCGAGCGGTCAGTGGTTCTGCTTCTGGATGTTGCAGCGGCTCCAACGGCCCCCGCGGCAACTACCCCTGCTGCTCCGCACATGAGGGAAGAATCGGCTAGATGAGCAACTTCCCTGCTCAAGTCGGGGATCATCTCTCCCATCCCGGCAGCTAGATGGGCTCCGATCTTAAGTGCAAACGTGATTAATTTCATGAATTTTGTCATGTAGGGAGCCAAGCATTGTACTGCCCTGTTATCAATATGCATCATTTCGCATCCCATCTGATCTTCAACCACATGCATTTCTCTGCGGTATTCACATAACATGTGTAGTCGAAGTGCCGTCATGCCTGATATTACATTGGTTACCAACCTCCTTGAGTAGTTCTCTGTTCTCACGAAATAGAACATGTTGGGCACTTTCCTTTCTTCGACTAGGACATTATAGTTGACAAGATAGTTTACTTTGTGGTGAAGCTGAAGGAGGAGTCTGTGCTCATAGTATCTGAGCCCTTGGATCTCCTGTTTCAGATCTCTGATTTCCTGCTCAATGATTTTCAGTCTCTGCAGAACTGCTTCAACTCCCTTGGCAATACCACCAAATGTCGGCTCAACTCTACAGTCCGGTTCCTCAGTTGTCGTCATGGAGCTTTCAGGTCCATCTGGGTTGTTTTCATTTGGAACTTGCAGTTCATTTGTAAGGTTGTACAGGTCGTGATACCTGCGGTGCAGCACCTCACGGAAGTCATCATCCGATAAGAGGTCCCGAGCAAAATCAAAGCCAGCGCCAAGCACAGGTCTTTCGGACTCTGAGACTGGACACCACGTGTGCTGATAATCATACATGCTCTCAGCAGGAACTGAGAGGAGCGCCTGCTTCAGTTGTTGCGAAGAGACAAACTGAGATTTCCGGTATCTAGGGGCTGTTAGACTTCTCACGCATTCTGGACGCATGATGTTTTCGGTCAAGTTGACACCATGGCAGAAGCTTTGGATAGCCGGAATAATGAGCTGCTGTATGAGTCGGAGTGTTTCTGTCAGATTCTTAGTGGAGCATGCCAGGACATCAATGTAGTATCCTAGTTGTCCTCCAAGTTCCACCCTGATATACATGCCATTGATGTTTATGATGATGAGGTACTTCTCGAGACTGTAAGTTGCTCCATGTTGGTTCTTCAGTGCCATAACTTTGTTGTGGAGGTGTACCTGAATTCACAAAAGCAGGGATTACTACGAGTCTGAAACCAGGAAATAGTTTTGTACTCTTAGTAGTAATTTCTCCTTTTTCCTTTTTGGCTGGCATGGCATTCTTATTAACACGGTAAATGTTGATTAGTATTTGTGAATATACGACTGATTTAGTTTGTGGGAAGTTATGGACTTTGAGTAGGGTGTGAGCCAATCAAGCATATTTGGGCCTAGTCAGTTCGATTCATCTCTTCCATGTTGATGAGGACCATGGGTGCTTAAGATCTATATAGTAGTAATTAGGTTCTAACCACAACCTACAGTAGTAACGATTTGCTTATCAGGTAACATCATCCTCCAAAAACTGTGGTGAAACCTAACTGATGATTCCCCTGAGAATGGGGAGGAAGAGAAGATCAAAGATAAAGTTACCTGTAAACGGGGGAAGAAGCCTGGCGTAAGAAACATGTGACTTGAATCATCACACTCGAGATGCCGTCCTGCATAAAGGCAGTCGGGTGTGCTAAATGGCCACCTCTGCGGCCTTCCTCTGCCTTCTTCAAGGATTGACGGGATAAGCAGCAGAGAATTTGGATCCGATGGGTCTTGTTCATAACATAGCTCTAATTTCAGCATCATCCCTATAAGGTCACTCGCGTCCAAGTTCTCAAATACTTTTGAACCCATTCCAGGAATGGGGCTCTGTAGGCTTCCTCTGAGAATCTTCTCCAGTTCTTTTCTGCCAATAAAACCGTTACTGTCTGATGACCCGTGCCTTCTGACTTCTAATCTCACCAGTTGGCCAAGCACTTCACTGCAAAACCACTCACAGTCTAAGATCAGGAATCCCAAATCATTAAAGTAGATGACTTCGCCTATATCGTGAAGGCATGAAGCCACAGTATGCCTCCTGATCTCCACCTTCTCTTTGTTATCGTGCCTTGAACGAACTCTTAAACATGGAACCTTAATTTGACACAGCTCACTGAACTCCTTCCACTTCATAGCGGGTCTTCCGTAGTGTTCTGCTCTCCAGTCCGACAGAATTTGCACCAAGTCATTGCAGAGCTGGTAAACCCTAGGGACTCTTTGGAGGATTGTCTTACTAGTCCTTCGAAGGTGATGGGTCAGGTTACTAACAGATGCAGTGGATCTTGCGTCGACTGTGAATACTGTAGGGTAAAAGTCTACATACCCCTGGAACTTATCTCTTACCCTCTGAATTGAGTTCCCTATTAGCTGCACATTTTCAGATGCTTGATTGATTTTGTCATAATGTGTGAGAACTACTGTGACATAGGGCAGCATGCACTGCTGTGCTGCTCTGACGGAATTGGAGACTATGAACCTGAGCCAGTATTGGATGTCTTCCTCCACCTCTGCTGGCGTCTTTGGTTCTCTGTTGTTCGGTTTTCTGAACAAACTCAAGATAATTAGGAAGAATGATGCACTTCCCTGCCCTGGAAACATGAGGTCATGGAGGGAATAGAACTCATGCTGACCCGCAAGGTTCCATATTGAAATCTTTGTCTCTTCATCCTTGAAAGTCTTTATCTTCATTCTAGTTGGTTTGACCGCTTGCTCAACTGGATTTACTAGAGTCTTGACCTGATCAATGTAGGGAAGCCGCGAGGAAGAGAAATTTTGTGATACGGAATGACACAGTGTGGTTTTACCTGCCAAATTATTTAATAGGGGGACTTTCCATTACTGAGCATTCAAGGAATACAGATCATGCTATTAAATTAAAAAAAAAGAAAAGAAATTAAGCTCTCACGACTTCAATGATTCAAGTCCAAATTGGATTTGGAACATTACCTGCATCTTCCTGCCCACACAGGAAGACTCTACATGTCTTGGGCATCACAAGCGGCATGTCTTTCATCAAGTCGATTTCCGGTTCAGTCCTCTCGCTTTGGCCCAGTCTTTGGTTTATCCCATTTGTCTTCCCTGAGTTGTGCAGCGGAGTTCCGACTAGATCGATACTCTCGATCCATGGATTGATTTGCAAGGTTTCCATTATTGCCTGCAACACCGGCTCCCCCTTTACCCCCTTGCAACCTTTCAATGACAAGTATCTTAATGTAGCATTTCTTTCTAAGCTCTTGAAGATTTTGATGAAGTCTTCTGGTCTCAAACTCTCGTCGTCATATATACCGAGATGTGTCAAACTTTCGTTGGTTGTTAGCATCTGCAAAATGGCTGCCAATCCATCTCTTCCGATTTTGGTTCTTTCACCTCCAAAAGCCACGGACTTTAAGGTTATGTTAGCCTGTATCTGAAGAGCAGAGAACCTACTCAATGGACAAAGTAAATGTTCGACAGCAACACCACCAAACCAATTCCCGTCGAGATACAAGCTTTGCAATCTCTGGTTTTTGAAGAGTCCAGCTGCGACATAAACAACTCCTTTGTCCTTAAGGCAAGTTTTTGACAGGTTCACCTCTTGAAGAGTCTGGTTCCGTTCCAGGACCCACCGGAACTCTTTCGCCCACTGTGATTTCAGTCGGACCCCAGTCAGGTCAAGTGCTTTTACCGTGAGATTCATACCTAGAGCACATGCAACCCTGCAAGTTCCCGAGAGATCGAGCCGATATATCCGCAACGTGCTGTTCTCAGGCGCAAACTCCACCACCTTGGAACTCCTTTCTTTTTTTTCTCCACTCCAAATATGAACTTCCATGATCCTATTTCTTGCCAATACTGCTGAAATTAGTGGTGTCGCTGTTATGGAGTTCGAGTCGAAAATCCTCAGCAGCTTTAGCGTGGAGTTCACTTCGATCATCTTCGAGAGTTCCTCTGCACCTTTTGGGCCGATCGAGTCTTCCCATATTTGCAACTCCTCCAAACTGTCATTGTACTTGAGAGCGGACGCTAGCAGCCCCGCTCCTGCGGCCCCGAGAGCGGATTCGCAGAAAGTCATTTCTCTGATCACTTTATTACTCTTCAGAAATTCGGACAACTGTGCCAAACAATCCGCACTGAATCTGTTCCTCCGGAACACAACTTCCTTGATGCTCGAGCTATGCTCGAACAGCCCTCCCAAGGTTTTTACTAGTTGCAGTTCCCAACTGACACCGTGGAACTCGAGGTTTCTCAAGGATGAGTGAGCATTCTTGGATGTTCCTATTGCTGTAAGGAGGTGGGAGAAGTACTGGAGGTTGTCTTTACTGATGTTCACATTCAAGGAACTTTCCGTTTCCTGAAAATAACCAGACTTGGGTTGTGAGAGGTCGAAGGAAATGTTATGCAAAACGAGACTTTCAGATCCGATTGCATGTACAACACATTGCAGATCTCCGAGTCTCTCCTCTGACGCCATTGCCATGCGCACTGTAGGAATCGCTTGCTTGCTCAAGAAATCACCCTATGGTTTCAACAGCCAAGCACTTTGAAGGACTTGCGAATTCATGAGGTTGATGGCTAGGTACTCTTTAGTGTGGATTCTGCTTTTCTTTCTGGTTTTGTCCAAGAACCAGAAAGGGTTCACTGAGCTTCTTCCTATGCATTCTTGCTTCACTTGTGCTTTATCTCTTACTTCTCTTTGAAGTTATTCTATTGTGCAACTGCTGTCGCAAATTGAAAGGATTCTTTAAATTCTACTTCTTCTCAACCTACACAGTCTCTTGGTTTTGGCTCATTTATGTCCTTTAGATCTTGTAATTGATTCTGGTCATCTATTGAAATTTCTGAACCAGATATTTAGTGGGCGACTTGCTGATTCAAGCAATGTGGGGTTGTTCTGTTCTTAGCTGTGCTGCTGTACAAAGTGAGCACTGTGGTTGGCTCATGTTGGCATGATGAACTAAAATCTGGACACGCTACTGAAAAATTTTCACCTTTTTTGACCTTTTTGGCCCGTTTACACAAACTTCACCCCTTTTACCTGTCCTACTTTTCATATGGGCCAAAGCAGAAGGAAATCCTATAAAGCAGTGCATCTCTGGTGGACAACAATGATGCTAATTCTCACTAACTCTCTCTCTCTCTCTAGAAAGATCTATCTTTACAGCAGAAAAACAAATCTTGAATGGTAGTGTGGACTTTTATGCTCCCAAGCCGCAAGCAACTGGCCCATGTGACAGTTCTTGGTTAGACCCTTATTTCGTGATGGTCCGGGCTAATCCCACCCCTTGCTTTACAGGTCCTACGCCATCAAACGGCCGAGATCAGGCGGTCCGCGATGGGCCAAGTCCATCCAAAAAGATTTCCCGGGTGCCGGAGCCCGTTCCAGATGTTACCGCAATCTATGGTTTTTAATTTGCCTTTTCTTTTGCCTTTTCTGTTTCCTGCAATTTTTTAACAGAGAAAAAGAGAAGGTAAACGGTACATCTCATGTGAGAACTTCAATTGTTAACAAATAGATGGGTGAGCTGATTTTGGGAAGCTGTAGTGACCTGCTTTGTTTCTTTTAAAGTCTTGGAGACAAAGGAGACAATCATTCTTACCGTCCTATTTCTTTATAATTTATCTTAGTAGCTGGCAGGCACCGAGAGAAGCCGAGTCAGTCAGAATTTACGCCGAAGATTTAGATTCTCAGCGAGCTTTTTTGGCCGAAGTGCAGTTTTCAATGTTTCCATGATACCCTTTCCTTCTTTAGAAACACAAGCTAACTTTCAACAGTCAAAAAAACAGGAGAACCATTAAGAAATTGTGGCATCTATCTCCTACCAATGACGAAGGTTAAAAACCTAGTCGTGGATATCAGTTAATAAGCCCTTGCCTGATGCCATGCCATTGTCATCAGATTGCCCATAAATCAGTCATGACCGATTGCCCAGACAGGAAGCAGGTTATGTGTGACCCATTCAAGCTGTAGTTTAGTCTTTCAATCAGATCGTATTCATGTCAGGTCTTATCAGGTTGGTACCCATTTGTTAGCAAGGCGGAATTCTTAATGCGACTGATGGTGGTCCGTGACTTGATTGAAACGCAGATTCATACCGGCCTAATTAAAACAAACTTGAATTTAGTGAGAGGAGTGAAATTAACGATGAGTTCCCCGCCTAAAAAAAGGGCAATGTTACTTTTGATGGATAGATAATTACCCATCTTTCTCTAGGAAAATAACAGGTTTTTTTTTTGGGTCTGAAGGAAAATAACAGGTTGAGAGAGAGAGAGAGAGAGAGAGAGAGAGAGAGAGAGAGAGAGAGAGAGAGGACAATCTAAATGGATGTATGAGTGAATGTTGACAATGAAACATGAAAACGAGAGGAAACTGGAATCTTATGCATACCTAGAAAGAAACTTGCAAGGGTGACCGAACCATATCCTATCCTTGGCAAGAATGGTAATGGATAAGTGATCGAAAACCCGAAATCCATTGGCCGACCATGACCCACGACTAACTCTTGTCTTCCCGATTTGCTATCTCGGCCCCTAATATGGCAAAACCGTACCTATTGAATACAGGATGATTTTGAAAGAAAAAAGACCAACGTTGCGCTTATGCATGGTGTTTTGTTAAATGTATGCTGCATATTACGGACAAATGCAAATGGTGGTAGTACCTAACTCGAAGGCCTCACAAACCATAGAACAAGCAGACTATAATAGCAGTAGGAAATTTCATACAGAGCGTTGCAACAATTATCAACGAGCGAAAAAAAAAAAAATCGCAACCAAGGGAAATTGGAATTAGCAGTATTCAGTAAGATGGTAAGAAGAGCTAAAACTGAAACACGACAAGCCTAAGAGAAGAGTATGGTAATTGGAAAACCAATCTAAGTGTACTTTTTTTCATTAATGGACAGTTTGATAACCGAATTGAGTATCGAGTAGCTTATTTAATGGGGATTTTAGGGGCACCCCTCATTGGTCCACACTAGAAAATCAAACCAGACCTCACATACAATCTATCACAGGGAAAACAAATTAGAGCAGGCAATTAGCAGCTAATTGCCTGGGATCACAGTAATATTGCCAAAAAAAGAAAGCAAAACAAAGATCCAACATGGTATTTTTATCCTCTATAACAGGTTTGTCTCCCAAGAGATGCACCGATTTTTAATCCGAACCAATCTTCTTGAGTATAAGTTCTGCAATTTGATTTAACTTCAATGAGTTGCTGTTGAAGGGATTTGAGGTCTAATGTAGGGGCAAAAATCAGTTATTAGACCTCCAAAAAAATCCCTTATAATACTCTCTCTGGACATATAAGCTTGATATTTTGTACTCCCCTCGACTATAAGTTCGACATCCTTGTAAGCTGAGATATGAACATACTGGAGGATGAAATGCAACCTTTGACCTTATCTTCGCCTAAGACTACCCTGTGAATTTGCAAAAAAAGAGTCTCCTAAGCAGCAATTCCTGAGGCATGAATTAAAACAAGATAAGCTTTTGTCAAGAAATTAAACAATCTGATTACGTTATAAAAGTATGCAGATACATAGAAGGTTCATAACGAAACCGATAAAAAAAAGGTTCAGAGAGAAAGAAAAATAATATCAAGCGCATTTTATTTGATGTTTTAAAGACGATATGTTTCTGCATATAGTGGTTAGAAATGGCGTTCAAATAGTGGCTCTATCTCTTCAAAATCAATTTACAGGTATGGAGAAATGCAAGAATGAAAATTTGAAAAAGGACCAGTAGAAAGGATCTTAGTCCACAAATTTGTAGGACTTTTTAGTTAGTTACCTTAGCAGATGTTCCAGATTATTACTGTGATTTTATATGAAAACACGGTCAGGCCACTCTTCAATTGTACACTTGCCAGTCATGCAAAACGATCTCGTGGGGTTAGAGAAGAGGGGATAGTTCTAAGAAGAAAGCGCTAGTGTTAGCAGCAAATTAAATCCAATCCAGGGCATGTATAATAGGAGAGCCTACGTATCGCAAAAAGAAGAGATCCCAATATGAGCTACTGTGATGAGACTTACTTTATCTTGTAGCATGTGCTCAATCTGAACTGCTTTTGGAATTACAAAGCATGGAAAACACAAATCAAGTCCAGCAATTAAGATATCTTGATGAACGTTGTCGTATTTGGATCATTGAAACATAGGACTCATCATGTTACTAGAAAACCCAAAGAAAGGTAAACTAACAAGGAAGCATGCAATTCACCGACACCTAATAGGCTACAAGTTTATAATGTGATAATGGAAGCTGGCTTTTCTGCCAAGAAGCTTTAGCATTACTTTAGTCTGAACCCTAAAATTTGCTTTTGCGAAATTCTTCTTCATTAGCGGATATGAACTCTGGCGAGTGATTCCAGAAACCAATGAAGGGTCACGGTGTGAGTTCAAAAACTGTTACTCTGTGATATAAGCTACTGCCTAGAAGGAACATGAAAGGTAATCTCAAATGCAGCATGTCCCAGTTGCACATCAGGTTGATTCTCCCATAAACAAACGGGCATTAACTCCTGATAACAAGTAAACCCCGTCCAACGTTAAACCAAAATTCACTTACTTCATGTTGGTAATGCATAGTCTGAGTTCTAGTACTTCATACTGGTAAGCTGACCAAAAAAATATTATCCAGAGAAAACTGTACCTCTATTCGGCTGTCTACTAGTGTTGCTGTAACTTCCATAACCTTCCGAACCTTTAGCTGTAACATCTGAAGCCAGATTGGTAATACCAAAACCAAAGGACCCAGAACCATCTAGCTCAGGATTGGCAGATCTCCAAGTTGAGCCGCTATAATACATGTCTCTATAGCTCTCCTCGAAACTGCCAGTCGAGGCAGCGAATGATGACGCTGAGGCCCTACTGTTGCCGTTGCTTCTTACGTTTTCTTCTCCTTCCAGTCCATAACTGTCATTTCCATTCCCATGACTGAAATTCCGGCCTTGAGCTGAAAAACAAGAGGGGTCCCAGTCGGCTCCTGCCTGCCCAAATGAAACTCCATAGCTTCCGCTTCCACGGCCCAAGGGAGTACCCAAATTTATTGGATTAAATGCACTATTTAGGCCGCTATTTCCCCATACAGCACGACTTCTGGGACTTAAAACAGAACCACTTATTTGACCATCTGTGTTATTGCCTAGGGGATTATCAAACCTGCTTACATTGCCAATGTAGTATGGCCTAAATGTCCGCCCATATCCAGAGCCATTGCCAAGGTTGGAACCACTGCCTAAATTCGGGTTTAAAACAGGGTCCAGATTCATGTTGATTCCATGACCTGAAGCACCAAATGGAGGAAACCCTCCTCGAGCTGTGACAATAGGATTGAACCTATTCAAAGAATACCCTTGAGCATAGCCATTGAGTAGGTCATTGACCCTGTTCACGCCATAGTTATATCCCATGAGAGGGCTCCGGGTGGGCCCCGGAGAGAGCTCTTTGGGAACTGCCCTCTTGACCTCAACCATTTTCCCATTTAAATCGTGGAAGGTGCGGTACAGAACCCGGTCCACTGCATCCTCTGAATCATAAGTGATGAAACCAAAACCTCTGGGTCTTTGGGTATTGTGGTCGTACATGACTACAACATCAATAATATTACCGAACTGATCAAAGTACTTCTTGAAGTCGCTCTCTGTGATTGTAGATGGTAAACCACCTACAAAGATTTTTTTGGTACGTCCAGGACTTGGAGATCCATTCATGCTGGCTGAACTCCTATTAAGAAGTTGCTGATCCTCCCTAGGAACAGCTTTCTTTGCTTCAACCTGAGATCAAGAATTTAAAAGGCAAACTACTTGTCAGAATTTGAATTTTCTTTGCACTGCAAACTTGGACTGAACAGACAATTGTGTAAAATTTGGTCTGAACACTGCATATGGAAGAAGAAAAGATGCATGCCCTCTAAATTCGAAGACCTGATCTAAGAATTTCAAGTGCATAGGAGCCTGATTAGCAGAATTTTGATCCTATTCCACAATGCACATAGACTCAAGTGCTATAATCAACTTACCGAGCGACCGTCAATCAAGTGCTTATCCCTGGTCACCCTTTCAGCAACAGCGGGATCCGCAAAGACGACGAAACCGAATCCGCGAGCTCGGCCGGTTGCACGATCTCTCATGATCATAGCCTCCACCACCTCACCGTAACTCCCGAAGTATTCTTTAAGGCGTTCTTCATCCGTGTCCCATGAAATCCCTCCAATGAAGAGCTTCCCAAGATCTGACTCCATCTTTTCTAATGATCAAGCATTGCATACCACCTCATCAATCGACAATATCACTCGCAAAATGGGATAATTCAACAAGAGAACGTCCATCCTCAACCCTTTAGCCCACTGAATTCCATAATTCAGTGCGATGAGCTAGACATCACGTGTACGTCATATCTATTGACAAAATTAGACCGGCAGATTCAAATGCAGAAAATGGCAATCAAACAAGCACTCACCTGATAAATTCTGAAAGTTTTCAGACAGAATCAGATTGGTTGCTCCAGTTGGGGGTGGGCAGCGGATGGACGGACCTTGAATTCAGTGCTGGGGCATCAGATCTTCATCCACAAAGACAAGACAATAGAAGATTCCTCCTAAAACCAAAGATGTGAAATTTAGAGATGGAATTCGGATGGATCAGAAACCCAGCAAAGCTCAAGAGAGACAGGCTTTATATGAACATGAGGATTGAGTGGGCAAGAAGACAAATGAGTGAATTTACCATTGTGTGTGGACCCAGATGACCAATTGGGCAAGAAACTAAGATCTAAACAAGATAACACCCAGTAATGAAAACAGAGGAAGAGCTCATTTTCTCTTTCTATCCCTCTCTCTCTCTCTCTCTCTCTCTCTCTCTCTCTCTCTGTGATGATGTTCCTTTTATCTTTCTTGGTTATTCCACTCTCTCCTCCTCTGAATATAAAAATGCAATTTTTTGGTTTCGCACAGAGAGAGAGAGAGAAAGAGCGAGAGAGAGAGAGACAGAGAGAGCTGGCAATCTTCTGGCGCAAGAACATTCGGAGGATTCTTGAGAGAGATGAGAAATGGCTGACGATGTTTTACGTTTATTGCTTATTTTAACATAAAAACACTGTCATTCTTCTTTAAAAATAATAAAATAAAATAAAATAAAATAAATCAAACGACTGAGAAATACAAGGCGAAATAAATTGGATGATGGGATAAAATTAGACAGATGAGGCAATTTCTCCCCGAAATTTGGATTCTACGAAAATCACCGTATCTGTCTATCCTAGTATCAATCTATCCCACATGAAGATTAGTGCATGAACCTTATTGAAAAGGACACATGCGCTGCTACCTGCTTTTCGTTCAGCTAACTTTTATCCAAGGTGGTGCACTGTTCTGGGCTTAACATCTCCTTTTCTTGATTTGTCTGACAATAAACAACTTGAAGAATTATTGTCTGAAATTTTTTTTTGAAATGAGAAGAACTGTAAGGGTCCATTCTAGTGGCGAGCACGTAAAACACCAGCAGCACAATGATGTTTGCTTTTTCGGTGGCGAACCTGAAAGGAGCAAACAGCAAGCTCTGTCCTCAATGGTACAGCTCAAGATAGGCGATCCACTTCATAGTTTTAGATTCGTGTCTTGACACTCCCGATACGTGATTCTTGCGACGAAAGAATGGTTCAAGATTTGCTGCTCCCTGAATTCCGAACTTATGCATGACAAAAACCCGTTTTTAGTGTAGTGTCAAATATCCCCAATTGTTACGTCATGGATTGATAATTTCGATAAGATACCGATACTTACATTACCGGATAATAAAAGGGTTATTCCCACTTTGTAGAGACTTTTAAACTGACCGTATAGAATTATGACCGACCACCGTCTTAGAACGATGATCGACAATTAATGAGGTGCAATAATAGAACTTGTACCGAATCTCAAATCCATAGCAGATGCTTCGTTATCACAATAATTGATGCCGGATTATTGGAACTCTAGAAGGATTAGCTGTTACGTGGGCAAGAATGAAGAAAAGTATCAACCAACCAAAACATGAATTAATAAGTATTTTGACAATAGTTTTTTTTGCTAACATTTGATCTTAGTTATTCAAAATGGGTTGGTAATTAGTCATCGTGGATGAGTTGCAACAGCTACATTGTTGCCAATAGACGGCTACCAGAACCAAACTTCGCACAAGAGTGAAAGTTGACAACTGTGGCATCTAATTAATTTAAGTTTTGTAGCCATGGCCTACGTCTCTAGGACAAATAATTGTTGGAGGACACCGCTAATCTCATATCGTCTAAAACATGGGCCACTTGCAAACCTTGAGAGAAGCCAAAGTTCCAACTTATAAAGCATTGTAAATTTCTTCATCAACGTGGGGGATGGGAAGGGAACGGCAAAATTGGTATTTTGCCAACTCAAATTTTCTTTCGTTTTTCGCTTTTGGCCAACTCAGTTGGCTGCAAGAGAACAAACAATCTTGATTTATTTAGGGCTATTTGGCCTTGCTTTCTCCAACAATGAATTGTTAAATCTTCTTTGCGAAAATTGACTAGGCATGGCTTGGATCTAGGTCGTCTGAGCTACTTATGAGGTGTCTTTTCACATATTATATTAGGAGGAGGACATGCGGATGTGGATGTGAGAAAAGAAACATGACACCCTTGTCGTTAAATTTTCATATAAGGATCCTTTTTGTAGAAAAAGAAAAGAAAACGAAAAGAAAACCTCTTTATATAGCAATTAATATCACGAAAAATTTTAAACTGGTACATTTGTGATAAATTTATCCAAATTAATTTTTTGACCACAAAAAATTTCAAATTGGTACACCCGTGACAAATTTACCCACTACAATACCTATTAAATTTTATTGTCAAATTGTCGAGTTGGATGACACGTAATAGTTGACGAGTGTACTAATTTGGGATTTTACCCCTCCGTTTGTCACATGTTTACTAATTTGTGACTTTTCGTGATATTAATCGAATTTAACATAGGGTAAATTTGTTACAAGTATGCTGGTTTGGGGTTTTTGGTGGTCAAAAAATTAGTTCGGGTTAATTCTGTCATAGGTGTACCAGTTTGGAGTTTTTTGTGGTATTAACCCTTATACAGAGTAGAACATTAGCAAATATTAACTAAAAAAGACAGCAATTTGATACCAAAGAGCAGATCAAGAAAATTAAGATGATGAATTTTGGTTATTTGAATCCTCAAAGAGGTGGATCGTCGCCTTTGCCATTATGGGAAAATCGTTAGCTGTTCACTTTCGTTTCAGATGCAAGTAAAAAAGCCAATTCATATGAAAGAAAGAATTGGCCAGTGATGCTGATATGTTAATAGAGAAACTTGTAATTGAAATTTCTTTTTCCTGCATCAACATCTAGGACGATTCCCAGATGTTGACACCCCAAGATTGGCGGATTATTAATTGACTAAAAGACTTTACAAACTAGAAAAGCTGAGAGTTCCAATGGAATTGGTTTGGCAGTAAAGCATCCGATGAGCCAGATTAAGAAACCTTACCTCATCTCTCCATAGTTGGTCAGACTTCTATTGCAAGTCAACTGGGTCTTGCAACATTATTGCTTTCTTTCCCAGGGTTTTAAGATCTGAGAAATCACATCTTTGGTGGTTGGCCCAATAGATATTCCTCATCTCCTTGAGTTGACAATGAGATTTCTTCAAGAAACCATATTGAAATCCCTTCTCTCTTTTCTTTATGAGTGTTAAAAACAGAGAAACTGCAACTCAGTTTCTGTTCTTGCCCCTACTCAGCAGGGGTGGAGCATGTGTATTTGATAAATTACGCCAAGCATCAAGCAGCAGGGGGCGACGACCTTCGCCCGCCCCCTTGGGTCCAACATTAATTTTCCCCCGCTAACTGTTCAAATTTGCCTAATTGGCCATGGCAAGCTCCAAATTTCCTCAACTTGGGAACTATGGTTTTATCGTCATGTGGAGTAGGAAACAAGTTGACACCCACAGGATAGAAATGAGTAATGTTTGATCTGATTTGGTTGTTTTAGGATTGCAAGGGAGTTGGATCATTCTAGGTCATGTGGAAGGCTGCAGTGAAGGTTGCTTCCTAGACAATGATGTCATTTCTGCTAATGAAATTTCTGAGCCCTGACCTTCTACCTATCGTTCATGAGAGAAGGCTTTCGTATTTTAATTTTTCTAAAACTTTGATTCGTTAGTAGAAGCCCGCTTGTAATTTCCTCCACCGTTCTTTTCGCCATCTTGTCACTCAAACGAATTTAAATACATTATAGAACTCGATACGATATATTATCACATGTCAATTTTATCGAATCTCTAATATTTGTTCTTGGTGTTAGATGATCTAACCAACTGTGGGAATTGTCTCATCGTTGACGTGCCTGAAACCTGTACAAAAAGACATCCTTTCCTGGAAGGCGAAGAGTAGTATATTCTCTAACTTATTGATCATCACAACTTCGTATATACTGATGACCAACTGCTCAAGCAGCTTCTCTGAAGGATGCAATTCGCAGCTTAGGCAGGACTCGAGTGACGCTCTTCTTCAAAGCATATGATCTTGTCAGCATATTTCAGTTAAAAAGCATAGCAGTTGGAATTAAAGTTAAAGTTAATCATGCCTCATCTGAAGTACATACCAAATTGCCTGTGAAGCTTCAAAGTTTCAGCTGGTTCTTCATCTGATTGCATTAAAGATTTGGGAAACTATGAAGAACATAATAGATTAACTAAAAACAGCAAACTTCTTAGTTCGAATCTGTTTTTAACTCGTTTATCACTTGTGCGTAAAGGCACGCATACGAACTTAAGTGCTCGCGCCAATACAGATGGTAAACAGACACGGACTAATTAAACTATAATCTGAAGAAACTTGCTGTACTGCTTAGACTTAACTAGCAAGAGATGCGTGGACTTGGAGAAATGTTTTTTTGCATGATGACACACCTCTTCCCGTGAATCTGATGAAAACAGCACACGAAAAGCGTGTTGAGCGGTGAGATCAATTCAGTAATTTGATCCTGGGGAATCCCATGTCTCAGGTATGACAGAATGTAGGAAACAGCAATCTTGATAGTTAGACTCGGCGCAGGGCATTGGCGAAGCCGAGACCAGATGATTTTGATCTGCATTAATCACTTCCTCTATCTTCTCTATAACTTCTGCGACAGATGGTCTCTTGTCAGGAGTGTCGGCCACGCACTTCAGAGAAATGTTCAGCAATGGAAAAGCCCATTGCTTCGCGGCTTGGCTGACCTCCTTATCAAAGACTTCCCCCGTCCATTCCTCTCTAACCATGAACTTGACCCACTTCAGAAGGTTTACTCCGTTTTTCTCGACCGTCTTGCCAGTTAGTAATTCAAGCATAATCACACCAAGGCTATAAACATCTGCCTGCTCTGAGAAGCATTTTTCCGGCGCCATGTAGCCATTAGACGCAAGGACACAAGCTCCCTTGGGGTTGATGAACTTCGAAACCCCGTATTCGCTTATGAGCGCCTCCATAGATTCGCCTAACAAAATGTTTGAGAGCTTGAGATTCCCATGAGGAATGATCTCCCTCCCCTTAGTCCTCTCATAAATGAAACCCAAGCCTCTCGCGATTCCACCTGCCATGTAGAGGCGTAGTTTCCATGGAAATTCCCTCTTACCCGCGATGTAATCTGCATGCAAAAGAATTGAATTATCAACAGATAAATGGGTTTTGAGTCCTTAGTTCATGTACAAATAACTAGTGATGTCAGGTCTAGGCATTGAGGTCACAAAATATGAACACTTGCCTTCACATAGATTGAGCAAGCTTCCGTTACTCTGGTACTTGTATATCAGAAGCTTGTCTTCGTTGGTTGAGTTGAAGCCAACTAAAGGAAGAATATTAGGATGTTTCATGTTCCCCACTTGCCTCATCGTGTTGCCAAACTCCTCGAATGACACCTGCAGCTTCTTCAATCTCTTGACCGCATAAGCGATGTTGTTCTTCAGCACAACCTTGTAGAGGCTGCTGCAGAACCTCTGGCTCTGGAGGTCCGCCACTGCCTCGAGGAGGTCGTCCAGCTTAAATGCTTCATGCTTCTCGACGAAGAAGACGAGCTCCGATTGTCCTTCCTTGGGCTTGATTTCTTCGATTGGCAGCTTCAGAGGGAGAACTTTGAGAGGGGAGGTGCTTAGTGCCTTCAAGATCGCCTTCTCTTCAGCTAATTTAGCCGCCTTCTTACCAACATACCATGTTAGTAGGAAGAAAAACCCGACACCGAATAGCAACGGCAAGCACCAGATCCACTGGGGGTACCATGGAGTATCATGACCACCGGGTTTTGGGCTCTCGGCATCGGATATTTTCCTCGATTCAAGGAAACGTGTAGCCACATAGAACTGTTTATGATGCGAGTCCAAACGTTTATTCTCTGTGGGGATGAACTTTGGCCTGTTTGGTGCAGTCACTGAAAAGTTATTGTTGGATATGTCAACTGTGCTAAGGAGTTTCAGCTTTCTGAGAGCAACTGGTACTCTTCCACTCAGAAGGTTGCTGCTCAGATTTAAAGTGATCAGACTAGTGCAGTTTTCGATCGAATCCGGAATATTACCATGTATGAGATTATTAGCTAAGCTTAGGTATCGCAAGTTTGGCAGTTCGCATAGAGTTTTTGCATCTATTGTCCCTTTGAGACTCAAATGTTCAAGCCTAATTTCGGTGATCCTGCCATCTTCTGAGTCGCGACTCACGCCTTTCCAATTGGCTGAGCAAGGATACGGCTGGGACACATCCCGGGCAAATCCGGTGGCATTTTCGGGATCGACTGTTCTAATAAAATCTAAGAAAGATTTGGTTTCCGATAACTCACCTTTCGTGATGGTTATGATCAACAGGAAAACAGCGACAATGCTTCTCAATTGCTTAGAAATGAACCGAGATGCAAACCCCCTGAGCTCTGCATTGCTGTGCAACTTAGTCTTTGGCTCGGTCATCAGAAGCACAGGGAATATGCAGCAAGGAATGGTGCTTGTTCTCGGCAACTTAGTGAGAGACACAGAAAGTTATAAGCATATCAGACAGGCATGGGAACTTCATAATGTCTGTCACTCAGATAAATACGCTCCCCTTTTCGCTATTTCCAAAGTTTTGTCCTGGTAATGTTCATCACTTTGAGAGGACCAATGCAATGAGAATGGAGGAATTTCGTTAACCCCTAAAATATGCCAGTTACGGCGGAGCCATTCCGATGAGATGCGGCAACCATGATTTGGACCTGTATGTGTTTGTATTCACTTTGATCTGTAAACCAGATTATTCTGGTGGTGATCTCCATGAGCCTAAACAATCATGTACTACTTGTCTTGTTAGGAAGTTACCAGTTTGATTGTTTATAGGTCAGATGATTCGAAAAGAATGCAGCAAACAACATATAAAACAAAACCAAACAAGTCAATGACAACTCCCAGGCCATTCATTTCTGCTAATTCACATGTTGCTCTCCTACCATTTTGTTTCTACTGGTCGTTGGCTTCTGTATTGCTAAGAGAAGTCCGACGATGAAACTGTCGAGAGTGCGGGATCGTAACCCACGAGGCGCGAGGACAGACAGTTCGATTGCAGAAAAAGTGTCATAGCGAATATAAGGTCTCTTTTGAATCTGAAAGCTGATGAGTACATGTAGGCGCGACCAGGTTCATTGCGCATTTAATCGTGATGACTGCATAGACACGGATAAGCATGAGAAGCATCTGTAGGTAACTTCCAACAGGAGGCCTCATGTTGAGGTTACAGTTAGAGTTCAGGAATGCTTGCTGACCTCTATACATCATGTTACATCCACCTTTGTTCCTGTTTGTGTTGTTACGTCATAGAACATAGTTATATCTTTTATTTTTATGATAAGGAGTGCCAAATTAGCTTGCAAACATGCTATTATGCACTTCTATTTGGAAAAATATTGAGGATTGTTCTAAGGTCCAAAATTAATGGAGACCTATTTGTACTCAAACATTAGTGATTTTACTTTCATGTACTTCTCTGTTTACACTATTCGAAATTTTTGAGTACCCAATTAATCTCTAAATGGTATGGCAGTTCTTTCATCCTAAATAGACATGCACGTCCGTACTCTTGGGAATACGCTTATCACTTGAGCAATTCGATCCATTTGCCTCTCTTCTTAAACTATGACATGAGGAAGGAAAGTGATATTTTGCAAAAATTAAAAAATGACGACTCAGTAAGTCAAATAATCACTTACAATACGAAAGAGAGGTAGCGTATGTCAATTTGTATCTGTATCGTATCGTCTTATATCCGAGTTTTCCCTCCACGATTCCTATCTCGCCTCTTGTCGTGTAAATGGATCGCGTCCAATAATATTGTCCGGATCCAACGGTCTAAAACCAAGCTGCCCGAATTTGTCAAAAATATTCGAAAAAACCAAAAAAGAAATCTGCCAAAAATTATTCTTCGTTAAATTAATTTATTTTTTTTCGGCTTGGCCATTTTTACAGTTTTCTCTTCTCTCTCTCTTTTCCTTCAGTTCTTCTTCGCTGGGCGATGCTTGGCCTCATCGTGCTCTGCTACGTCTTCTGCCCCCCGCATCATCGCCCGTCTCCCCTCTTCGCTCGATTCTAGGGTTTCCTGTCTCTGCCGCGATCGCCGTAGCCTCCCGGCAAGCCATGGCGACGCTGGAAGCGATCGCCGAGGCGATCAAGCTCATAGGCGCCAAGAAGGCGAGCCTCCGGAAGGCGTTCGACGATCTCCAAGCCCAATCCTCCCTCCTCTCCTCCTTCTCCCTCTCCTGGTCCGACGTCGAATCTCACTTCGCCGCCGTCGAGGCCTCCGTCGCTCAGAAGTTCGAGCTCCTCGAGTCGCTCGAGTCCGCTCACCAGCGGCAGCAGCAAGGAGGGCAGAAACGAGAGGAAGAAGCGGCGTCGAATGCTCGTCCCGACCCGCACGCCCCCGTCGTAACCGAATCGGCGGCGACGCGAGCTGAGCCGATTACCTCACCCGGCGACGCAGATGCTAACGAGCCTCCTCCGCCGCCGTCGTCGTCCGGTCCTCCGAGCCAATGCCCCGTCGAGCCGCGACCCGAGCTGAAGGTACTGTGCTCGAATATGGACAGTTTAGGGTTAAGGAATTACATAGCTAGACACCATGTGGAGCGTGACCAATTGCGTGCCGAGCTTTCCGGCGCGTTAGGTTTGGCTCCTGAGCCTGGGAAGTTGGTTCTAGGTGCGATGGAAGGGTTTTATGGTGATCGTGTTACGGAGCGGGACTTGATGGTTGTTAGGAGGAACTGTGTGTTTCTTTTGGAAGTGCTGATGAGAGCTCGCCCGAGTTTGAGCGACGAAGCGCGCGAGAGCTCGAAGAAGGTGGCGTTGGATTGGAAGGGGAAGGTGAACCCGGAGGGTCCCCGACATCCGATGCAAGTGTTGGGTTTGCTGGATTTGGTGGCAGCTTATGGATTGATGTCTGAATTCAGTGTGGATGAGCTCGTTGATTACTGTGTGGTTATTGCACATTTTGCTCAATCGAGAGAGTTGTGTCGGGCCTTGGGGATGGAAGATAAAGTTCCAGGTGAGCCGGTTCATGTTCTAGTTTTACTTGTGTACTGGACTTCTTGTTAGTTTGCTATGGTTATATAATATATCCGTTAACTAATTTTGGCGAGTGATGTCGTGTGCTTTTCACTTATATTCGTAACTTCATCTTCATTTGAGGCATGTGCGTGATGTTTTTGAATGTGATCTGGAAATTTATTTCTAATGTTGATACAACAATTGTAAGCATTGATTGCAACTTTAGAAAGTGGGCCGGTAATGTGAAGATTGGCCAGGTAGGGATATGTTCTTTTATTAATTATTTTATCATGTGAGCTGTACCGTATGTCCATAAGCGAATGCACCATTAAAGAGCTTGTGTTATCAATTATGTTTGAGAGAAATCACAAACAATGGTTAGGTGTCATGCCGAATGTTTAAGAAGAAGAGATAGAGTACATTTTCTTATGGAAATAGGAGTCTTGGTTGAATCGACGGTATTGTGGCACCTTCTTAGAAATTGAAGAGGACAGCTTTGTATATTATTACTAATGTGCTGCTTCAATTTTATGTCAAAATTATGCCACTGCACTGAATTTACAGTGCACGTGATTATTCAATTGTGCTAATGTGATCGAGGGTGCCGGAGGTGGAACTGTGATAGCCATGGTTTGCTTTAAACAGGAGGGGGATTCAAGTGTCGCTTTTGCTTGAAGTTTTTGAACCCATTCAAATCTGAGAAACACCAGTTAATAAGACAAAAATGTAGGAAGCAAAATGCGACCATATACAAGGGAGGAACTCGAGGAGGATTTGCAAGAAGAATGAATTCAATTAAATTAATTCATATGATGAAGCTCCATTCCATTTTGGTGGAAGGAGAAAATGCAACATATGCTGTTTTCTAAGAAGTTGTTTTAGAGCATCGGCAGAATGATTTGTTTCTTGACTCTGCAGACATTTATTTCATACAATATTATCCGAGTTAAAGCAATAGCTGATTTATTTTGCAGGGTTATAAGGAGTGATTTGATTTTTATAGCATGGATTGCACATAACATAAGAGAATTCAGAACATTGAATATTGAGAATTTTCCTTACTAAATTGCTTAACAAGTGCCTTGATGGAATTTTTTAACAAAATCCTAGTTTGTACAATTCGCACTCGCATACACAGATACATCCATGAGCATGGATTTATCTGTTTGTACATGCAGGTTCTTGTAACGGCTAACTCTTGTTTTGCGTCAAGGAATTTATGTCCTTGCCATAGTGGGCCTCTAGGTGGAGGCACCTTTCTTTGTTTTTGGGCTTTGTTTTCTTCTTGTCCATGCAAGATCTTCCTATAAGCAAGCTTCTCGAAATGAGCTATGTTTCTTTTGGTATCTAATAGACACTGATGCTTCTATTTTAATGAAATTATGTAGATCTCATTGAAAAACTTATAAGCAAGAGAAAATACACACAGGCGGTCAAATTTATTTTTGACTTTGGGCTGACTGAGAAGTTCCCACCTGTCCCCCTTTTGAAAAATTTTGTAAAGGAGTCTAAGAAGCTTGCTAGGAAAGTTTCCAAGGATGGAAACAACTCTCGCAAGTCACAGGTACATTTATTTTCTCATTACCGGAATCCCTTGGAGAGTAGCCACTGGCCCTCATATTTACCTAAATTATGCAGAACGCAGCCATGGCCCAAGAAATCATTGCATTGAAGTCTGTAGTTAAGGTCTTAGAAGAGCGCAAACTCGATTCCGAGTTTCGAGCAACCCTTGAAAGACGTATTCAGCTTCTAGAGAAGCTGAAGGCAGAGAAATTCCCTGCGGTGGCTACTGCTACTAAGCCTCAGCAGCAGCTGCAAAAGCAAATGGTAAAGCCACAATTTAGTGGGATAAAGCGACCAAGGCCTAGAGCATCTGTTGGTTCTATTGCAGCCTCATCGAAAATTGCTGGTCCCACCTCGGCTGCTGCCAACTTCCAGCAAGCTCATCCACAGACTGTTTCTGTAGCACCTGCTTCATACTTGAGCACGCCTGCTGGAATTTATGGCATGGCGGGAAATAACCCGGCAATTGCCCCTTATGCGGGGTCATCCAATGGGTTATACGGTTTGGCTGGTGCCTCTATGGGTTTCCCAGGGGATCCATGCCCTGCACGACCTTATTTGTATGCATCAGAATCACAGATGCCATCTATCCATTATGATAGGTCAGCTACTTATGGTGGACAGGGTGTCTCTTCTCAATACTTTCCATCCTACTATACTCGGTAGTTTTTAGGTCTCTGTCTCTGTCTCTCTTGGTCTGTCTGTCTCTCTCTCTCTGTGCACTGTATTTAGCAATTTCCAAAGGGGCAGTGCTGGTCATACAAAAGTATGCCTGACTCTTGTGATTGCTTTTGTTGTGCACAGGTAGATGTTATCTTCACACCAGGTCTGAATACTGTTATTATTTGATCTCTCGGAGAAGTTTTTAGCGACGATTGATTTAAATCAGCTTGTTCTTATCCTTTTTCAGCATCGAGAAAGTAATACAGAAGATGTATATAATTGTCTTTCTTTCTATTAGAATTGGGTTCTGCATTTCTTCCCTGGGTTGAACATGTATATAAATGTGTCCTTCTACTAACAGTATTACAACCTTCAAACACGCATCCTTTTTCTATTAATATCTTGAAATTGAATGATGTCTTTTCGTCCAATCATCACTTTTGGGCCATTGTGAGGAATACCCGCATCATGCCTCTGGTTAATGCAGATAAAAAATTTGCAAACCTTTAAAGGGGCTAGTGCATCAAACAGATGTATCCAGTCATCCTCACTGCATGAGATGCTCCTTGCAACTTTACTCAATCCTTTGAACAAGCTTTCTTTTTCGGTTTGTGTTTCTATTTTATGGGAATCTGTACCTGCACGATAAATTTATCATTCCTGATTTCAGCATAGAATAAATGAAACCTGGAGAGTGTTTTGCTCTATTTGCTTTCATTAGAAGTTCTGCCTGTGTTTTGATAGGATTGTCGCTAGTACAAATATTTGCTGTCTTTTAGTGGTTCCTTTCTGTATATGTGTTGTTTGTCAATTTTGTTGGTGGTTGCTTTTCTTCCTTTCCTCGGTAGTTTTTCCTCTATTCTCTTTTGGTTTTTCTTCCAGAGTGGATATGTACCAAAAAATAACGCCCCCCTTGCTTAAGATTCAACTGCAATATCTGCAGTCCACAGTCCAGATTCATGTGGAGAGCTTGAGATGTTTCCTCTGTAGCTATACTAAATGATCTCTTTCAGTACTGGGTGTACCGATGTTCTAGTACACAAGATTCATAGGTGGTGCTCCGGATATTAATGCATGCATAAGGCTCCGCATGTTTCATTTCCATCTCGGCCTCTGCCATGCTTCTGATATTAGACATGAATTCTTTTTATTTCAACTACGCACCGGAGTCTGGTATTTCTTAGGTTTCGAGAATTTTATCTCTCCTTTTTTTGTCCTTTATAGAACTGTTCGGTAGCCTTTCTTGCTCTCTATTATGGTGCAACCTTGCCAGTCGGAGGATAAGACGACGTCTTGGCCATGTTATCGTTTCTTCGCTGTTCTGTCTTCTGAGAAACACCATTTGCCATTCGACTACGACTAGCTTGAAAATGCGAAATGTGAATCGACACGAACATCGATCTGTACTTCCGTTTTCGACTGAAATGTGTGCGGAGGAATTATTACTGATAACTACAGATGATCGCGAAAGCTACTTCCAAATGGTCTTCACAGGGACTTTCTTTTTTCCTCCCTGATGAATCGAATCTGGGCAACTTATGAAAGTGATCATGGGTTGTTTGCTTCAACTTTACTTTGGGAAAAAAAAGAGAGAGGAGATTATTGTCTTTTCGACGCATTATCCACCAATTTTATTTATACGCCGGATTTACAGATTACGACATAATTGACGATGTTGGCGGCTGGTGCGATTCTTTTCGGTTTGCCATTCCCGCGATGGCATTGTAATGATGGGGACAGCGACTTATGGATCGCTCCAGCGACCAAAAAGAACCGACGAAAGGGAAACAGAACTCATCATTTTGACAAATGCGGGCCTGCGTGCGCCTCTTTTGTCCTCGGTATTTCGCGTAGTGCCAAATTTTCTCGTGAGCGAGCCATCAGATCCATGACTTTTGGGGGGGAGAGATCGAGAATGATTCTACGACCGATTTTGTTCACAATGGAGAGGATGATCGATCGATGCATACTTCCAAAATTCAAAAGATCTGTGAGTCGATGGCGCGAGATTTTTTTTAGATGTGGTGGGCAATTTGTAAGAGGTGCCGGTCATTTGTGGATGTGTTAGTAGTACTACGATGTTGATAACTTCTAAGATTCCATACGTAATGTGACATCGCTAGATTAATTTATGGTCCATTTTGGCCGATCCCATGTCTAGTTTCACGGTTGTCTTTTAGTGTACATACATGCACTTCTATACTGATAGTCCTCCTGCCTTGAGTATACTTAACCTTGAGATTCTAAGTAAGGCTTATCGTTAAGTAAAAAGGCACCTTCGTGAGTTATTGTAGTTTTCACATAAATATCCTAAGCACTTTCTTTTACTATTTGGTGTACAATTCGGTTTATTCCCGCCATTTCGCCATCCTAGAAACCTTGCCAGGAGCGGCTTTTTGTTCGAGTGCTCCAGTCCCTCGTCGGATCAGGATGTTACACAAAACAGTTTTTTTGGTAAGTACATATTACTTTTCTAGGGCGTGGTAGTAAAGTGAGGATCTCCATCTTCTCTAAAGAGAGTCCTTAAACTAGCGATATCATTTCATCATCTTGTTCATAACTTCTCAAACGCGCTATCAACTCATGAGTCTTCCGACCAAAACATGAAAAATTATAGAATCATCCCCCCAAGAAATTCTTAACCGGAAAAAAATGAGATTACTGTCGGGTCACTTATAATTTCGAATCTCGAACATCCCAGAGTAGTTTTATAAGCTATACGAATAAACAAATCGCGAGAACTCGCTACTTAATCCAGTGCAAATTTGCGCTTCCGGGGGGGGGGGGGAGAGGGGGGATTGGCGTTCCTCCGATTCACACGAACGGTCCAGACACGACCAAACCATCGGTGTCAATCATGACCGACGATGGAGGCCGGGGGAAGCAAGCAACCGTTGCCTTTCAAGTAATTGCTCAAACCAATCACGGAACAGAACCCCCCCAAAAAAATTATTCTTTTAAAATCATTAATTTTTCCCCCTTCGAAATTCGAAAAAAAAGAAAAACAAAGAAAACAAAATCGAGGAAAAATAAATAAGACTTAAACGGGCCCAACCACGATCCACTCGCGACAAATCCAAGCTCAACAAGTCAAGCCCCCTTCTCCCCCCCTCTCTCTCTCTCTCTCTTTCTCCCTCTATTCCTCCGTGTGGGAAACTTGAAGATAGGCTGCAGGAGACTCCCCCCACCAGTCATGGCGACGACGATCCCCCTTTGACCGAAATACCCCTCCCCCCCCCCCCCCGAACGAAGAAGAAGAAGAAGAAGGAGGAGAAGCTTCTTCTCTAAGCTTCGACTCTCCCCTTCCTCCTCCTCCTCCGCTCTCGGCTAGAAATCCCGACCGATGGAGTCCCCTCCTCCTCCTCCTCCTCCTCCCGACGACTCCGAGGCGCACGAGTTCCGGTTCCGCAGCGCCGATCCGAACCCGCGCGGCCCCTTCTCGGACGCCGCCTCCGATGCCGGGGCCCTGGGCGGCGGCGGCGGCGGCGGGGGCGGGGCCAGGTACAAGCTGCTGTCCCCGGCGAAGCTGCCGATCTCGAGGTCCGCCTGCATCACGATCCCGCCGGGGCTCAGCCCGACCTCCTTCCTCGAGTCTCCGGTCCTCCTCTCCAACGTCAAGGTCCATTTCTCCGCATCGCCTTTTTCTTCTCCGCTCCTCCTGTTTTTTTTTCTTGGATCGGATTCGAGCGGTGCGGTGCTTTGCGCTTCGTTGCTCGACGGTTGATTTGGGAGGGGGGGAATTTGGTACTTTGATGCGTAGAATTAGACGATAGCTGTCAGTTCACCGATGATTAAACTCGAGTCGGGATTTCCCCTCAAGCTCTGCGACTTCTCGGAAACTACAGGTGGTCGAATTTCTACTGATTTATGACTTGCTGGGAAGTAAGAGCGACGGCCAGTTTTTCAGATTCGGTTTTGTTGCCATCAGTTACGAAATATCCGGTCGAAAGTGATGCGTGTGCGTTTCTTTGGTTTTATCTTGGAAGACATGTTGCATCACAACTGCGTCGCTTGGGAAAGTTTGGGGGACATACGGGGTTGCTTTGTTGCTCAATGACGTTATGATGCTCTTGTAGAAAATATCAGTGCGCTCTTTCACTGTTTCGGTTTGTTAGTCTTACAAGTGGTTATTTGTCTCCGGGATCAGCTGTAAATATCTAAAGGTGCGATTTTTATATTTGGTTGGGACGGGACATCATATTCTGATGCCGGCTCTTAGTGTGCTTTGTGGTGACTCCTTTATGCTGCTAAGTGTCATAATATGGAGGAATTGAGCTTTTGGAATCTGGCTTTTCATCAAACTGAAAATTTTTCCTGTTTTATAATATGGCAGTGTGGTTTTTTCGCATAGTGGATCTTCCCTTTTCATGGGGTGATTGGACCTTTTCCTGTGTCCTTGTTTGACAATGTTAATTTGTCGACTGGAACCTTATTCATTAACTGGTGTAGAACAGAGAATAAATGCATCCTCAAGAGTGAATCAGCCTGTTTTTTTTGGGTAGAGTGGGAAGGAAACCAGAAAGAAAGTGCCTCTAGCGGTGGCGCCAAACTTTGTGGACATTTATTAAACATCCATTCTGAAATGGAATCTGAGCATGATTAAGTCAGCTTGTGTGGCTGGAGAAGGAAGAACTATGTGGTTTTCCTGGTAGAGAGTTATTAGGAATTTAATTGGGAATTTGCTGCGAGAATGGTATGTGTATTCTGAACTTGGTTGACTTAGGAAGTTGAATACTATTGGTGATTAACAGTTTCTACTCTGTATTTGTCATGTGGTCTTATATATACCGACATGTAGTGTTTTTGTTCTTGTTATGTTTGTGTATGGCGATGTTAGATTGTAGGCTTGCAGCAATAGTCAAGCTGCAATTCCTGTTTCTATGAGATGCCCTTCCAATCATAGCAATGCTAATTTCTAAAGTTTCTCAATGTGAACTCGTTGTTTTTTTACAGGAGTACAAGTACAAACTTATCTAATATGCAGCCTCTTACTCTGTCGTATTTTCTCATCCTTTGTTTGCAGGTGGAGCCCTCACCAACTACTGGTTCCCTGATTAAGCCTCACATGATGCGTGGGTTGATTGGTACCAATTCGGATATAAGACTTTCCAATTCTGGCTTTCCTGATAGCTTTGATGAAGGCAGATCTGGCATTTTTGAATTCAAACCTCTATCTACACCAAACTTGGTAAGACCAAGTTACCGACATTTTCTAGTAGATCAAATTTTGTGAAAGCGAATTCTTCTACATTTTTATCTCATTGATCATGATTTTTGGCTGACGACCAAGATGT